ACGCAAGAATTCCAACTCAGCCAATTGGAGTAGCTCATCGGTGTTGGGGATGGTATCGAAGGTAGTACGAAGGTATTCGAGGGCCTTCTGGTGGCTAATTGACATGAGCGCGGCAAAAGCATTGCGCTTGCAGGTGCCATCGGTCTCCGACTCGAGGAAGGTCTGTAGAAGCTCCGGGGCGTCGGGAATGAGGGTTTCGGAGTGTTGGAAGATAGAGGCAACGGCCCACACGGAGTTCTTGCGCACATAAGCATGACGGTGCTCGAGGCACTGGCGAGCCGAGGAAAGGAGGGGCTCGATCAGTTCGGGCTCACGCAGCTTGCACAGGAAGCGGAGAGTGTTACCCCGAACATATTCGTTGGGGTGTTGAAGGTCGTTCCGAATGCCGTTACTGTGAAAAGAAAGACAGGTTAATTGATTGATCATTCCCGTGAGAAAGTAGCCACGGGGATCCTTCTTACCAGACCAAGATCATTTCCTGCTTCAGCTTGCCATTCGAGTCGAGTTTAGGGCAGATCTCATAGTAGAAGTACAGCAATTTCTTGAGAGCCTTGCTCTTCGATGGCATGACAAAGCGAATGATATGCATCAGAATGGCGGGCATGGGGTCGCCATTGAGCATGATCGTGATAATGGTGCGCATTGTTTCCAACTTGGACTCATCGGTTCCCTTCTCCAGCTGAAGTTTTAGCTCTTGCACAGTTGGTTGGTCCGCCGTGTTATCCTGGTGGACCAGACTGTATGTGTTTTCGAGGAAGGACGCCATGGTGGTGGGATTGAAAGCGACGACCGGGGGAATCGAAGGGGAGCTTGCATGTTGTCAGTTCGGGGGGGATGTTTTGGACACCTCAGCGCAGCCACACGTACCAGTTAGGATCTCTCCCGGGGGGGAGGATAGACAATAAGATTGTAGGACCGAAATCAGGAACGCGCAATTAAAGTAATCCGACACCCCTCGCCAGCCTAAGAATCATCGGCGTGCTGTTTAAGATGCGCAATGGAGAGGGGGGTGGGAAGCATCAACCTGTCCCTTTGCGGGCGCCGCCCCGTTCTGTGTGCATGACTAAGCCACCTTTCCAACATTTCCCGCCCTACACCACTCAGCGTCATTCCTCGATTCTCGACTGCCAATTCTTCAACACAATGTCGACTAACGAGGTGTTTTACCTCCGATACTAGTAAGAATGATGGGTCCCAAAAGCCCAGGTCACCCTGGCTGCTAACACCCCGCCGCAGCTCAGGTCACTCTGGGCGGTTCGGGCATGAGTTCCTAGGTTGGTCTACCTACATGAGAATGAGGGTGAGGATGATTGATCTTGCTGACCAGACAATTCCAGAATTCGATTTCCGTACCCTATCCGATGGTAGCAGTGCCGCCGTCCGTTACGCGAATAACTCCAACTACCGCAATGACTCCCTCATCCGCAAAGAAAGTGAGTCCCATCCCCGGGACCAGGCCAGGAACAATCGCGACAGACAATCTGATAAGAATATACAGTGTGTGTGAGCCCGGCCATGATCCAGGAGATCAAGCGCATTATCAAGGATAGTGAAATCATGAAGTACGACCCTCAATGTTTTAATAGGAACTCCCAATGTTGGTGGGTGTAGACCGGACGAGCTGACTAGGTACCAGGGAGGACGATTCCAAGTGGCCCCAGAAGAACAAGGACGGACGCCAGGAGCTGGAGATCCGCCTTGGAAGTGAGCACATCTCGTTTGAGGTATGATATCCACCTTGAAAAGACGGTCAAGATTCTTTTTTTAATACTAACCGCGCTTACCGCGCAGACCGCGAAAATTGGCTCCCTTGTGGATGTCACTGAATCGTCGGATCCTGAGGGTCTTCGAGTGTTTTATTACCTTGTACAGGACTTGAAAGCCCTGATTTTCTCGCTTATTTCTCTGCACTTCAAGGTAGGGTTCAACAATGCAGGTTGGTTGCGCAGTGCGACGCGATGCTAACGAACGTGCTTTACAGATCAAGCCCATCTAGGTCCAAAATTCTTTGGTTGCAGATGTGTATGCGAATTTGAAACTATTCTTTTTTTAACGATACCGGGCGTTCATCGAGGAATCCTTCTAAAGGAAGTGGGTTTGTCACTTCAGTACTTTAGCTGAACCCAATGCAGATACAAATGATTATAATCCCAAAATTGGCTCTTTGATTCGCCACAATTGAGCCTTGCCACAAGTATGAGTAAGAGTGAGAATAATAGGGCATAGTGACTATATTTATGATATCTATGTGTGATATATATTTAAAGATCAATATAAAATAAGTACATTAAGTAAATCTAGACCCCCTGACTGTATAGTATACTCTAACTACCACTAGTATGTACGGTAAAGGAAATCGTTCCTGACGTACAGCTGGTTGCCTCAGGCCAAAACGCCTCCCCCGCGCTCGCATGACCCCAGTCTCAGTCACAGTCAAATGGGCCTCCCCCCCCCCCCCTCCGAGAGTACAGACCTTCTCACTCTTCTCACTCTTCCTCATTCCTCAGTTTCCTCTCTTTTTTTGCTCTCGCTTGGGCGCATTTGCTTGGAACCGATGTCCGCCATTCCCCTCCCTTGATTTCATCCCCAATGCCGACCCCAAGTAACAACCAGCCGACTTCGATCGCCGAAGTGATCTCCACTCGCACTTGTCCACCAGACCTTGATCGCATTTCGGCCTGGAGAGACTCACCAGACTCGACTGACGAGGCCAGTGACCCCTTGGATGATATTCTGTCGCCCTCGAGTGGCACTACGCCCTTCATGTTGAATCAGTCCGATGATGGAGGTGCGCTTTTAGCGCCCGAGGCGCTCAAAGTGGAGCAGAAGTTGGCTCCCAGCACGGACTTGGACATGGGCCGTGAGAGATCCGTATCTCCAACGGATCCATGCGACCGTGGTCGCTCATCGCCGGTGATGCCGACTCCGGCACTGATGCGCTATGAATTTTCTAATGTTCGGGTATGTAACCGCCCCGACCCCATCCATCAGCGACACTACTAATTGAACCATCGCTACAGCTTTTGCCAAACCATACCTCGTCGTTTCTTCGCTCCGGAAGCAGATTTGCTGGTACCCAAATGTCCGACAAACAAGTTTACAATGTTGATGTGGAAATCAAACATGTGGACATTGCAGAATCTTACCTTTGCGGCTACTTGCGCATCCAAGGTTAGTCATTTTCCCGCGGCAATGAGCCATATCACCGTATAGAGCTGTTCTGACCGTGGTTGTATTCTTCCCTCTTTAGGCTTGACTGAGGATCACCCTACTTTGACGACCTTCTTCGAGGGCGAAATGATTGGCACAAAACACAGCTTCATCACTCGAAACGAGGAATGGGGTGCCAACGAGAAGACCGACATACATCACTGGTCTCGGTTTCCGGCGTGGAAACCACTTGCTAAACAAGCCAAGAAGACTGATTTCTCACTACGCAATTTTGCCCAGCACGAGCACGTATTCATGCGGTGGAAGGAATACTTCCTCGTTCCGGACCACCGAGTTCGAACAATCTCAGGCGCCAGCTTTGAAGGATTTTACTATATCTGCTTCAACCAGATACAAGGATCCGTGAGCGGTGTATATTTCCATGCAAAGAGCGAGAGGTAAGTTACTTTGTATCGCTGATTCAAAATTCCGCTTTGTCTAACGGTATATCAGATTTCAACAGCTTGAGCTTAAGCATGTCGAGGATCGTGGATGTGCGCCAGTAGTCGAATTCCGTTAAGCTGGAACTCGGTTCCTGGCGCTTGTATTATCATCTACGCTGCGGCGACCGAGTCGCCTTTCAAACGTCCCACCTCGTATACTACCCTATCATTCCACATCTTCAACATTCAATGTCCCAGGTTGACTGCTACTTCCTGGCCCCATCTCTCCCAGAATCTCCACTGCCCCATCTCACCTCAGCCATCTACTCTCCGACTCTCCTCTGCTTAGCGAACTCCCAAGCATCTGGGGTTTGAAGCTTCCGATACTACATATACCCCATGGCCAAAGCCCCGCATACGCTCGCCACCTGATGTTTTCAAATTGTAACTCATGCCTCACGAACTCGGATCCAGGAAACGGCGTCCCTCTTATCTAGTGATAAGGCTTCCTTGTCTCGGGGAGCTTTTGTTCTTATTTTTATTTCTCTTCTCTTATTTCTATTGGTTCCTCTCTATTCTTTTTCATATATCATTTTTATTATCCGGACCGATATTTCTCTTGAACTTCCTGTTTGTGATATGTATTTTCCAGGCAGCTGATTCAAGCTGCGGCTTTCTTGGACACACTGGCATGAATTTCCAAGGTATTTTTTGATCAGCTTCATATATGCTACTAGTAGTACCTACGACCTAGGTATCGTAATTCTTACTCGTAGTAAACTCGATGAGATTCTAGAGAAGCCTACCTAATAGGTCGGCTAGTATCTAATCTTCAATGCAAGGTGAGGTCTCTAAACACAGTGACGCCACATAGTACCTACTAGGTATATGAGCAGGTCGTGTAGAGGAAGATTCTTTCAAAGGACAATGGATCAAATTCGATTAATATAGCAATTAATGGCAATGGTCCTAATAGCCAAGCAAAAAAAAAGTGAAAAAAGTGAATCGAGTACAAGTTGCCATTTTAGAGCACCAGAATGCAGATAGCCAATGCAATAGTACCAACGCCGAGCAAAAATCCAAAATGGATGGGGGGCCCCTTGACTCCCGTATGTGGAAGAATCAGAAGATGACAGATAGTAGAAGGCGTTAAATAATGAGAAAGTAGCACAGAGGGGTATCACATGCGATTCGTCTGAGGGTGTATAAGTCAAGTCGAGATCGAGCGAGTGTGGAAAAAGAAGATAACATGAAAGAAAGACATCTTCTTCAAAAAGCAAAATATCATAAAATCAAGAATGGAGAGAATGGAGAGAGAAGCAGAAGAAGATAGAAAGCCTGCGATCTTAGACCATGTAAGAGTTCTGACGGCTGGCAGAAGCGGAGCCGCTGCTATAGCTGCTAGCTTCACTTCCAGGTGTGGGGGGGTTCCACGACCACTTGCTGACGAATGGAGACGATCCACTCGGTCTGGAGGAGTTCAGCAGCAGTGGGTCGCTTGAGAGGGTCACACTCGAAGCAGCGGCTCAAGAAGTTGATACCCTGTTCGCTGAGCTGGTCACGGGTCGGCAGGGCGGGTTGGTTGCCTTGCGCGATGTTGTACATGATCGCCCACTCGTTATCTAGAGTGGACCATGGTCGACGGCCGGTGGCCATCTCGAGAATGACACAGCCAAGAGACCAAATATCCACAGCGCCCTGGTGGCTCGCGAGTTCAGGCGTGTCGCCACGGATAACCTCAGGAGACATGTACATTGGAGTTCCCGTCGTCGTCTTTTGGTTCTTGCCCCGATTTTGCATTTGATCGTTCTTGCCGGGTAAAGAGTCCTTGGTGCCACCAGGGTTGTCCATCGGGGCTACGGTTCGACCTGATCCAGCAATGATCTTGGCAGCGCCGAAATCGACGTACTTGATGATTCCGTTGTGATCAAGCAAGACATTCTCGGGTTTGATATCGCGATGGACAATGCCCGCTTGATGAAGGTAAGCCAGACCCTCAAGAAGTTGAAGAGCATAGACCATGATGACGGTTTCATCTTCAATACGACCGTGCTCCAGCAAACTGGCAAGCGACCCACCAGAGCAGTATTCCATGAAGATGTAGACCTTGTCACGGTGCACCTCGATACCATGGTATGAGACGATGTTCGGATGGTCCAGCACCTCGAGCACACCCATCTCATCGCGAATTTGCTGAGCAATCTTGGGAATTAGCTGAGGATCCTGCAGACGGATTTCCTTAACTGCCATCAAGTAGTTGCTGTCCAAATTGATAGCAACGTAGACAGAGCCGAAGGTACCACCTCCGATGAATTGGCCTTGTTGCCAGCGGAGAGTAACGTTGGTAGCAGATGATGATAGCACGGTGAGGGAACGGTCAGCCTCATCAGAGCCTTCAAGAACCCTACCAAGAGCTTGTCGTTTTGCGTCTTCTTCCACTCTCCTGTCTTCAATTTCCGTGACCCGGGCATACCACTGATCACGAATATTCCTGGACGCTTCTTCGTCACTCAGGATACGGCCTTGGCCGATTTTTCGGGCGCCAGCGCGCTCTTCCATGCGTTGCTTTTCAGCCTGGGCCGCAAGGGATGATCGAGCGCCCATAATATCGAAATGAGAGATAAGGAGAGACATGCAACCTGCTACCTTTGACCTCAGACGGTTGAACTGCTCCTCGTCTAAAGATAACAAGTGTCGACTGGAGGTGATTGCCATGGCAAATTCAAGCGCGGCGACTGCCCACTTGAAAGTTTTTCGATCGGCGGCATCACACTCATCGCAAATGAACGAAACCCAGTCAAGAGATAGATCGATCAGGCGAGCACTATTCATAGCGCGTCTATTGGCATCAACATAATTGGAAGAACGTTTACCAAATTCAGTTGCAAATGCATAGCAGGCCTGCACCAAGTCATTATTCTCCCATGTCTTTTCACGCAGCTGGCTCTTGATCACAGCCACACTATCCATGATGGCCATGGAAAGCTTGAAAGAGATCTTCTTGATCTTATTCAATTCGACGTTAACACGACCAAGGTTGGCACGCTGCTCGATCGACATGTCTAGCTGGATGCCAGTGAGCTGTGTCAACTCCAGCCTTGCGTTTTGTAGTCTTTCTTGCATTCCTTCAACGACAAGTCGAAGTTTACCAAGGCGGACATCGGTAGGCTGCTCCAGCATATCCACGTACATTTCTTTGCCACCCCATCCTAGAGGCCGTTCTGGGCGGATGACAAGTACATATGGAATGTGAGGCGAGTCAATTGTTGTGTTGTCTTCTCGGAAGGAGGTAGCGAGGATGGCTTTGATATCGGCAGGGCGATTCCACAGGGAATAATGGGCAATCAAGTAGACGCCCTTCTGGCCAACCGAACCAGGTGAAGTGACCAGAAAATGATCAGATATCAACAAGGCCTCGAAAAAATCGTATGCGATGTCTGCGGAAATATTGTATTCCGTCGCGTTTTCAAACAATTGGCAAAGAAATCTCGAGAATCGGTACAACTTGCGCTGTCGGATACGTGTCGAATCAAGTATGCTCTTATACCGCTTGTCCATGTCTGCGACTGTTTCTTTAGGCCTTGGAACCAGCTCACGTTCGAAATGAATCATGAGTCGTTGAAGAGATTTGGCAGTTAAAGCACTATTTCTGTGTGTTAATAAAGTCAAAGTATTACGAGAGTTGGGCATTTCATACCTGAATTGCTCCGCAACCTCGATATCACCACCGTCTAGTTGGCGGCCGATTTGATAAGAATAGCCCCATTCCTGCTCCAGAATCTCGGCCTCCTTGAAGGTATTTTTATTGGCGTTTAACTTCCAATTCAAAAGTCGAAAATAGTACTTCATGGCATCCAACACAACGGAATCGAAATTCTCGTCAACACAGGGTGGTAAATCCCAACCAGGCTCAGGCCGTGAGATAGCCAAATAAGTCTGCTTAATCTGAACAGCCACTTTCATTAAGATTTGGAACTGCGAGATCATCTGGTCCACCAGGATAGGAGACTGCTGAGCCGGATCTCTCATGTTCTTCGCATAAGACAGACGCATGCGGATGATCTCTTGAATCAAACGGGATGGAAAGTTGATTAATGTTAGAAGCTCCTCAATATAGGGGGGGCAGATGGCGAGCTGCAAAGGCTTCGGAGTTTTCGATCAAAGTACTTTTGGCTTTTTGGATGACGGCCCCAATGCCCTGGAGCATACTGTGCTCGCCCTGTAGGGTCTTCAGGCCGTCCTCCTTCATGATACGATCCAGAAACGATGAGTCGTCCGATAAGTCGCTCTTGTCGGATTTGAGTCTAGAAACAGCGAAATCGAGAGCATCGTTGCCTACCCAACTTTGTAAGACAGCAAGTTGGGTGTTTATCAGAGCGGTGATGTTGTGCCAGGCAAAAATCGCCGCGCGGCTAGAGTAGAACTCTTCTGAAGCAGCACGAGGATTTGCGGTCTCCATTTCCTTGGCTGTCGAGTATAGAATCTCAACCTTCTCAACCTTTTCCACGACATCCTCAACTTGCTGGCGGGGTGGTTTGCCGATTTCAGCTTCACCTTTGATTTGGAAGTTGATGATGTCGTCGATTAGGGGTGCAAGGCGAGAGCGAGCATCCTCGATCAGTTTTCGTTGGAGAGGAATGCTTCGGCCGCATGTCCTCGATCGGACTCCAAGCCATAGGGCATGGCTAAGAGCTGCCGATCTCTGCGACTCCGTGGAGCCGATGAGTCGTTGTTTCTCTTGCCTTACCACGTCACCCTTTAGCACCGACGCCAACATGGAATGCCATTCGAGTCGTTCTTGATTTTTCGGGTTCTTGAGTTCGTCTATGCTGGGGAGGTTGTCATCGGGGAGGAAAAGTTGGGTGTCGGGGTCGTAAGGATCATCTTCATAGGGAGCTTCGGAGGATGGGGAAGGATCCTCTAAGTCGGCGTCTCCGACCATAACGTTAGGAGATTGTGCGTCGTTAAAGTGGTGATACCAAGCCTGAGGATTGGCCCGAATGCGTTGCACATAGGCCTTTTCTTGAGCGCGATATTGCGCGTTCGGATCGCGTCGGGGTCCTCTCTTAGAAGAGGAGGAGCGTTGACGATCACTCTGGAGGCTGATGTATTGTGGTGGGCGCCGTTGAGGGGCGTATGTATTGGAGGGGGGTTCTTGCAGGAGCGGATGGGCGTTGTGGCCGCAGATCGCCGGGCATCGCAAGAGGGTCGGAGGCCTCAAGCACGGATGAAGCTCCAACGCTAGCCCCACGTGGACGGACTGTAGGCGTACTAGACCATGAGGACAGACTCGATGGATGGGAGGGAGGGGAGGAAGTGATGGTCGTGGCCGGTGTCTGAACTTGAGTGTCGAAGGGTTCCCCGAAGGATGTGTTGGCCATCAGTGGATACTGAGGAGGATACTCGTCAGATGAGCCCGAGCCATCCGAGTCATGGTTGGCAATGTCGGGGTGCTCCATGATGGACGAATGCTGGGGAAGCTCTCGCGCTCTCAAACGGTCAAGGTGGGGGGGGGGGGAATGCATCTAGGATGGAGACCAGCATTGGAGGTAATTGGAGTGATAGGGGAGTGTGGCGGTGTTGGGTGGCGCGACCAATGGGATTTGTTACCGGCGGGGGCCAACCCGGTCGGTAGGTGGCACCTTCACGTAGCTTCAGCTGGTCCTGGTTGGCCCTTGCGGGATCGACTATCAATACTACTAGTTCGAGACTGATCCGAGCAGGGCACGAGTCTTTGGTCACGTACGTGGCACCGAATCTGCGTCCTCCTCGATATTAATTTACATCGCTGTCCCTAGTCACAGGTGCTGATCACGCTGTCTAGACTGGGGTGCGGTGTATAGTCTCAGACTAGACCAGAACAATGTGGTTGATGAACAGCCATGCAAAGCACCGGGATATACCTAGTCAAATCGGATAATACCGGCCCAAATGATGTACTTCTACTATGTACCGTTTATTATGGCGTACTTGATGCATAATACATCGTGATATGTCCAGGTGTTCACTAATTAATTCATGGGCATACAGTGGCCCTACCACATATATTCTAAGTTTCAAATTGGAAACGCAAAAGTACATTTGACTGTCCATATATATTACACAGAAAAAAGGTAGCCTAGAATCTTGGAAAAGGTCAGAAACTGCGTAAAGCTTTCTTCTGAATTCCCATAGATCACCAGCAGTTTCAAAAAGAACTCTTTGCCTTTCCCCTCTCTTCCAAGGTTTCGCCAACTTCACGTTACAAGCATAGCAGTCCACGTCACTTTGATATAAAATCCCAGGTTTATTTAAAGCAGTACAATTACTACCAAATCTTTGGATCGTCTTCATGACCTAATAAGCACATGTTGGATTGGATGCCTTACAATATCTCATCGTATGAGCAAAGGGCTCTTGGCCCGAACGCCCTTTTGGATCTCCATACCTAGGTACTACTATATTAACTGCTTATGCTGGGTCACCGTTGGACACTACAAGGCAGCGATTCATAACTCAAGGATTCTATGATCAACATCTATAAATTTTGCTACCGAGGGTAGACTTGAACTTTCGAAGGTCAAAGGGCCTCAAAATGTTAGATTTTGGTAGGCAATCAAAAAAAAAAAAACTATGAATTACAAGTTAGTAGTACTAGGCACCTGATCTCAAATGGCTGCAGTCATGCAGGGGAAGTAGGACTATTTCGTCAATCCTGCAATCGATCTCTAGCCAAAAGCTAAAATCGAGATTCGTGGATACTGGGAAATCAAGTTGTCGATCGGTCACGGTGGAGCGCAGTAGAAATCGTGAAGTACTAGTAGTGATGGATGATGTTGATACTAAGATAACTGCGGTGATGAAGAAGACGAAGAAGAAGTTACTATCTTGACAAAAGGAATAGAATCTTGTATGCCCCAAAGTTTACGGAGTACATGTACTGTACACTGCCCCGTGCACTTGGTTCAAATTGAAAGCATTTCGAGTTTATCAAGACCTAGTTCTCACTCAAAGTCTATGAGGATTGATGAGCAGGATATGGGACCCCAGAGGGCCAAGTGCATTGGAAATTTGGAATAACTTCCTTCCCAAAAGCAAATTTGGCACGTATGTCTCGGAATGACTCTTCGACCCCAGCGGAGAAATGTCTCATCAAATAGCAAGCTAGGAGATAACTTCAATAGCAAATTCTTCTTAACTAGAAGCTGCTGCATACTGACGTCAATTTCCCAGAGCAATTCATAACAAAAAGTCACCCGAGCACCATCATTTGCCGGACAGATGCCAAGTCCCTTTTCGGGATGCCGAAGCAGCCTTCCAAATTCCCCGGCCAATGAGGGTCCCAGTGCTTATCTGGACTTGGCATCCCCGGACCGCGTGGTCAGTACGGAGTACGGGCTACCATATGGTCGACTTTCGCAGCTTGCCACCCCATGCGTTCTTCATGGCGATCGTGATTGTACGGTACCTGCGTGGTGGGTCAGCTGTCCACGCCCGATTCCAACATATTTACCGACATAAGATGCGAGGGGTAGCAATAATTGACACCAAGATGGCATGTCACTGTTTCAATGTGGCCCTGCACACTGCGAGCACTTTTTTGGAGTGATGGGGCAAAATAGCTCTGTTGTCTTCTCATTTATAATGGGGGTCTTGTCGTCAGAGGCGCCAGCTAAAATCGTCTGTACCATTTGGCCAAGAGTCGCGAGTTAATTAAGATAAATGCAGGAAATCCAACAAACGAGACGAATAATATCCGTGGCCCCTGACTGGAGTGCAAGGATGATAAGCTGGGAATGTACATAGAGTTCACAGTGGTTGAACAGGGCACTGCTGATTGGTCGCTCATCTTGCGACAGATAAGAACCTGTCCGAGTGACACTGACTAAGATATTTACCTACAGCACATTTATGATAGCCCTCGTTGTATACTTGCATTTACATTGGCTTTGAATAAAAAGCCATCCATAATAGTATTTTAACCATTACTCATGCACCTCTTTAAACAAGAAATGTCGGAAAAGCTCTTGATTTGATTATTGTTCCCAAAGAGGTAAGCGTGGTTCCCGTTTGGGCCTGTGCTCCTCTCCAGATAAGAGACACCCGTTGATTGGCTGACGCCCAACCTCATATCTACAGCCACTGACAGCGGGACAATGGACTTGCGGCCGCCAGCACATTTTCCATTCACAGAGCGGTATCGAAATCAATTGCTGTTTAATTTCCATTATTGACCTCTGTAAGTAAGCTTGTCCGTATTTTGCCATCGTCCGCGGTTTCCGAGGAGCCATATCCCCTGCTTATCACGCACTCGCTGACAGGGCCTGGGTTCCCCGAACTTCAGATGCACCTTCACAATAGTGTAAAGTAAGACTATGGATATAGAGATCTGGAGGATACACAGCATATATCTGCATTATTGAAGGCTTTCTAAATCTCCGTAGATATTGTGGTCTCGAAGTTGAGCCTCTTTGGAGTAAACTATTAAACCGCCGTAAGGTAGACCCGTAATTCCCCGGCGCATGGGTCCCATTCTCTTTGAAAACGCCCCCAAACCGTCCTTATCCATCAAAATGGCTGAAATTGGCGGGCTTGGCTCCAGCTATCAGTCAGATCGGATGAATCATAATAGAAATCACCATGACCACCGTCTTAGTTTCCACTATCTGGGGCTAAGATTGATGGTTCCGACGCTCTTCTAGCGTGTCCCCGGTGGAGACACCCCCGTTTGATGTTCCATATGTACGGAGTATTGCGTCGCTATTTAATTATCAGGCCCTGTCCCTGCAGCACTTGATAGATCAGCTTATCCTTCTCCTTTTCATAGCCCTAAATACCGGGTTTAAATCGATTGATCTCTTCTCCTCGTTGACCTTTCACATCAGCCATACATTTGACTGCCCGCCTCATATTTTCGTCTGATTTCGTTCTGGTACGCCTATCTGTGACACTGAGCCATCTCACTGGTTTCCGTCATGTCTGTCGAGTACAATGGGACCATCGCCACCGGCGGTGATTCCCTCCACGATAACCTCAACATCTACTATAATGTAAGTCACACGAAGATGGATCCTTTAAGTTCTTCCAACAGACCATCCGAACTAATTGGGATTCTAGGCCGGCGATATCTCTTGGATAATCACATCATCAGCCCTTGTGCTGCTCATGATTCCGGGTGTTGGGTATGTATTACATCGCGACGCACTTTATTCCTTAGTACATCACTGACTCTTACTGTTTAGTTTCTTCTACTCGGGTCTAGCTCGCCGCAAGTCTGCACTCTCTCTCATATGGCTTTCGATCATGTCCGTCGGCGTCGTGTCGTTCCAATGGTTCTTCTGGGGATATTCGCTAGCTTTCTCCCACACCGCTGGAAAGTTTATCGGCGATCTCTCAAACTTTGGCATGAAGGATGTTCTTGCCCAGCCATCTGTCGGAGGTACCGCCGTCCCGGATATTCTCTTCGCTATCTTCCAGGGCATGTTCGCTTGTATTACGTGAGTAAACCAATCAAGATTTGCTCCCACCCAGAATACTGACACTAGGGATTTTAGGGTTGCTCTCGCCGTCGGTGCCGTCGCTGAGCGTGGTCGTATGCTCCCCTGCATTGTCTTCATGTTCATCTGGTCGACTATCATCTACGACCCCATTGCGTGCTGGACATGGAACCCCTCCGGCTGGGTTTACCAACTAGGTGGATTGGACTTCGCTGGTGGTACTCCGGTTCACATCGCGTCGGGTTCTGCAGCTTTGGCATACTCCCTGATGCTGGGTAAGCGTCGTGGCCATGGCACTCATGAGCTCAACTACCGTCCTCACAACGTTACTCACGTCGTCATCGGTACTGTCTTCCTTTGGGTGGGCTGGTTTGGCTTCAACGCTGGCTCTGCCCTGTCCGCCAACCTTCGTGCTGCTATGGCAGCCGTTGTCACCAACCTGGCTGCTTCAGTTGGCGGTGTAACCTGGTGTCTTATGGACTATCGCCTGGAGCGCAAGTGGTCTACTGTTGGCTTCTGCTCTGGTGTGATCGCTGGCCTGGTCGCTATCACTCCCGGATCTGGATTCGTCACTCCTTGGGCTGCTGTCATCTTCGGTGTTGTGGGTGCTGTTGCCTGCAATTATGCAACCAAGTTGAAGTTCCTGCTCCGTGTTGACGACGCTCTGGACATCTTTGCTGTCCACGGTATTGGCGGCATCGTTGGTAACCTCCTCACTGGTCTCTTCGCTGCCGACTACATTGCGCACTTGGACGGTGCCACTGAGATTGATGGAGGCTGGATCAACCACAACTACATTCAATTGGGATACCAGCTCGCGGATTCCGTCTCTGGTATGGCATACTCCTTCGTTGGAACCTGCATCATTCTGTTCATCCTCAACCTGATTCCCGGTATGAGTCTGCGTGCTCCCGAGGAGGACGAGATCATGGGTATTGATGATGCCGAAATTGGCGAGTTTGCCTACGACTACGTCGAGATCAGACGTGACGTTATCAGCGGCATTGAGAGCAGCGAGACTGGCTCCAAGCGCACCGTTACTCCCACTGGCGAACACGCCATTGAAACCAAGGTCTAATATCCTTGGTGACTTGACGAACTTTTATCAAATCTTTAATAACTTCTTTCGGTGGTTTATTTTTATTATCCATCCTTTCCCTCTTTCTCTTGTTTTCTTCTCCAACTTTCAGCATTTTGGATAACATCCTATTCCTTTTTTCTTATATCTTATATGCATTGACAGATACCCAAATCAAAATCAAAATAATAACAAAAAGCCCAGAGTCACCCCCAAAATAGTATTGTAATAACATGCAATTGAAATGTAATCTTGAGACTAAAACCAAAAAGAATTTTTTTTTTTAACGCGCGATTTGAACAAAACAACGAGCAATCAAAGTACTAGTATACAGACGGACCCGAACCCCCGAAGTAGTTTCAGCCTATTACTTGGCGAATTCACTGTCTCGCTCCAGCCATGTTCCAAAGCCCTTGAGATTTGGATTGGTGCGCTTCAACTCAGGAATATCTACCTTGTAACCACTGTCATGAAACCACTTGAACATATAGCCCATGTACTTCACAGATGCCATGAATAATGAGCAGAGAAACTGGAAATTTGAAGGGAAAGGACTGCCCGTTTTCTCTTTGAAAATCCATGCCATCTGATCGTATGTCAACTCATCCCTGCCAGAGAAAGACTTTTGTTCTGGTACGCCTCCGGATGAGCAAAAGCCTCGGCCCCAAAAAATCCGATATCGTCCGTCGCTACCATCTGTAGCGGTTTGCCTTTCGGCGCCATCTTGAAGCTGGTTGCAAAGACTTTGCCAAAGAAATCCGGGGCGAGATTCTCATAGAATGCCGCCGGTCGCAGAATGAACCACTTCATGTCTGCGCTTTTGCTTTTTTCGACAAGGTGATGCTCAATGTTGTGCTTGTTTATGAAATGCGGGACCTTGGTTGGTGTTGTGTAAGAAGCATCTCCTCCCCGGTCAACAGAGCTATACACAAAGAATTGGACATTTTGTTTCAGTGAGTCGTCGATGAGAGATTTCCCTTGCAGCTCTTCTAGTGCGCTATTTCCGATTGCGACCTGCTAAGAGATAGTTAGTATATCAATGCAAAGCCATCAATGGGTTGAAAAGGTATAGATACCTGAACGCTGTAGACGCCTCAGATATCGCATTGAGTCGCTTTGCGCGCATTCTGAAAAAGAGCTGGGGCATTGTCCAAATTTCCCTCCACGATTTTCATATTTGGTGACAATTTCGTGAGCTTTTGGGCTGAAGAAGACTAAACGTTGCGAGTCATGGCCAAGATTTCCAACAGAGATGTTCTGGCAACAAGACTTCTGATGAGGGAGCCTCCTTACTTGCCCGTCACAACAGTTATGAGCACGGCTATTATTATGAAGCCTTGGAGAGAAAGCTTTTTTAATCGCGTGATGATGTGGTGGACTTGTGGAGAGGCAGAGAAATATAGCGTCTTTGGCGTTCGCAGGTAGGTAATGGTAGTAGTAATATTTGCAAGATAGTATGTATCGAACAACTCCGAGAATGGCGAGACCTGCAAAGATTTGAAGAGAAGAAAGTGAACTATGATCCCTTTTAAGGAGAAGCAGCTATACATGAGAATGCTCTAGTAGCTTATGCCAATTTGAATTTTGTGTGTTATGTCATGACCTACTCTCGAAGTTCATTTCAATGCCGTGATGAATAAGATTGGTAAGGACCCAGTCGACTAGGGCCGCCGACCGCCGAGGAGTCGCTAGCTGGCGGTAGCCACCCCTGGCACCCAGTAAAGAGCGCCTCTCTGGTTGCATTGGTCATGCATATTTTGTGAATGGCTTTAAATTGTAGCAAACTGTAACTATGATTGACAAGGGGTTCATTCAACTATAGTATAGGTAAATCCGTTTGGTAGAACTAAGACATGACAACAAAACAACCTTGGAAAGAAAATGGAAACTGTATAAGTTGTAATTAATGTGAATAAAATAGCTTTAGTGTTGAGGTTAGTCATGCCATCACTCTCTAAACAGATTTCACAAATTCATAACAGGGTTCACTGAATTTTTCATCTCTCAATTTTGACAAATTTCATCTTGATTTGACTCGCCGGCAGTTGGCATTGAGATCAAGGCCGAAAATAAGGTGCTGACCGAATGCCGTCACTCGTTGCCCGATTGGAGTTAGATTTTATAATCGTGCACGGGATCGTCAATGGTATGATTCACTAGTAATCAATCAAAATACTTAAAAGTCATCTCGTGACAACCAAATCCAGGTCCAGCACACATAAAATCCTTCTCAACCTTTAAAGCATATCGATCTCGACCAATATCAATCATGGCCAAAGTTATCACCGTCTTCGGTGCTACCGGACAACAAGGGGGCTCTGTTATCCGTATTATTCTGCAGGACGAAAACCTATCCAAAGAATTCAAGATTCGAGGAGTCAGTCGCGATCTTTCGAAGCCGCAATCCCGGGCTCTTGCAAGCCAGGGCGTGGAGCTTGTCTTGGTAAGGTTGCAACGGCTAGCTAAACGAGAGAATAAATTCAATACTAACAGCATTTAAGGCCGACATGAACTCCAAGGAATCGCTATCGAAGGCCATTTAAGGTAGTCACTCAGTGTTTCTCATCACCAATCCGGCTTGGGGGTCCGAAGGCTCCGATGCGGAGCTAATTAATGGCAAGAACGTCGCCGATGTTGCAAAGCAGACAGGCGTTAAGCACCTCATCTTCTCTTCCTTGTTGAATGTCATCAATGAAACAGGTGGCCGAACCAGCACGTCCCCCACTTTGACCACAAGGCCCAAGTCGAGCAGTATATCCGGTCTATTGGCGTGCCCGCTACCTTCGTACTTCCTGGATATCTCATGAGCAATTACACTCAATTTGGAATGCTACGTAAGGGAGACGACGACGTTTATACGTTGACGTATCCGGTTGGCAAGGATGCTCAATTCCCACTCATCGATATCACAAGCGATATGGGTAAGTACTCCTCAAAGCTTCAAAGTGTACTACGTAATGGGACAAAAGCTAACAAGAGCCTTGCCAGGTAAATACGTCGCAGCTGCCTTGAAGAATCGTTCAGCGGTTCTCAGAGTCCAATTTTTCGCTGCTGCAGACTACTATACTCCAGCACGCATTCTTGCTGAGTCTGAAGAAGTTACTGGCAAGAAAACTCGATTTTTTCAGGTCGATTCTGAAACCTATAAGACAGGACAGATGAGCCAAGAAATGCTTGAGAATCACCTCTTCATCGAGAGTCCAGGTTAGTTTATGGGCCAAAGCTTGAAGGAGAGCCATGATCTACCTGAACAGGCCGGTTATCTTCCTACAACCTGGAAAGCGTTTTTGGAACAGAATAAGTCCTCTCTGTGATATGATTATTAGTTAGTTGAATAGTTCTAGTTTCAATACTGAATTACTACGTTACCCGTGGTACGCCTTCCTTTTACCCGAGAAACCAAGACAAGCGTTGATCTTTGAATCCGGCCGTTCAACAGTAGATGAATGTCTCAAACTACTAAATAAGTGGCCACATACACTTTGATCATGTCGATCAAATGCGGCAAAGTTCGCAGAATGTTGACATGTGTGACACAAGTCTCTGTTGTACACACCTCGGGTGGCACCTGATCAGGTCTAGCCGCCCGCTACCCCACGATCGACCAGGGTTGCGTTAGTGCTCTGACGCCATTACCTGTGATCTACCCTTTTTAAGACTCTTTTCCCTCTTCTTATACTTCTTCTCTTCTTCCGGCGTGCCCATCCAAATACCATCCGCTCGTTGATATCTTTATACGCCTCTCTCTCAGCTGACCTACAATCCTCACGTGCAATGTCTGATCCGGGAGCCGAGCTTCAATCCACTCTCCGCAACCTATCCATTGGCGAGAAAGGCCCAGTGCAGGATATCGTGCGTCCTGCTGTGAAGGTAGCCTCTACCACCACACCTACCTCTGCCCCGAAACCGCGCAAACCCACAAAGAAGCCCATTGCAGACTCTTGGGAGGACGAAGACACGTCCGACGACGAGCCTGCTTCGCAAGGAGATGCCGCACCGTCTCCGTCCATTCTTTCTCCCACTCTCAGTGCAGAGGGTCCTCTAGATCCTCCACCCACGCCAATCTCGCCGCAGACTACTAACCCCTGGGTCGACACGGGACGGTCAGGCTCCCCTGCTGCGGGGAAGCGTGATCCGAATCGCCGGCCCGAAAAACAAACCGCAGTCGCTGGTCGGCTGATCGCGGGCGCCCTGGGTATACGGGCACCGAAGCGTACTGAAGAGCAGCGTGCCTACGACTGCTCTGTCAAGGAGCAGGAGATCAAACGGCGAAACCGAGAGCGTGAAGAGCAGGCCAAGGCTAAAGAGGACGAGGAGCGCCTGAAATCTTCAGTGTGGACAGAATAACTCTTTGGCTTGCTCTTTTGCCTGCTCTTTGGTGCCTCCCATCCATCTTATACTACCTTTCAACTGTATATACGTGTTTCTCTTTGGGGACTGGCCTATTGATGGAACAGGTGCCCAGGTGGTTTCTTGCTGAATCTTGCTCGGTGCAGATAATTGCTTGAGATATCCCAGACACCCGATGTCTACTATATGTTTTATGTTTAATAATGTGGAGATAGCTGGATTATCTATTAGTCGCTGCAGCCTGCAGCGACGATCGCCTTGCGGGGGAAAACTTTCAGAGGTAGAAATTTCTATCCTTTTCGGAATTCGTTACCATCCAGGAAATATGTAGATTCCCACAACCATTTCTTCCATTCCTGTAATATTCGTTTAATCGTGAAAATTGAAACCAGAGCAAGATCAAATGCCAATGCGATGTACAGCCGCATCGCCAGTCATTTTGCAGCCCAGCAAATCCATGTACGGTCCGCTGTCACATGTCCCTCGCTCAGACAGAAAAGTGTTCAGAGTCCGCCTCCGATCTGCTCCTGGTGGACCTCGAGAGTATCGCCGTCGGCCATATCAAGCTGTGAGATGTCAGTTAAGATAGACTCTTCGGCGTTCGTTGTGGTGGTCACATACGGTGTCTGGTGTGTCTTCGGGTCGCACACGAGTGCCGTCGAAAAGGAATCGCACGGTGGACATCTGCTTCCCTTGACGCTCGCAGAATGCATCCATCAGTTTCTTAAGCTGGGTCGAACGCTTAATCTTGAAGAAGACTTCGTTATTGTTATCTGTGACTTTGATGTTCAGGTGCTCAGTGGGAGCAGCACCTGCTTCCTGTTCGGCGGACATGATGATTGTAGAAGACCCTGGCGAGACAAATGTCAGAGAGAGGGGAGCTGTGAGGCGATCGTGGGGCGCTTACACGGTTGGGAAAGGTGGTGGGGGAGAAGGGTGGGTTGTAGATGCTAATTCTGAAACACGGGGTTAGCAGTCGCGTCATATATCATAGCTAACAGGAATGGGTCATCAAGCTCACCAAGCGGACGCCGGAGAGGAATTTGGAAAAGTGATGGAGGTGGGAAGGCAACAGGCGAAGCAAGGTGAGTGGTGAGGGAGGAGAGACTATCAGCGGCAGAATGGCGGCAAATTTGGGTACAAAATAGGAAGGCGGAGAATATATTTTGCGTCACCCTCAAATTCTATGCAGTTCGGTCTTTGTGTTGCACGCTTTGCCCTTACATGAGAGAGGCAGAGAGAAATATCAAAGATTGTACAACATGGTAGGGAAGGTCTAACAAAGCTACAAAGATCATTATGTTGATTTTAAACCGCCCAGGGGAACCTCAAACAAGACTTAAGCCACGAGACGCCATGTCACCCGCGTGCTGTACGTTATGTCCATTCACTGCGTTGACCTGAACAGCTTTCCAAGGTTGGAGCTTGTGGCTGACCTTTCTTCCCAGTGTGCAATTCAAGGTAATTGGTTCATGAGGCTGATAGCCACCCCAATTTCGCCATGAAGTTGGACTAACACTTAGCAGACTGTCTGACCAAAAATTCTTACAATGAGGAGAAATGCCAGACGCAAATCGACGCTCTCTACGAGTGTTGCAATGCCTTCTACCAAAAGAATGGAGACCAGGCCTCGGTCGTGAGCTGTCCAAAGGCTCAACTGTTGCGGCTTAAGATGAAACAGCGTGCCCAGGCAGCCGAGAGCCAACCCTAGAAATAAACTAGGAGGACTGGAGGGTGCTAGAGAGCTAGAGCCGGTACATGAATAGCAGATAAAATAAAATAGAGAATTCCTTAGATGGAATGTCGCAGCCCCTTTGCAGACTAAGCTCCCACATAGAAGAGAACGAGACTAATTGAAGGACTGCGATCGTTCTAAGACAATCTTGAGCACGCAAGGAGACCTCATGGGCCTGAACAGATATTGAAAACTTCCGTTCCGAGACTCTAATGAAAGCCTAATGACATTTGTGGAAAAGAAAAGAATGGGGGACGGCGGAAATTCTTTAAATACCTGGTCCCGTGCCGACCACACTAACCGCTTTGGGCCCAAGTAACCAACGCGCCCAAAATCAAAAGAGACAAACATCATTTCCCTCTCTGCTCTTGCATCAACTCCTCCACTACGGCTAGGGTATTGTTCGCCATGGCACCACTTACTAGATCCGCAAGAACGGCGGCTTCAGGTGGTCCGACTCTGCGATCAGAGGTTCGTATTCCCTTTGTTTCTTGTCTTTTCTATTTTACAACTGACTGACAAGAATTGCTCTCTAAAGACCGCTCAACCACTCCGCAAGGAACCAGAAATTATCAGCATTGACGAAGACGAAGAGGATGAATCCATGGAGGATGAAGGATCTTACGAAGATGAGGAAGAGCTAGAGAACGATGAGGACCAAGAGGATGACAACGAGGATGATGAAATGGACGAGGCCGGCCGCTTCTATGGCGACGGAGCGGCGGATTCTGGATCCGCCTTCCCTGTATTGGAACCAAACCTCAAATCTGTCATGGGGATGTCCAACAGGTCTCAAGGTCTGTAGAGCTTCCATTGATTATGCCTTGCCATAGCTCATCCGTTCTCCAGGTTCGCCTCAGCTGTTTACCGCTGCCGGCGCGCAAGAAGCATTCGACCCCCTTCGCCGCACCGCCGATCGCGTCACAAAGCAAATCGAGGCATTCGCCAAGGAACTCGACCAATTCAAACAGAAAAACTCTAGTGATGAGTTCCAGAACATCCAAGCCGCATACGAACTCGTCGACAAATACCAAAAGCTCACGAAAAATGCCATCCAAGAGACCGAAAAGCAACAAAAGCTCAAACGCGCGAAGAATTTCCGGTCGAGCGGTAGCGAGGACCCCAAGGCGGAGGAAGAATTGCGACGTCTCCAGCTGGAACTTGATACTTGGCACCTTCTTCTGAACCTGATCAGTATCGACGACCCGGATAGTCGAGCCAGCTACCAAGAAGGACGCCAAACCGCTTTCCAGAATTTGCATCGCTACTCATCCGATCGTGAAATTTGGGAGCAATTTTTGAACTCCGATCAATACGCTCTCGAGTGCGTTGTGGCTATGAAATGGCTCGAGAAGACTTCGAAGACGAGCGACAATGAGCTTGAGTTTCTTATCACCGATATGGAGGCACAGGCGGAACGTGGCCAAGGCCTGTGGGCCCATGGATGGCTCTTCACTAAAGAAGCTATCAAAGGACACAAGCGATTGCGCGCTTGGCCCCAGCCACTGGAACCCAATGATACGGCACATGCGATGTTGAAAACCGATGATCAAAAGCCTCTTGTTACCCAGCTGGACCCCGATGCGCTCCTCCGGCAAAAACACAGCCTACAGGCACAGGACGAGTTCTACGAGCGGGCTACATGGATGACCTGTTGGAAGATGCTTCGACAGGGCGAGAATTGGACTAAAATCCGCGAATGGGCCCAAAGCCGCCTTGAAAACTGGAGGGCTATTAGCCTTTGCGGTTCGAGTGTTGATGCAAACAGCACCAAGACTCGTACTCCAGTCGACGATGGATTGACACGCCTGATGAATGCACGCGCACAAGACTCCTGGCGCGCTGCTTGCTCTGCTTTGGCGCGCAATACCAACGCTGGCGATTTCGAGCGTGCTGTCTACGGCTTGCTGTGTGGCGAGAGTGACTCAGTCGTCAAAGTCTGCAGTAGCTGGGATGACTACCTCTACGTGTACTTCAACCGCATCGTTCTCTCGCGCTACCAGGGATTCTGCAAGCAGTTTCAACGAAAGTTGAGCCACTCTCCTAACAGCACAGTCGTCTTCACGCCCGAGCCAGCTGGACACGCTGATCTACAGAAGTTCTTCCAGTACTTGCGAGGCAACGAGCGAGTTGGTAGCGAGGCACGAAACCCGTTCCGCAATCTTCAAGCAGCCATTCTCAGCAAGGGATATGATTCATTCTTCTCCCTTTTGGCCCAAGCGGTTTCGCAAGTCAGCCTCAACATACACGGGGCGGCATCTATCATTCCAATGATTCCGCACTCCCAGGTGGATGATGCGTACCTCATTGCTGCAGAGGATGAGGAGGCTGTTAAGATCGCGACTCACGTTTATCTTGTCGCACGATCTCTCGGCTACTCTCGCGCCGATAATAACGAGACCGCGTCTGTTGTTGTCACTGGATTTATCGCTAACCTGGAAGCGAGAGGCCTTTTTGACCTTATCCCCCTATACGCGTCTCTTCTGCCGGAAAATATGTGTCACGGCGTCTTCGCGAAGATCTTGGTTGATATCGTGAACCCGAAGCAGAGAAAGGATCAAGTTCGCCTGAATCAAAAGTACGGCATCGATATCACCGCCGTTCTGGACGTGCAATGGAATTGGTTAAGCAGTGACGTTTCTTTGATCGAGCATTCGCCCGGTCTCACTGGCTACTCCAGAGTGGTGCGCCGGCAGGATGGCTCGCGACATCTCGTTCAGCCCAAGAAGGACTTGATTGGAACATCCATCGCAGACGAGGACGAACGTTTGATCCGCAGTCTTGAATGGCTTCGCTACGTGGGCGGCCAATGGGTCAAGATATGCAAGCTAGGAGCATGGCTCTACCGCAAATTCTTCGTTGCAGGCAAGCTATCAGCTGCTAGGGAGCTCAGTCATCGCATGCCATTGTCTGAGATCTCCCAGGAGACGTTTGGATTTGACATCCTTGAATTTCCTGCTCTAGATGTGGATCAATTCATTGCAGAGAAGAGTACACCTTCTAGCCCGAGCAAGTCCAGGAAGAACAGTGCCCATCGACGCAGCCTGTCTAGTAATAATGGTCTGGCGGTCAACAACCCTGCCAATGCCAATCAGCAATGTTCTCTCATGTTGAACTTCGAGAATCTTGCTCTTGGATTTGACAGCCTGGAGAACTTTGCCATTCTCTACGACCAGATTTCGAGGTAAGAGCGAATTCTACTAATTCACGTGGGTCACTCAAACTAACTTTGAAATTAGGACCAAACGTCGACGAGACTCCGGTACGGTGAAGGACCTGTTCGCCGAACTCAGGGACCATATCGGTTTCCTTGAGCAAAGTGTCGGTCAGATGGTGGAGGTGCCCGACTGGCCCGGTACGGCCGAGAATGGTGAGTGCTCCTTCACACCCGTGCATGGTAACAGGTCAAGAAACATTGTTTACTAATTTGTATCAAACAGCCGAGGAAGAAAAGGACTATGCACACATCCGTCGCACATATCTCCCCGAATTGATTCTGGACTACCACAACGCCGTGTACTACGCCAGCGGCACCCTTGAACAGCCAGAGCTACTTACCCAGTGCATGGTTGTGGCCACACTGGTTGCAAAAATCCCGCATTTGACGCGTAGCTTCACTGAGGCGCAGCGCATGGCTGAACTAATGGATGTCTTGGCCTTGGCGGGTAGAGCCATGATTATCACCGATCCGAAACATGATGCTGTTCAGGAAAGTGGCCAAACTCTTGCAGTGTGGAGGGTCAGTGTTCCAGAGGGCGACGACAATGCCATGTTACAGCATACCAAGTGATACGCGGCATGGTAGGCTGGGTAATGGGATTGATTGTGTAAATTAGCATGCGGCGGAGGACAAAGGGATACAATACAAACCACATGGAATATGGGACATGGGGGCGAAGATTTGCTTATTCAAGGTTTGAATGATGGCAGTGAGGAGATCTACAATGCACGGAGACCCTATCGGATCCTTGCATCTTTTTTCTCTTTCTCAATCAATGTAAATCATTCTGCAGTTCTCAATTATTAGCTCAGCCCCTCGTTTCACATCAATCTGAAGGATAACAACCACAACCACAGAAACAGGGAAACGGCCTGGTCCTCATCGGCCCCCCACGCCGCGTACAGACTGTCGTATGTAAGATTCCTAGTAACACATGCCCCCGGACGAATCGAAATAAGCCCCCTGGTCATTGTCACCCGGGAAACCACACACAACACCCTTGAGTACCCTTACTGGTACGGCTCCATGAGCTTATTTCCCAAAACTTTAGCCGGGAAGTCCTCCTCGCCTAGGGTCGTCGTATGCGCCCAAGGCTTCAGTCCATTTTCGCGATGGATTGTCGCGGCAAAGCATTGGCTCCAGTGGTATCGCGGGAAATGAGCAGACACATCCTCGATAGTGGCCGGATGGACAAGATCGGCGTACGCACCGGTGTTGTCTGTGACGCAAATTCCGAAGTTAGTGAAGGGTTCTGTACTCCGTACTCCGTATGGGACACCACTCCATAGTGTAGCTCCACCTGTCTACTCCGCCAAGGACAACGGGAAAAAAGAACAAGGGAAAAAGTCTAAAGTTCGAAGCAGATCCTACTGATGTTGATCGCGGGAAAGTCGGTCTGAAAGCCGCTTTTCCCGTCAATTATCTGTCCGAATTGATGCATCGTTGGTGCACCGTAAGTGGCGTCAATTTCCCACCCTTTCGTAGGTTTCAGGTAAAAGTACGGAGCAAAGGGGGGGTCAAACCCATAATTGAGAACGGCGCCAAAGCCAAAAAAAAAAGAGAAAGGGTTTTGAAGTGATGGTGAGAGGAGGGATTCTGCATATCCGACACGTACCGAAGATCGTCGCGAGCTGCAACAATTGTCCCACCGCAGTAATTTTGCCAACAGCGCACAGGTCCTGATGTCGGATGATCGCCTCCGCCACACTCTCCGCTTGTTCTCGCGTCGAAGCAGACTCAGAGCCGGACCCACCCCGTTGCAGAACATCAAGTGCCAGGAACCCGCCGTAGAATTCAAAGCTTAAGCGGGTCTGCGAAAGATTCTCGTCTGTGGTGCCGATGTCGTGGAGCACGCAAGCGAGGAAGTAAGTCTCGTCGGAAAAGTCCCAGTCTGCGGAGGAGGCGAAGCGGTACTTTTTGATCGCTTGGCCGAAATGATAGACACGGAGGGAGTGGTTGTATGTTGGCTCCGGGAGGTAAGTGCGGGCGTAGGTGTTGATGCGCTGAGCGAGGGGAGTAGTTGGGATGGGTGTTTCGGAGACGGGGATGGCGATGGGGGCTGTGTTTGGCTTGGGATAAGCCGGTGTGGAGGTTAGTAGAGTGGATGCTGAGGCAGGAACGGCTGTGAAGCCGAATTCTTGGATAAAGTCAGACATAGTGTTCAAGTTGGAGTTGGGGATTGCGTGATGTAAGAGTTGAGTATTCAAGGTGGTTCCAAAGATTGGTGGATAGAGAAGGATGCTCCTACTACCTAGGTAGTAACCACTGGCACTGGCAACTCTGAGATATCTGCAATTTATATACTGGACAAAGTCGATAAATGTGGAGATGAGTGTCACCATGACAGATATTTCTCCATGTGCGAGTATAAATTAAATTGCCTTCGAGTTATACAATCGACCATATAATTATCGTATACCTAGCTACATGCATAGTTAGTAGTACTGGTAGGAGTGCCTACCACCAAAGTAGAAATCTATACGACATACGACTTCAACTTGAAATTAGCATCGGATCGGAATGGTGTCAAGCTCTTAAGAACTAGTAGGGCCTGGGTTCGGAATATCTCTACCTAGATGCACGGCTAATATGTACTTAGTACTAAGTACTCACAATTGACTAGTACTAGTACATAATATGCATATATTCTCCGAGTGCAAAGCCACACTGTTCTGATTGGAAGCCAACCCGACGAAATAAAGCGCCCGCAGGCAAACGCGTCGAATGTGATAGGGGCTTGCTTAGCATGATTGTAATATGTACAGTCCTTTAGTCTCGTCGTTTGTAGCTACGGAGTACTGTGGTAGTCTATACTAGTACTACTAGTGGTAGAGTCAACATGTCATCGACTTGGTACTACTCCCACTTAGTACGGGGTTACTTCTACATACTTTCTCCTCGCCCAACTGATTTTCCCTTCAAACCCTTTCTCCTTCCAGACATTCCAAGACAAACCTTACGATTTTCCATCTTTGACCTGTTCAAAGTACAGGGAATATCCTGGATTCCCGGGTATTGAGGCCTAAATTGCCGTACTGGTGCCCTACTCTGCTGTTCAAGGTTCCCAACATCACCATTCACTACCACCACCACTACTAATATTCGATGGTACCAACCGCTGCACATAAAGTATTGGGGACGTCATCTCCACTCAACGGTCCAGCGCGCGCCAAATAATTTGTCTTCTATTGCCCCTTATTCGCCTCCCTTTGCCCTCCGGAGCCCCGGGCGGCCTTGGCACGCGAGGCAGTGCAAACACAGGAATTCGAAGCCGCAGCTGCATTTTCGCCTGTTTGCCACATCACTTCTGGTGGTGGCCGACCAAGAGAGGTGCCACGATTGCCCCATCTTCTTCTCTTTCAAATCAATTCCCCTCACAGCAGTCAAATCCCCCCCGAGGCCCAGTGTCTTTCGATCCGAGGCCACGTCCGTGAGTGACAAGTCGACCGCAAGACCGCGCTATCCACTGGGGCTGTGCATTGTGGAACCCTACCCCGAGCGGGATCCATACGAAAAGGAAAAACAATCGAGACCGGAGTGGATCTACGTCTGCAAAGGGGTCTGGTCTTGCTGCTGTCAATCTTGCGATCTTAGTGGCGCGTCTGGTTGCATGCGATTTGATTCCCTCCTTGAACGACCTTTCGACTCCTTCTCATCTCTGTCGAAAAGCCACCCCCAAAAAGAACCCCCGTCGGGCACGAAACTGCTGCATCTGCGATCCTGATTCGGCAACCAACCTGATCTACGAGAGTCGACTATTTTCCCTCCTCCCGTCAATGCAAACATCAGTGGTTGTGGATCTACCGCTCGCGTGAAATCGCGTTCGGTTTCATTTTGATCATACACCATGTCGAATACACGAGAGGATGACGAGCCTCTCCAGACCCCTACTACACCCTTGCGGAGAGAGCGGGCTCCCACGATCACTATCGACACCTCCGCCGTGAACTCGCCAAATAACGGCCAACCGCCCGTCCAATTCCTTTCCGGTTCCGAGCAAGCCTCGACGGAAAATCTTAATAATAATAATAATGGAGAATCGCCCAGCGCCAGGTGGGCAGGTCATGACGACACTGTGTCCCCTACAGATCGAAGGTCCACAGCATCGATTCGTTCAAATGCTTCTTCAGAAGCTCGAGATCGAGACCCCGAAAACCGACCTACTTCGCCTCACAATATCTCATCCCCAAAGGCCAAGCAGTCAGAATCACATTCCAACTTCTTGTCTGTCCCAGGCACGCGCTCACGGGGGAACTCCCTTGAATCGGAAGATGCCGTCAGCCAAACTTCCAGTATATATGGCGGCGATACATATGTCCCTAGCCAGTCTCACCACTCGCATTCCCAATCCGACTTGACCAAGCACACCAATATCGATGAAGAGGACGCTTTAACCCCGGACCCCGGCCGGGAAGCCGAGTTTGAAGTCGAAAACAATCGGTTTGCCTTTTCCCCGGGCCAACTCAATAAGCTTCTGAATCCGAAGAGCTTCTCTGCTTTCCGTGCACTGGGGGGACTGCGAGGTCTCGAAAAGGGGCTGCGGACGGATATCCAAAGTGGTCTCAGCACCGACGAGGCTGCGTTGGATGGGGCTGTGGGATTTGAAGATGCCGTTGGCTCGGGGTCTTTACCTAAAACAGCTTCCCCAGTTGGACAGCCACCTGTAACGCCTACAGAAACGAAGACTGACACTGATGCAAACCAAGAGTTTTCAGATCGGAAGCGAGTCTATGGCAATAACCAGCTCCCAGAGAGAAAGTTAAAGACCATCTGGGAATTGGCCTGGATAGCTTTCAATGACAAGGTGCTCATCCTGCTGACGATTGCCGCCATCGTCTCTCTGGCTGTTGGTATCCCCCAGTCAATTCACCCAGCTGATCCAGACGAGCCGGGCGTGGAATGGGTGGAAGGCCTCGCTATTCTAATCGCCATCATCATTGTTGTGACTGTTGGCGCCTCGAATGATTGGCAAAAGGAACGGCAATTTGCAAAGCTTAACAAGAAGAAAAGAAACCGACTCATCAAGGTGATGAGATCCGGCAAAACTGTGGAGATATCCATTCATGAAATTCTTGTTGGCGATGTGATGTACGTGGAAGCTGGCGATCTAATACCCGTGGATGGTATCCTCATCGATGGCCACGGTATCAAGTGCGATGAATCCTCCGCTACTGGTGAATCCGACCTTCTTCGAAAGACCCCTGGTGAAGACGTTTATCGAGCTATCGAACAGCAACAGGACCTCAAAAAGATGGACCCCTTCATCGTTTCCGGCGCTAAGGTCTCAGAAGGTGTCGGAACCTTCCTGGTCACCGCCACTGGTGTGCACTCTACTCACGGCCGAACTATGATGTCTCTTCAAGAAGAAGGCGAGACAACCCCGTTGCAGACGAAGCTTAACAAACTTGCCGAGTACATTGCTAAATTGGGTCTCGCCTCTGGTCTACTTCTTTTTGTGGTTCTTTTTATCAAGTTCCTAGCGGGACTGAGTAAGATCGAGGGTGGTGCGGATGCCAAGGGCCAAGCTTTCCTGCAGATCTTTATTGTGGCTGTCACCATCGTCGTTGTGGCGGTGCCTGAAGGTCTACCATTAGCGGTCACGCTCGCCCTGGCCTTCGCCACGACAAGAATGATCAAAGACAATAACCTCGTTCGCTTCCTCAAGGCCTGTGAAACCATGGGAAATGCCACAACAATTTGTTCCGACAAGACAGGTACCCTCACAGAAAATAGGATGAGTGCTGTTGCTGCCACATTGGGAACTTCATCGCGATTTGGAGACAAGGGACCTGCTGCTGCTGAATCAGGAGATGTTTCTGCATCGGAGTTCGTGTCTACTCTTTCGCCGTCTGTCAAGGACCTTCTACTCAAATCAATCACCCTCAATTCTACCGCCTTCGAGGGTGAGCAGGATGGAGTGAAGACTTTTATCGGCTCTAAGACTGAAACTGCCCTGCTCTCATTCGCCCGCGAGCACCTTGGAATGGGTCCTGTCAGCGAAGAGCGAGCAAATTCGAAGATTGTGCAAATGTATCCTTTCGACTCAGGCCGCAAATGTATGGCTGTCGTGTTTCAGCTTGAAAATGGGAAATACCGGATGGTGGTCAAGGGTGCGGCGGAAATCTTGATGGCGAAATCCACAAAGATCGTGCGCGATCCTACTGTCGCTCTCGAGGCTTCACCGCTGTCTGAAGAAAACCGCTCCACTCTGGATAATATCATCGTCAACTATGCGTCGCGTTCTTTGCGATGTATCGGTCTTCTCTATCGAGACTTCGATCAATGGCCGCCCCATGGAGTATCAACCTCAGGCTCTCGGGATGGCGCTGATTTTGAAGAAATCTTCAAAGACATGTCTATTTTTGGTATCTTTGGTATTCAGGACCCTGTTCGGAAAGGAGTCGCTCAAGCTGTCAACACTTGCCAGCGCGCCGGCGTCTTTGTGCGTATGGTAACTGGTGACAACATCATGACTGCAAAGGCTATCGCCGAGGAGTGTGGTATCTATACTCCCGGTGGAATCGCCATTGAAGGCCCCGAGTTTCGGAAGCTGAGTACACGACAAATGAACCAGATTATTCCTAGGCTTCAAGTAATCGCTCGATCCAGCCCTGATGACAAGAAGCTTCTCGTGAACCAGCTCAAGAAACTTGGGGAGACGGTTGCTGTTACTGGTGACGGTACCAACGATGCTCAGGCGCTCAAGAATGCCGATGTTGGCTTCGCTATGGGTATTGCTGGCACTGAAGTAGCCAAGGAAGCATCGGACATCATTTTGATGGATGACAACTTTGCGTCCATTGTCAAGGCTATGGCGTGGGGTCGCACTGTTAGTGATGCTGTGAAAAAGTTCCTCCAGTTCCAAATCACTGTCAACATTACTGCTGTGGTCCTCACTTTTGTCTCCGCAGTTGCCAGTCCCACCAGATCCTCCGTGCTCAGTGCTGTCCAGCTGTTGTGGGTGAACCTGATTATGGATACTTTCGCTGCTCTTGCACTGGCAACCGATCCCCCATCACCGTATGTTCTCGATCGCAGGCCTGAATCTAAAGCGGATCCCTTGATTACTCTCACGATGTGGAAGATGATTGTTGGTCAATCAATCTATCAACTAGTCGTGACCTTCGTTTTGAATTTTGCCGGCAAACATATCTTCCCCTGGGATGAAGGTCATATGCAGACAGTAGTGTTCAACACTTTCGTCTTCATGCAGATCTTCAACCAGTACAAGTAAGTTTGACCTTCATCTTGGTATGGCCTTTCAATATACTAACTCTCGCAGCTCCCGTCGAATCGATAATAAGCTCAACATCATGGAAGGAATATGGCGCAACAAGTGGTTCATCGGTATTCAACTCATCATCGTTGGTGGTCAGGTTTTGATTATCTTCGTGGGAGGCCAGGCCTTCTCTGTCAAACGCCTTGACCAGGGCTCACAATGGGCTGTCAGCCTGGTCCTCGGTGCGATTTCGCTACCCATCGCAGTGATCATCCGCCTCATTCCCGATGAATTCGTCAGCAAATTCGTCCCACACTTCTGGCATAGCCGCAAGCAAGGTGGGCCGGAGCTTGTTGTGTCTGATGAAGACCGCCGCTATGAATGGAACCCCGCACTGGAGGAGATTCGTGACCAGTTGGCTTTCATCAAGTCTGTCCGAGGTGGTCGTATCCGCCACATCCGCCACAAGCTGCAACACCCTCAGGAGTTTTTGCCTAGATCTCGCAGTGGCTCGCGATCACGGGAATCCTCGGTCCCGGCAACCCCCAACGGCGAGTCCGGCAGCCCGCCCCCTCAGCCTCCGACTCCCGAGTCGCGATCCCGTCGCGGTACCCGATCTCGTTCCAACTCAACCTTCGGACCTGCAGCCGCAATGGCTGGAGTGATCGCCGGTAGTATCGCCGGATGGTCCCCTATTGATCACGGTCAAGATGAAACCAATTCCATCACTTTCCCGCCCACGGGCACTTCTGGTGGAACGGATCGCCAGCCTGGCATTGAAATCCACCCTGACACCTCGGCCGATGACCGCATCGTAGGCGAATACTCTCATGACCCCAGGAATCCACCCAGTCAGAACCCGGATTTGATTCCTTTCTTCGAGCACGCGCCTCCTTCAACCTCCGATCGAGCACCCTCTAGTCGAGGCCGTCGCTCTATGTCTCAACGTTCTCGATCAAGTCAGAGTCAGTCACGAGTCTGATCTCCGACTACATACACTACCACCTACGCCCATATCGACTCGGTGGCATTTCAATGCATTAAAACAATAAGCATTTTCACGAACGGCGTTTGTGTTTCCCCTCTTTTCTCTTATATCCCATGACCACTACCACTCGAGTCTCTCTTATTTTTTTCGTTTATTCCCCAACCTGTCGGGTACAATTCTCTTTTTGTAATACTTTTTGCTTGTGTTTTGGTCCATTGCTTTTTCTTGCTTCACTCATGGGAAATATTGTGGCGCGGCGCGTTTGACAAAAAAACCCCTAGACTTGATATGCTCCTCTCTTTTTGCCTGTCATATTTGCATTGCCGGGGCTGAATAGGACAGCTTCACTGTCGTTTTCGGCAAATTTTGGCGTATTCGGGCTGATAATGCCAAAGTGTCTGTTCCATATTTGATCAATTTCATTTCTGCATATCGATCAGTCATTATTTGAAAGTAGACCTCCATCATAGATCAAGAAATTAGAGATCTCGAGGGCAATAGGACTGGTGACGTTCAGGCTGAATTTTTACCCTACCTAAGGTAATCTTGTAAAGCGCCCCCCCCACATTTTCCCGGACCAGTCACGGTGTGACTTTCTCCGCCAAAGCCATAGTCATACTTCCCCAACCCACAACCTTCAGCACTCTTCATAATCTTTCACACCTCTTACAGATCATTCAGTGAACGAACAATGGCTACTGTATCTACTCTACCGACACAGGTCGAATTGCTCCAGCGATGGGGCGGCAAAGACATTGCGGACTTGCCCAAACCCGCCGCTGTGATTGACAGAGCAATTGTCCGCGGCCATTGCGAAAGAATGAACAATACCATCCGGACCCTGGGAGTCGAATTCAGAGCTCATGTCAAAACGCACAAAGTCAGTGTCCTTTACCCAGACGAAACAGCCCTTGCAGCAATGCAGAGAAAGCTAGAAAACAAAAAGCTAACCCCCACCTAGACTCTCGAAATCGCCCAATTGCAGCTGGATAAGGAGAGCAAAGCTCCAAAATTCATCGCTTCAACGATTTTGGAGATTGAGACCTTGACCCGGTTTCTCGCTGGCCTGAAACAAGCTGGTCGCAGCCCCAACATCCTGTATGGTATTCCCCTCGTGCCATCCCACATCACCCGGCTCGCGGAATTGGCCGCGGAGATCGGCGAGGACAGCGTCACCGTGATGATCGACCACCCAGACCAGATCCAGTACCTGAAGAAATTCTCCGCCAAGACAAACTTCCCAGTCTGCGTCTTTGTCAAGGTAGATACCGGATATCACCGCGCCGGTCTGCCACCAATCTCCCTGAACAAAAACGGGCTACTGGAAAAGCTCGCCGAAGCCGAAAAAGCAGGCCACGCAAAATTACTCGGCCTCTACTCCCACTCCAGTCTCAGCTATGCCGCGACGAACGCCGACGAGGCGATGAATTATCTCATCGGCGAGATCCAGGGTTGCAAGGCCGCTCTGAACAAGTGGCTTCCTCTCCTACCAAAGAACCGGGAACTGATTATCAGCGTCGGCGCAACACCTCAAGCTATGTCCTCGCATAATTTGGTACAGGGGGGACTTGTCTGCAAAGGCGGAGGAACTTCGCGCTCTACTGCGAGAGCCCAGCGCAGAGCAGAGCGAGGCGCAGGTGAAGATCGAGTTGCACGCGGGTAATTACCCCGTTCTGGATATGCAACAAGTCTCCACGCATGCTCGCAACGGCGCCGGTGGACTTGAGGAGGAGATAGCGATATCTATTGTCGCAGAGGTCTGCAGTGTCTACAATGACGGCGAGCGAGAGAAACCCGAGGCGCTTGTTGCGGCGGGGACACTGGCGTTGGGTCGTGAGCCTTGCGCGGCTTATCCCGGATGGGGTATTCTTTCGAACTGGAGACAGACTGGCAAGGCGGAGTCTGGTGCGTCGCGGTTGATGGTTGAGCGCATTAGCCAGGAGCATTCGATTATTTCTTGGGAAAAGGCTTCGCAGGAGAGTATTCCGTTACAGGTTGGACAGGTTGTTAAGATCTACCCTAACCACTCTTGCGTGACGGGTGCGTTCTATGGGTTCTATTTCGTTATAGACTCATCCTTGGATGAGCCTTCTAGAGTGGTTGATATCTGGGTTCGTGGTCGGGGTGGTGGGGTTACGGATCCCCTAACCTTAACTAGATTCCAGTGAACTGTTGGATTAATAGATTGATAGAAAGATTTCGTGTTTAGATTTCTTGGAATAGAGATAATGAGATTAAGTGATTCTGCTCGCTGTCCATAGTTTCATGGGTATCGTCCCTTCTCTGATATTCTCTCGTCGGATTCCAAGCCCAAGGTACTGAAGCGAAGTCTTCAATTCCCCCATTGTAGAGTCTAATGCGCCGTATCCGTCGCGACGAAGGTAAAAAAGCGACACGACTGGAAGGTTTCCCTCCCGTTTATTGCCCGTGGACGAGTGTGCATCTAAGATGCATAACCCTGACCGCGGTAGATTGCTAGATGCTCTGTTAGTTTGACAGCTCTTGTAGAAGGGTGGGTGTAGACGTACGGTCCAGCTCGGCAACATAGAACACCAGCGGTGTCTTTGAGCTTTGCAGCATATTCTGCTCTTCGATCATAGCTGATATCCAACGATCGGGATCGGTAACATCATTGGCCTCCTGTGGTCGTGATTGAGATCCAGGCTCCACGTGCCAGAGACTGAGGTCGTGGGTAGAGGGATCGTAGCCGCAGAATTGCACCAACTTATCCACGAACAGCTCATAACTTAAATGTCTCTCATCAACGGTACCGTCACGGTAGAGGGCACGCTTATTCGTCACGAAGTAGGAGAGAGGAATGTGTTTTGATCTTCCGCCATCCGGGGCGACGAAGATGATCTTCTCCTGGTGAAGCATGCGGGTCGCCATATCCTTGTAGTACTTCCAGACCCGGAACGTGCTTCTCTTGCAAAGCTGGGCAATCCTGGAAAGAGAATCAAGGCATTCCTTGGGATCTCGAAGCATGAGGGCTTGAACTTGAGAAGGCATTTGTTGTTTGTGGAGGAGTATGCCTGGCTGCAGGATTTCTCGAACCCCGCGCCGATTGATGCGCATAGTCAACAACTTTGTTTCCTCCATCACTTTGAAAAGAGAGAGAATTATGGAGTCACGGACGCGGCTGTGGTAAATTCCCAGGAGCTCCCAGAGTCTTTCTTCTTTTGCGTCGTTCATGGTGGTAAAAGAATGAGGCGTGGAGGCGGGTATGGTGAGACATTGGGGAAAGGAAAGAGGGTGAGATCATTTTGAGTGGATGAAATAGAGCATCAGCTTCGTTAATGGACCCAGAAAAGGAAATTAGAGCTACCAGGTGCCTTCAGGGCAAGTGAACTACATGAGAAGGGTTGCGGGGCAGCCAACAGAAATCGAGGTTAGTCTCTAGCAGGGCAAGGGAACAAACACGGCAAAGACCGAGAAGAGATTAAATGAAAGGAATCAAACACTCAGCTGTCCATATTGAGCCCCGTTCAAGTCGTCATTATTGCTAGAAGGTTGAATTTGGTGGGACAATATCGAAACAGTGACTGAGAACACAAGATGGTTAGGATGAACGGGAAAATTGCTAGATATATGGGATAAACAAGGACTTCGGCATCTAATTATGGATGACAAAAGATGATCAAAATATACCTTTAGAACTGTTTTCAGGACTGAAAGCATACTAGTACTAGTATATGAGTTGTTTTAATGAAGGCTTTAACTTAGTCGGATGTGGCCTTTGGAGCTAATTACTAACCTAAATGAACAGACTGTTGACAGTCCTCAATACTACCCCCCAGGTGGATTCCCGCAGCTTTAAGCATTTAGATTCAAGGTTTGAAACCACGGAACTCGCCTCATGCCTAGGTAATCATGTATATGACAATCCAAAGACCTCATATTTGTGTACTAATATTCAAATTGGTTCATATATGAGCCAAATTTCGGCACTCTATCAAAACTTATACAGAATCGGAACCAACATTCACTATATATTTGGCAGTGTTTCTGAAACTTGCTTCTCGGGCAAGCTATTGCAAGATACGGACACGTCAAATATTGAATCGATATGAATAAATCTCCCTCTGATTATATACGGGGATCGATCCTTTCGTGATACAAACCTACTCGGGCCGCTTGTGTAAATACTACTACTACTACTACTACTACTACTACTACTACTACTACTACTACTACTACTACTACTACTACTACTACTACTACTACTACTACTAGTTTGTACTATTACTATTTACTGCCGTGTTCTCAGCAAAATAACTGTCAGTTACTAGTGGTATTATACTCCATTGAAATTCTCAAATTCTACGTTCAAAGTACCTACTACACACCTACTTTGTGTGGCTCACTGAAAGGTAATTTATTCTGATTTTTCAAGTGGAGTCTGGCTGATAGGGATATTTCCAGCACACAAATGACCCCCAACAAGGTAGGTAGATGGATGTCAAAAACCAGGCACCGGAAGGCTGGCTAATGGACTCAGGGATAACTGATAATGATATGCGGTTGATCATCCGGTAGATCAAATCGGCATCGGTGCAAGTAACGGCCGCGTGTCGCCGAGCATGCAGGAACAGCAGAACTTGCTTCGTCCGACCCTATGCATAACAGGAGAACATGTGGGGCAGGGAAGGAGTTTCGGAAAGCTTGTCTCCGGTTTCTTGTCATGGCTCTTTGAATGAAGTGTTCGTACTACGTAATAAAATCAGCCTTCAGGATTCTCGCTATCCATGCTGGAACAGGATTGATGACCTCCTGCCAGTTCCAGTCATTCTAGGTGGCATGCCCAAGAGGCCATGCATAAAACTGCACTCAGGCAAGAAAGCTAAAAATATGGATGAAAATAAACCATCATTCACATCAAATGAGTTCAAAGTTTAGATTCGATTAATAAAGTGTAAATATCAGCGTGACCGGGTCTGCGGGACCGAATGGTGAAGAGCCGAATGAGCTTTACCTTTTCTAGCTAGCTGCCTGATGCCATGCGTATAACCTCAAGTAAAAAGCTAGCTTTCTCCGATGTCTATATTCATCCCTTCATACGTGTCTTTGCACAGGTCATTTGGAACGAATCATTGGCGGGGGAAGGAGGAGAGACTATGAGCAGAACCCAACATTTCCTCGTCGCCTCGTTGGTTGGAAAGAAAGAGCTCCAGCAGATCAGCCGTAGCTCCTGTTTCCCCCACATCTGATCACCGTATAAAAGATGGGAGGAGCTCTTCTCCTTGCGTGGGCCACATTCCAGTGTGAGCATTTTCGGAGGTTTAGAGTATGCTGACCCACCCACTATAGGTAACGAAGCGGTGATCATGCAAAGCAGGGTCGCCTTAGCTACGAAACACCTCCTCCGATGGCTCCCGTCAGAAGGGTCTATCCCTCGCTATTTGGTATCATCATGATAACATCATGAGGTGGACTTCAAAGACCGATACAATGTCATAATTAACCTTTGACGGGAGTTGGAGGTCCCACTTCACGCAGATAGATCGACTATGATATCAAGAGCTTCTTTGCTCCACATCGGGGATCCACGGCAATGTTCCTGAGTGCATGTTTTGGTTGAGCGGGGGAGGAAGTCGACGTGTTTATTGGTTCAGGTTGCGGATGAGCTACCCAAAGAAGTCTGAGTCCTTGTTTGCTCAGGAATGTCTAGCAAAGTGGTGAGGTGCGGGTGTTACACCCAGCCCCGACACAGGGTGATGTCAGGTCCTACGCCGTAACAGGGGTGTGCACTAGGTACTAAGGTTAGTTCTCCTATATCTATCATGCCGGAGCTACCATCATCCTCGAGTTCGATTATTCTCCATTCCCGCCAATCTTTTCGGACCAGGCCTAAGAACGGCTATCAATCAACGTGGAGGGCATTTCTCTACCTAAGAATTGAGGTTATCTACCTCTGTCTCGTACAATAGCTTGTGCTGAAGGCACCTTGATCATCAACTATCATCGCCATTACCGTCATTAAACTGTACCGAGCTTCAGACATCTACTACTCCCGCCCAAGAACAATCCAAGAATGAAGCCCGAAGATATTGAAAAGGCGCATGGATCACCCTCCCTGCACAGCGTGAGCCCATTCGAAATTTATAACGACTCCTCGAGCGCAATAAATGCCGGAATCGACACCAAGCCGCAATCGAGATATCGCAGATGGATCCAAGGCCTCAAGAATGTCGAATCACAAGGCATTGAGCGCGTACTCCCCGAGGAGCGTGAGGAAATGACAGCATCTTCAACCCTGCACATGTTGCTCATGTGGTTCAGCATGGCACTGGCCACGAATAACATCATTGTCGGGTCGATGGGAACAATGGTACTGGGTCTCAGCTTCAAGGATGCAGCTTTGTGCGCTGTGTTTGGAAATCTGGTGGGAGCTTCGACAATCGGGTATATGAGCACATGGGGACCGCGGAGTGGAAACAGAACCCTGGTCAGTCTCGGGAACACAATGCATCTGCTGTATATGCTAATCCATCTGATAGATCGTTTCTCGCTATTTCATGGGATACTACCCCAGCAAAGTCTGCTGCATTCTTAATGTTTTCACCAACCTCGGATATAGTATGGTGAACTGCGTTGTCGGAGGCCAAATCCTGTCCAAGGTGACCGGCGGCCATCTCTCAGTTCTGATTGGAATTGTCGTTGTGGCGTTTTCAAGCTGGGTAATGGCAATGTTTGGAATGCGCATCTTCCAGATCTATGAGCGGTAAGCAGCCCACAAACAGTTATTGTTCCCACTGATCTGACAAAATACAGAGTTGCATGGCTTCCCCAATTGATGGTCTTGTGTGTCATGGTAGGATCTGCTGGCCCGCATTTCGACTTCAGCACTCGCACGGAGAGCTCTACGGCCGTTCTAAATGCTAAACGCATCTCGTTTTTCTCCCTGTGTCTTTCAGTTGGTCTCTCTTGGGCTCCCCTAGCCGCCGATTATTACGTTTATTACCCGTCTCATGTCAAGCGCTGGAGAACTTTTGCTGTGACTGTTCTTGGATGTGGACAAGCAATGGTGATCACTCTGGTACTGGGAGTTGGCTTGGGGACAATGGTGGCAAGCTCCCCGACATATGCTCTCAAGTATGGAACTGACCCTGGCGGCCTGCTGATGACGGCATATGATTCTCTCGGAGGATTTGGCAAATTTTGCGCCGTGATCAATGTGCTCGCCCTGATTGCCAGCAACACCCCCGGCTCATATTCCATGGGTATGAACTTTCAAATGCTCGGCGGGTTTTTTCAAAGAGTCCCACGACCGATCTTCACCACGCTCAGCACAGTCATTTATACCGCCTGTGCGATGGGCGGCCACAACTCCCTGTATGAGATATTCAAGGGCTTCTTGCCATTGATCGGGTATTGGGTTATCATATGGTTCATGATTGTGCTGGAAGAAGATGTGATATTTCGCAGGAAAAGCGGTTATGACTGGACTGCATGGAATAACCCCCAGAAGCTACCCAAGGGTATCGCTGCAGCTATCAGTTTCTTGATCGGATGGGCTGGAGCGATCCTCGGCATGGTAAGTTTCTCTAGTCTTGGCCCTATAGGCAATCGATCGAAAACTAATACGAATAACTCTTTAGAACCAATCATATTACAGTGGTATCATCGCCCAGCTCACGAATGGGTCGGATCTCGGGATCTGGATGGGAGCCGGATTTACAGTGCTGGCGTATCCTCCACTGAGGATGCTCGAATTATCGCTGTATGGCCGGTAGAAGAATGTTCAAGTCCAATTTGGCCTTCGGATGGCCGGATGTACTACTAGTACGATCGCATATGAAACCGACAACCCCGGTCCGCGGCATAGTGTAGTGATGATACCCCGCGATTTGGGCCGGTAAAGTTTGGAGTAAATATCTATCTCGCATGTTATTGGAGAGCAAAGAAATGGGGGCGGTATTATCATGTAAAAAGAAACAGAATATAAGGATGGTGGAGACGATGCACATGGCCCTAGGATAGACAATAAAACTTGAAAGCAAGTCCAAAGAAAATTATGCAGGCACTATCATGAGACCAAAGCCCTTTGTGCATCCATACCTACTTGGTACATAACCCTAGGCTGCAGATGGGGTCATGCGAATGGTGCTATCCACGATAGGTTAGCCATTGTATGACCAGATCCCTCATCCAGTGAAACAACTTACTATACCCTCCTAGACCCACAATAACTATTTTAGCGGCAAGCCCCGAGCCGAGCTAGACGATCTTGTCGGGGGGCCGAGCAATCAGAAGTAGTTAATTTCGTTACTGGAGGTTGATGCATTGCTCTAGCATATAAAAGGCGGCGTGGCGTACCCGACTGCGGTCGACTTTAAAAAGGGGATCTCTTCAACTTTCGACCTTTCCTAAGCTTACTAGCAGTAGGTATCGTCACCATGGACAACGATACCTTCCTCGTCGTTCAGCCGGTGACAGATATCGCTCGTGCAATTTTGGATTCATCCCCGCGTCAATGGATCCCTTACGCCTTACCCCTCTTGCTGGGATACCCTCTCATCGCTCGGATGCTGCGATATCGCCGCCTGCGACAGCTTCACCGGGACTACCCTTATAAAACCCGCGCAGACATGGCCAAAATGACCGATGAGCACGCCTTCCAGATCCAAAAGGCCGTCGCACAGCTCGAGTTTCCATTCATCTTCATCAAGTCGCTGCAGTTCGCTCTATTCAGAGTAAATCATACCCCCGCTATACACCCAACGACTTAGCGTCAATCAATACTGACTTTGTATGCAGACCTATGGCATTCCGACCATCTCACGACTCCTCACCAAGACTAGCCAGTTTTCTAACCCGGAGACTTCGCTCAAGCGCTACACAGACACTAGTGCCCTGGTGCAGGAAATGGTAGGGAACAGCCCAACCTCGCAGCGCGCATATATCTCCCTGGCCCGCACGCGCTTTCTGCACAGCGGATATCGTGCCTCGGGCAAAATTCTCGACGACGACATGCTGTATACGCTCGCGCTCTTCGCTCTAGAGCCCATCCGCTTCATCAACACGTACGAATGGCGTACCCTGAGCGATCTCGAGCGTTGTGCCATCGGTACTTTCTGGAAGAGTGCTGGCGATGCGCTGGATATTAGCTATTCGGCGTTACCATCGGGCGCGACGGGATTCCAGGACGGTCTGCAGTGGCTCGAGGAGATCGCTGCCTGGAGCGCCGCCTACGAAGAGAAATGTATGGTTCCTGATCAGAAGAACCGCGAGACGGCGGATCAGACTACGGCTGTTATTGTGTATATGCTCCCGAAGATTCTTCACCCTGTCGGACTGCAATTTGTCTCTTTTATGATGGATGATCGGCTACGGAAGGCCATGCTGTAAGTTTGGAGCTTATTATCAGCAAGGCTGTGACTGACTTGAATCCCAGATACGATGCTCCTGCCCCTTTCTTCTCCGCTCTCTTTTCGAGTGCTTTGACAATCCGAAAATGGACACTTCGTTATCTGATTCCTCCAAGACCGTACTCCTTGCGCTATGCATCTTTCACCGAAGAGCCGGACCAGAATGGCCGTTTCTACCTGACTAAGTGGGAGGCTGCCCCTTATTATGTCAAACCAACTTTCTGGAACCGCTGGGGGCCCGAGGCTTGGCTGACATGGGCACTGGGTCATCCTGTTCCCGGAGACCAGGGCGACAAATATTACCCATCCGGCTATGACATCCAGGATGTCGGGCCTAAGTACTTCGAAGGAAAGGGGAGGAAGCAGCTGGATGAAGCCATGGCGGAAATGAAAGAATTCAGAACGGGAAAGTGTCCCTTTCACTGAATGGTTCGCTGATCAGTGGTTGGCAATGCATGGTTGCAGTTTTGGTGCCTTTCATATGGGAGAATGTTTGCGTTATAAGCGGAGCTGTTTCAAAGTATTTCTACTTGATAACGCCAATTTTACGTCGAGAGAAGGCAGTTGAGCCAATATAAGTCAAAGGAAAAGTTTTCAATATGGACAAGTCTTTTATCTTGCTGGTCAACTAGGACCAAAGTAAAATCATTTCGTCAATTGCTTTTCCAGTATGTGCTTGCTATTCTGGCCCGGTAGTCTGTAACCACCAAGAACCGACAGACAGGAAAAATAGAGACAGAATAAAGGGTAAATTAGGAGCGCTCAAACAAAATACTTGGGTTCGCGGCCGAGGCCCGAGAAGGCCGGCCTGAAGGATAGAGAATGTAGGCTTAACAAGGGTATTACTGCGAGCAAATCTCAAAGCCGGTGATCAGTGGGAGACTGAATTTACATCTCCTCATCGAGACCAGCCTCCTCAGCGAGGTACTCCTCCTCTCCCTCGGAGATGGAGGCCTCCTGGTACTGCTGGTACTCGGAGACAAGATCGTTCATGTTGCTCTCAGCCTCAGTGAACTCCATCTCGTCCATACCCTCACCAGTGTACCAGTGCAAGAAAGCCTTGCGGCGGAACATGGCGCTGAACTGGTCGCCGATACGCTTGAACAGCTCCTGGATGGAGGTGCTGTTACCAACGAAGGTGGAGGACATGCGCAGGCCACGGGGAGGAACGGAGCACAGGGCGGTCTGGACGTTGTTGGGGATCCACTCAACGAAGTAGCTCTGGTTCTTGGTCTGTATGCTGCGCATCTGGTCCTCGACCTCCTTCATGGAGACCTTACCGCGGAACAGGGCGGAGCAGGTGAGGTAACGGCCGTTACGGAAGTCGGAGGCGGCCATCATGTTCTTGGGGTCGAACATCTGCTGGGTCAGCTCGGGAACGCTAACCTGGCGGTAGGCATTGGCGTTACGGCTGGTCAGGGGAGCGAAGCCGACCATGAAGAAGTGAAGACGAGGGAAAGGAACCATGTTGACAGCCAGCTTGCGGAGATCGGAGTTGAGCTGACCGGGGAAACGGAGGGAGGTGGTGACACCGGACATGACGGCGGAGACCAGGTGGTTCAGGTCACCGTAGGAGGGCTGGCTCAGCTTGAGGGTACGCATGCAGATATCGTACAGAGCCTAGAAGAGTGGTTTGTGAGTTTCCAGTCGTCATCCACCAATTTCAGGCGTAATATTTGCATACCTCGTTATCGATACAGAAGGTCTCGTCGGAGTGCTCAACCAGCTGGTGGACGGACAGGGTGGCGTTGTAAGGCTCGACAACGGTGTCGGAGACCTTTGGGGGAGGGGACAACGGAGAAGGTAGCCATCATACGGTCGGGGAACTCCTCACGGATCTTGGAGATCAGGAGCGTACCCATACCGGCACCGGTACCACCACCCAGGGAGTGGGTGATCTGGAAACCCTGGAGGCAGTCGGCAGCCTCGGCCTCACGGCGGACGACGTCGATGACCTGGTCGACGAGCTCGGCACCCTCGGTGTAGTGACCCTTAGCCCAGTTGTTACCAGCACCAGACTGACCGAAGACGAAGTTGTCGGGGCGGAAGAGCTTGCCGAAAGGACCGGCACGGACAGCGTCCATGGTACCGGGCTCCAGATCGACCAGAACGGCACGGGGAACATACTTGTCACCGGAAGCCTATTGAAGAGAAAAGAAGGGACCAGTCAGAATGAGAATCGTCAGTAGAATTGATGTCGAGATCTCTTACTTCGGTGAAGTAGACGTTCATGCGCTCCAGCTGGAGGTCGGAAGTACCGTTGTACCTGCCCAAAAATATCAGACCGCCATTCTCGAAAATCAAAAGGTTGTCTAAAGAACTCACTGTCCATCGCCATCAAGGCCGTGCTCACCGGCAATGGTTTGCCTGTAAAATTGGTTAGTATATTGCTTCGAGTGCCCAACAATTGATGATTCAAATTTTGCAGCACGTACCAGAAAGCGGCACCAATTTGGTTACCCTGTAACCCCACATATCATTTAGTTTTTGACTCGAGCCATCATATATCATTGTATCCTTTCAAAGGGAAAAGAAGGAGATGTGTTATTCGAAAGTGCACTTACACACTGGCCGGTCTGGAGGTGAACCTATATGTTGGGAAAAAGCTCAAGTTAGCAGGATGAACAAGTGGGGGGTCCGTTCAGGGGTAGGACAACAAAGACGCGTTGAATTTGGGGGGGAAGAGGACGTACAATCTCACGCATTGTGTATTGGGGGGGTGTTTGGTATCGGGAAAGAGGACTGGTGAAACAGTTGAAGAGGGCGACCTAAAGTCCAAGGAGATGGGAAAGGAGAAGAGATGGAGCGGTGTGTGTGCGTGGGGATCAACAACAACTTTGGCGCTTCAGGGGGGAGGGGGCAGGCCCGATTCGGCCTAGCTCTCCATCACGGGACCACGCCGCGTTCGCCCGGTGCGAACCAAAAAACCTGCCCAAAACAATTATGTAAGCCATATTACGGAACTATACGAAAAATTGGATTTGATTTTGATACTCCGTTTACTCGGGTTGTGTTGTACAGATTGATTCATGATCACAATACTATCCTACATCCATCCTACTTAGCAACGTTCTCCACTCCCTTGGAACTCTCTAACCAGGTTCCAAACTCGTCCAACCGTTGAGCCTCGTCTTCATCCTCGGCATCAATGCCCCGCTCCGCCATATCCTCGAGAGCAGCCCGTCGCTCATTGGTCTTCTTAAATTTCTCACGTCCCTCAGAGATGTAAGCTACCACCTGGATGCCGCCAAACCATCGACCATCCATACTCTTGACGCATTCCCGCGCAGATTCAGGTTCGGCGAATCGAACGCTCACCACACCTTCCGGCTCTTTGTCGTAGAGTACCACATTGGTCACTTCACCAATCTTGGAGCATTCCTCTCGGATGTCTTCCTTGATATCCAAGATTGCAGCAGTATCCTCCTACAGTAAAAATGTTAGTATGAATGTGAGTTTAAACTTGGGGGGTCCTGCCAAGAGACGTAGACATGTACGAACCTCCAATTCTTCCAAAGTAAACATGTGCTTTAAGATAACGATCTTCTCAAATCGCGAGTTCGTTTCGGGTAATGCTGAAGGCTCATCGTCGTCCCAATCAGCAAGTTTGCTATGATCGAGTTAGCAAATGAAAAGAGACCACCCAAAGCAACCGAAAAGAACTACATACCTATTCAACCTCTGAGTACGTTCAATGATCTTCTTTTTATCGCGCATATTTGTCTTCGGTGGAGCATCCTGTTGACTCTTAAATGAGAAGTCGGCGGCCTGTACTCTCATAGGACCAAGCGGCCCTTGCTGCCCGAGGCGAAAGTCCGTCTCGTCCAGCATCTGAATCGCCAAATTGACCGATTCCGGCCGGAAGTACACTACCAGTACCTCGCCCTTGAATTTTCCGTCATCATCGTTGTACATCTTGATCCGCGGGCGACCACTGTCGATTTCCTCGGCGATGACTCCGCATTTTGAAAAGACATCCCGAATCTCGTCAAGCTCGACTTCGAGTGGGATGGAGGTGACGTATACCGCCGTGTTAACGCGCTGCTTCTTGGGCTTCTGCGAATTGGGCTATAATGAGGAGAGTCCGAGGTTAGCGCTGGCCTTGAGGAACTGCGTGCAAGGCAACTTACATCGTCTTGATGCTTCCGCTTCTTTCGATCGCGAGGGTTTATTTCCTCATCCTCTACTCCTTCGACTTTATATGCTTCTTGTTGCTGGCGCAGGAGTTCCTCATCGACCTAAAGACAAGAAAGGATTAGCATCTATGCGCTAGAAATATAGAGACCCTGATGTCTGCCCTTGTCGCAACTTGCGCTCCGCGATAGGAACGGAGCAGCGCGCAGCCAGTGGTGTGCCAGACATACCGATTGAACCCATCGCTTGATGGCATTGTCGTATACAAACTCTTGTCCGTCATCGGTTTCGAGTATGTATTTATTGTCGAGCTTGGAGAAGGAGATGCGTGGGTCGCGATCGAATTCGGACGGGTCGGTAGGAAAGTTGCGCGCGGACCCGGCGTTGTCGGGGCTCGGCGAAGGCATTGTGATTGATGAGATTGATGTGATCAAGAGATGGCCGTAACTAGTGATGAGTCGAAAGTGGAATGCTGGTGGGCGATAGTGTGGGAATTTGCAATGAAGCTCGGAGCTTCCACGATGGGGCGGTTCCATTTGTGAGTGGCCGTCGCCCGTCATCATCTGATTGGTCATCCATGCCATACACTTGTGGGCACTGCATTAGTTGCCATTTCATTCTAGGAGACATTTTATCCTCTCGGTGGCTGCTCTAAATTTCTTTTTTTTGTTGAGAAACTGAACCAAAGATAAGAGGGATTATACTATGCTAATTAGCTCAACACTGTATCGCTACATCTCGGGAAAACTGATGCATTGGCCTAGTGGGAGCTAAGTATTCTACTTCTACTAGTTACAACTAGGAATACTACTAGTACGTAAATCATGTCTTGAATAGTAGAAAAATAATGTATACCATGCATGCCCAGCTTCTCTCTAGCGCTCTATCCATGTATCCATCTAATGAAACCATCTATTCTCCATCCGACCTAGGTGTTCCTCTCGTTTCTATTTAATTTTTCCAATATCAAACCTCAGGTGGTGCCCCTCCGAATCTCGCCAAAAGACAATGCGCTCAATACGCCGAGTTCCTCGCTCAAATGCGCCCAGAACGAAATATGCAACCACTTTGCCGATACGACTACCGAGAATGGCATCAGACTCGAGCTCGTTCAAGGTGAGGCTACCTAAATGTGGCACCGCCGGATGATTAGGAAGTATAAACTTTTCAAGACAGCCCTTTGTCTCGTAGTTAACGACCATTTTGACGACGATATACTGAAGTTCATCAAGGGCAAAGTATTTCTCGTAGAGTGCCTTCGCGACCTCGGAAATTGGCGGCAACTCGTAATAGGAGTCGGCAGGCTTGCGCATTACCGCGATGGCCAGATAATTGTGTTCTGCATATCCTGCAAATCGCATGTCTTTATGAGCCCAGTTGAAGGCTTGATATAGCTGCCCTTCGGGACCCTCGCTAGGATCAAAAAGAGCTTTCGGCCCCTTGGCTCGATGGCATGCCGGGGCGTTCATCTCGTAGGTGTCCATTAGATCTGAAAGGGGCATCGTGGCTCGGGAGATATAACAGCCTGGTTCATTGGGATTCTCGATCCATCGTCGTCGTTGAGCTCCCTCCTTTTCAAAACTGGCGTAATCTTTATCCGAAATCATACTGAAAGTAAAATAATCAATTGTATTAGACTGAAAAGACATATTGTGGAAGATGATTTCCTCAATGTGAGAGAGCTTGGTCTATTTAAGTACGAGATACATCTACAAGAATTAACTAAAGTTCGTTCTACTACAGCCAACATTGGTGGTAGTAGAGCTCAATACAAGCCACGAGGCGAACGTGGGACCTTTGATCTTAGAGACCAGAACAAAGCACGGCGAGACAGCTTACGACGAACACAAAGGCATACCGGAACACGAAAACCACCATTGTGCCAAAACAAGTAAATATGTTGCAGCATTCCCGGAGCTGTCTGGAAAATTTCAATGACCGAGAGAAACATGGCAGAAGAGGCTGAATACGCCAATAAGACTGTCTTACATTCAATCAATGGGAACTCCTTGGAATGTCTATAATTTCTGGTTCTAGAAGTATGTAATTTTTTCTATTTACAACGATGCAAATCCTCAGTCTCACTGTGTCAACGAAATGACCTTCTTAGCCGCCTCCTCAAACCCGTCAAAAGCATGCAGAGGCAGACCACTTTCGGCAATCTACAAATAATCATATTAGTAAAGAGATGAACATAGCTTTAAGACAGGTTATGTCGACGTACCATCTTCTGGCCAAGTTCTTCGTTTGTTCCACGCAGCCGCACCACAACGGGTACCTGCATATTCAGGTCTCGGAACGCAAGGATGATCCCCTCAGCGATCATATCGCAGCGCGTCAGACCGCCGAAAATATTCACGAAAATGGCCTTTACGCGGGGGTCTGCGCAGATCACGCGGAAAGAAGACTTCACCGTTTCTGAGGTGGCCTTGCCGCCGGTATCAAGGAAATTTGCACAGTGGCCGTCGTGGATCGTAAGTGCGTCGACTGTGTTCATGGCGAGGCCGGCTCCATTGACGAGCGTGCCAACGCTGCCTTCGCCCTCTAGTCTGTTCAAGTCAGCACTGGAACGTTTGAAGAATCCATGGGACGCTTGTTCCTACTTGATGAAGACAATTCCGTCCTTTTCAGCCTCGACCTCTGCTGGAACTTCCTCGGCAATGTTGCGCAAGCGGTGAATTTCCTCCTGTCGACCCGAGCTGCGGAATGCAGCATCATCGAACCCAAACCTTGCGGTGTGGACTTCGAGGCCTCCATTGGCCGCTGTTCCAATCTGTGTCTCTAGAACGAATGCTTCTTTCTCCCTGAAGATATCCCACAGTGCCTGGACTAAGCCAGCAACTCTGCTCTGCGCCGAGGCAGGAAGGCCTAGGTGTGAGGTTACCTGCGTAATAAGGTGCTGTCCATCAAAGTTGGTCTGGGAATAAGCGAAGGGGAATCGGCGAGATTGAGCAGGATCGAAATCCGCGGTTGGAGAAGCGACAATGCACGGTGAAAGAGATGTCCGGTCAACTGAGATCGAGATAGATGCGTCGGACTTATAAGGCGATCCGTTGACTAGCACATTCTTCTCTTTCAAGAGATCGAATGCTTGGAATTGTTTTATATACAAGTTTCGCTTCTGCTGGACCGCTGGATTTGAAGCAGGAGTGACACGTCGCATAGTGTGAAACCCACGCTTTCCAGAGCCAGTGCCCGAGATAGTCTAAACAAGGTCAGTAACTCTGATTTGCAAGCAATCAACTTTGAACTCACGCTAGCACCAGGTCGGATACCACCATCCCCCAGCAAAGCTCGCATACCCTCGCCGAACTTCTCTGGGTGGTTCACCATGACAGCGCCCGCCCGCTCTAGCGCCTTATATTTCGTTTGCGCATCGGGCTCTCCAGGAGCCGCCCAAGCCCCAGCATGCCCCATAATTCGACCGGCAGGCGCTTCTAGGCCTCCCACGAGAGCCATGATAGGTCTATACTTGTTAGCAGCAGACTCCTACAAGAGATAGGGGACAGTCATACTTGGGACTAGAAGTTCGCTTTCGATAATCCTTGATCCACTCCGCAGCATCCATCTCCGCAGTGCCACCAATCTCACCAACCAGAATAATTCCGTGGGTATCATCATCGTGTTCAAAGATTTTCAGCGCATCGACGAAGTTGGTACCGGCCAACACGTCACCGCCCATACTGATGCAAAGACTCTGTCCGAGACCAGCTCGGGTTGTCGATGCCACGGTTTCATAACTCAGGGTCCCTGACTTGGCTACAATGCCGACATTTCCGGGGGCAAAGCAAGGAAGGGGCTGGAAGCCAATACGGCACTTGCCGATGGCGGATATTATGCCAGGACAATTTGCGCCCACGAGACGGGTTTTTGATTGTGTTTGCAGCATGGAATGAATCTGAAATATCCCATTAGTGTTGACAATCAAGAATAAGCAGTGATGAAACCTACTCGGAGGATATCGTGAATGGGAACGTGTTCAGCCACAGCTACGACGAGCGGGATCTCTGCCTCGATTGCCTCTTCAATAGCCTGTGCAGTCTGGTTTCCTGGGACATATATTGCCGAGGCATCTGGTTTGGATTTCTCTTGTGCCTAAAAAGGGCCCAATGGCATTAGTTCGTTCCAATCATAGGGTCTAGCACGTCCAATCGACCGCGGGCAGTACACATACCACCTTCACAGAGGGGAACACAGGGAGTCCCAGATGCTCACCCTCAACACCAGGCTTGACACCGCCGACAATATTCGTGCCCCATTCCAGCGATTCTTTAACATTGGCAGTCGCTTGTCGTCCTGAGGAGGGATTAGCATGGGCATGAACCAGCGCCGTACAAGGAGTTCGACAACTCACCTGTGAACCCTTGGAATAGTACTCGGGTGTGCGCTCCGATCTTCAAGTTTGGCAGTGTATCGGCATATCTTGTGGAGCGCGGAGAAGTCGAGAATGACCTGGAGCAGCGCAGCTGGGGCGCGTGCCTGGATAAGCGCAGAGCCATGGGGGGTTGTTGGAGAGGTGAGAGGCCGCCTTGTGAAGAATTGAGGCAAAGGAGGCGAGGAATCTTTATATGTAGTGGTCGATTCCAGGGAATACTCGCATGGGCACGCCTCGAGCTCGCAGAGTTGGAGAAGTGTGAGGGTGGTTTGAAGACGGCTATCTCCCCGAGGTTATTTCCCCAAGTCGGCTATCCGGTCTCGGAGTTCCCCACACTGGAGGCTCCGTCATTGCTTACATGTGCACCATTCAGCCTATACTCACATTAATGTTTTTTTTTTCGTACTTCTGGCGATAGTTGATTTCTGAATTCGAGACTCTGATCTCAAAATATGTGGTCATTTCCTTGCCATCACTGGTAGTTCTAAATGCCAAGCCGGCGGACAAAAAAACAAACACCGTTACGGGGTTTTAGTCTGCCACTTGGACAGGCGTGGAACCATCGTTAGAAGGGTGGAACCAAACTCAGAAGGATGGTAATTCCCGCCATTTTTAAGGTTCAACTCTATAAAATCATACTACTGGTACAAACTTGAAGTGTAGTCCATTATATATGATAGAAATTGGTAGCTAATCAGGTACCTGGGTACTCCGTACTACTACTAGTAGTTGTAATTAAACTTCTCTGTAGTGACATGCAGTCTACTACTACTGATATTAGGGGGCATCAAATTCCATTTCAACTTGACTACCACTCTAGGGCTGGGCATACTCAATCGCAAAATCATCTTGCCGAACCTCTCGGCAAATAAAAGGGGGTATCGTTTCAAACTCGTTCGCTTAGCGCCAGCGAGCAAAGGTGAAACAACGTGGATTAATATGGGGTCCGCTAGATAGGAGCCGCTTGAATATCCTTGCTTTTTAAAGGGCCTCTGTAACAGCCATCATTTATAGCTTACTGTAATTGATTAAAAAGGCCCACCGCAGACGCCGGTTGGCCGGGGCTGCTTTCTTATTGAAGTCTGGCGATCCTTCCATGTGCTAGACCCTTAAATACTCTCTCTATCTTCGTCTCATTCTGCAATACATGCTCTTTCTTTCTAAATTTCCCTTTCATTGTATTCGATCTGTCATTTTTTTTAGTTAGGTACTGACTCTGGAAGTCTACCTCCACGATGCGATCTTCCATTCTTTTCTCTACTTGGGCAGCTGGTCTGGCCCAAGCATACACCGTCACCAACACCGATCTATTCATGTTCAAGAATATCGACCCTATCGTGTTTCCAGGACAGTACACTAGCCATATGCATAGCTTCTTTGGCTCCGACGCCGTGACTGTCAACACCACTACATCCGCAGAACTACAAAAGGGTTGCTCGAGCACCGACAACCCCAACGACTTCTCAACCTACTGTTCGTATCTTCCAACCACCCCTTTGCCCAGCCATTGATTCTAACCCCAACAAAGGGATCCCAACCCTATACCTGGTCCAGGATGGTAACCACACTGCCATAACCCCCATGCGCTTCAGCGCCTATTACGAGAACCTAAACTCAGCCGAGATCGCCATCCCGCAAAACTACAAGGACGTCGCCGGCAATGCCTCGGCCCAATCCCAAGATGTGCTAGACAGCAACGCAGGAATTAAATGGTTTTGCGAAGGAAACGGAGAGGAGTATGACGCAAATACCGCTGCTTTTCCAACAAAGACCTGCCCGACACACCTGCAAACGCTTCTTCTTTTCCACGACTGCGCCAATCCGGACACGCTCGAGTCGGCGTATTCCGAGAATCCCAATTACTTTCCGACATATGGAGAGAATCGCTGCCCGAAGGGTATGTATCGGATTCCGCAGCTGCGGTTCTCCATTCGCTATGATCTTCGTAAGCTTCTTCCTGATGGTTGGGAGGGACAGCCGCCTTTGGAGCTTTCCTGTGGATCTTCCTACTGTTCCCACGGTGATTTCATCAATGGATGGCTACCGGAGGCTGCGGAGAACATGCTTAAAGATCCGTCCAAGTCGGAGTTCTTTGGTATTGATGGGCCCCTCGGCGACTATAATGCGGGTTCCGTGTGCGGAGCGGAGAATGCAACTGATAGCGATCCTACTCACGGAACGAGCGACTATGCACAGAGTGTGCGCATGATGAAGAGCAGCTCAATGATGAAGAGGAGACATCTTGCTAAGCATCGCCGTACTTGAAAGGATCTTCGAGGGCCTGGGTTGTATAGTATCATTCAAGTTGAATTAAGGAATCGGGTGTACATTTATCAACAGAGTAGCTACTTCACTAGCTACTACCATCCATTAGTATGAGGCCGTATTTGTTGAAATGTGTACTAGTATTAGCTGTGACGGATCATAATGATCATTGATCCCGCGTTTAATGCTTTACGATCATCGCACAACGCTACAAGCCAGACTCGCCAGAGGATATCATAGATTCGTAATAGATAGAAAGCATCCATTCATATCATAACTCGGTATCTACCACATCTATAGATCATCTTACACTTAGTATTCATTCAAATGCAGCTTCTTGCCGACAAATTTCTTTCTCTCCGTCTTCTCGCCTCTTTGTTCACGTTCCGCATTAACGCCCTTCAGAGCGTGAAGAAGCATACCCGCATCGAAGAAACCATCTGGATATATCAAGTCAGCACAACCGCACAAAGAAATCATATAATATACGATAGTAATGAAGGGGGGGGAACTCACATCCACCCATGCCGTCATCCTCAATCTCGGCACTATCTGTCGTCGTAGTGGGCGTCTCGGCTCCACCCGCGCCAGGCCGTACAATGCGTCCCCGACGCTGCGATTCACTTTGCACCCGCTCAGCCAATGCCTCAGTCTCACGCGCCCGACTTGTTCTCGGACTCGATGCCTTCCGATTGGATGCGCGGAGGAGCTTCCGCATTTCGAAAAGGTATGATTCAAGGGTTTGCATTAGGCGAGAGGTTTGTCTGTGTTTTGACGAGGCACAGAAGGAAATAGACTCGTCTTTGATGATGTAGCCTATGCCGAATCCATCGGCAGAGGTAGGGCCAAACCCGAAGTGGCGCAAACATGGGTTGCCGCAATTCGAGGTTGATAGGACGGTGTTGTTAATCTTGTCCCAGCCTGGGTCGCTGAAAATAGCTGGCGTGGGCGGTGCTGCGTTGCGCATTGCGCGGATACTACTGCCATTTGGAGAAGAGTAGCCGTCTTCAGAGGGCTGGGAAATTGGGGAGTCGAGCCCGTCGCTGGGGCTGGAGTATCCGCCTGTGGAGCTAGAATCCTGGAAGAAACCTTCATCAAAAGACCGCTGCCAAAGACAATAGAGTGCATAGAGGTGGCGGTCCTGGCCCTGGCCCTTGGAGCAATCCTTTGTAATCGCCGTGTGGCGCTGAGCAGCAGTTCGCAGGGCATCAATTTTAGCCTCAGCAGGGTTCTCGCCCCAGAAGGTCTTGACAAATTCGTAGGTTTCGGGAGTGACGGTACGCACGGCTTCGGTGCGACCGTGGAGGAAGAATTTGGTCATAGCGGGCTCGTAGGTGTTTTCAACTCGACCATAGAGACCATAGTAGGCGGCTTGGAATGCCATTTGAACAAAGGCGTCTGGCGAGAAGCCCATGGAAGTGATGAAGTTTTTTCCATAGCCTTCAAAGTCGAGAACTTGGAACTCATGTTGGTAGAGCAGGTCTGAGAGATGTGATTCGGCAAAACGAAGGGCAATGTTGAGCTCCGGCGTCATATCCCATTCTAGCTTGCGAGGCGTAGTGCTGACATTTCCGAAGCTGCGGGGGTCACGCTTAGCTGGGTCCGGGCTGGTTGTTGCCCATAGACTCGGTGCCTGACCATTGATGGTTTTTGCAAAACGGAGAATGGTATCAGTGTACAAGTCACTAGCGAAGCGCAGGACAGTGTGTCCATCTACACCGGTATGTTCGAAGTTGATACCAGCGCTGCCGTTATTGCAAACAATGATCTGCAGCTTGTCATACCAGCGATTTGTGCAAGTGCCCACCTGCACGCCTTTGATCACCTCGCTGGTACCACAGAGCATGTTGGCGCAAAGCTCTGCTGTGGTAGAAGGTTCCGTGTCGTCGAGACACAGCATGAATAAAGCGGTGTCAACGATATTGAGACACTCGGCGTTGTTTGATGCCGAATCCTTCGTCATGATATCACGAAGTCCCGACCATACCTTGCGGTTCTCTGTACTGAGTACGCCCAGGGCACCTTTGGCAGCTTCTTGGACGGGTGTCTGCGCGGCATCATCGATGATGACATGCAAATTGAGTGAAATATCCTTTTCGGTCATGATCAAGTCGCTGTTGTCATCAAGGACATCGAACCAGTAGAACTGCCCCCGACACATTACGACAATGTGCTTGGCATCAGGATCTTGGCTGATAACGCAGCCATTGTCGGTTGGTAGACGGGCCGTTCCAAAAAGTCGGGAGTATTGGTACATGCAGAGAGGTGTCCCACGCACTGTGTCTGGAGGCAGCTCCTCCCTCCGCACCGCGCGCACGAATGAAAGAGCGGAAATAACCAGCGACGCAGCTCGGGTCACTTGATGATTGCGAGCCGGAGTGGGGTCGTCCTCCAAGAGGAAGAAAGGGTTGAGATTCAAGACAACCGAGCTGTCGAAATTCAAGTAAGAGTCGTACCAGAACTGCTCGATGAAACTAGTTTTGGAGGAAGCATAGTTTTTCAGTCGTTCTTGTAGCAGCGGCCCATCTGTCTTCAGGAAGTCCTTTACAGCTGCCTTCGAATCCTCATGTTCGCGGGGCGTCTGTAACGCGGCAAGCGCATCAAGATGGCGGCGGCATGTATCCTCAAGACTCGGGATGGGTAGTTTTGGAAGTGACTCCTGGTTTGCAAAGGTCAAGCCTTGGATTTTTGGCGTGTGTGGTTCGACCGGCTCGCCCCCAGCGTGTTCAGTCGGTCTCACGACCGTGTGACCCTGGGGCTCGGACCCAGGCTGCTTTGCGGTCTCGGAGTTCATCGCAGCCCCAAGCGGTTTGGGAGAAGTGAAGAACCGAACTGCTGTCGATGAGTAAGACATGGTGTTAGTGGATGGTGTTTCCGATCAAGCGTAACGGCTAGCGAGGCAAGTCGGAATGGACAGGAGACGAAGGGCAGTGCGGTAGAAGTAGTGACAATCTTGCAGGCAGTAAGGTGGCATTGGGACTAATTCATTGAGAAAATCGTGATGGTAGAGAAGTGCGAAATTTAGTTCAAGGCAAGGCAAGGACATCAGGGGAGCGAGCGATGTGGGGAGTAGGACAGCCATATATATGATATAGTTCATCGGTACCACACGGGGCCCCGCGCTGCGGATTGGTGGAGCCCTTTCGGATTGAAGGGAGCTAACTACTCACGGGGCAAAGGACGTACCGATAAGTGACAGAAAAGGACGAAATGTGGATTGGCAGCACGCGGGGAGTAGCGCCGGAGCAACGGATGAGGCCTAGAAGCGTAAGGTTAGAATATTCCAGCTAAATAGGGGACCCCTGCCCAACCGAGCCGATCAGTCGAGTTGCAATCGGGAGTCACCGAAGAACAGTCTTTGAAGAAATCTTTGACAAAGAAAAAGCCGAGGGTTGTAGTGGGTGGTGATGAGGGTGTGTGATACGTGACAGAAAAGTCACCAGGGCCATGGAGGTTTGGAATAACTCACCCGACCTAATTCAGGCAGTGCTTCTGAGCAGTGAACTCGGCTAGGGAAGATCGGTAAGAATGTTTAGATAAGATGCATCATGCAGAAGCTCGGAAGGAAACAGACACAAGCGACGAATGTAGCGGGTCGAAAGCCCGCCCTTTTTTTGTCGTGGGGGGAAATGACGTCTCGGGCCAGCGGAAGGTGCGGGGGGAGCTACGGGCACGTGACTTGTCAACATCAGCAAGGGAGGTTTGTTTTTGTTCAAGTAGTATCAGTAGTAGTACATTCGCATTGATCTGTATTTTGTTTTTGTATCCACAGTAAGGTGGCCCGTTGAACGCTAGGGGACTTCGTGTCAAAAATAACAATATTCACAATTGAAAATGGGTACCCGCATGTCCCTCTCCCAAGGAAGGGGAAACAAAGGGCACCTCCAGCGTAGATACAGGAGCCCCCGGAAAGAAGAATCAACATAAGTCCAGAAAGACTACAGTCGGCTCCGAGGGCCGGTGACCCGATGCCGATCGCCACCTGGGAGAGTCCCGGACAATTCGGGTTGGACATGAAAGTATGAAGAAGAGAAGAAATAAAAAACAAAATAAGATAAGACAAGATTCAGCGAATGCAACTGTATCAGGTGTTCTCACGAGGCATTGATGCGCACGAGACCATCTCGAGAGACTCGCGGTTGGAGCGTGGTAACTCCCAGACTTTCCAAGCCATCTCCTTCTCGTGATAGAGTGCGAGGTATTCTTAGGCAGTGTAGGTGGCCTCGCCGCTAGGCTTAAGGACATTGTCACCATATTCACCTGCATAGTTACCGGGGGGGTCCGTAGTTGCAGACAGTAAATGGAATGATTCCACTACCATCAACATTCCCAAGTCCGTCGCAAGGTTCGGTGTGGCAGGCGACGTGGGTAGTGCCCTTCCAGACGATCTGGGAGAAGTGTCCCCATTTATCAAATTGAGACATGTCGGGGTCGGCAGTACCGTAGCCGGGGTAATAACTAATCTCGTCGTTGTACATCAGGTTGGTAATCATCTCACCAACCTCCCCGTATGCGACACCATAACCAATGTTTTGACCGTATTTACCAATGGTTTTCGAATTAATGTCGCTAGTAAGAGGGACGAGTTAGTCTATGATACGAAGAGGGGTAAAATTACAACACAGCTGCCGCGACAAATACTTACGTGTTGTGCTTGTAGACGCATTGCTCGGCCAGGATCCTGGCGGCGGTATACAGATTGTCATGCCAGTCGAGCGCAGTGACCGAGTGGTTGGTGCGGTGGACATTGTGGTTGTGAAGAACATTCGAAATGTACTCTGGGGTCAGGTTGCCGAGCAGAGCGGGACTTGAGGTCGAGGCGGCGGCGGCCTGGGTGGTCGAGGAGGTCGAAGCCGGGGCCTGGGCCTGCTCGGTAGATGAGGCAGCTTCAAAGGTTGAAGTCCAAGCGGTGGAGAAATAAGAGGTGGCAGGCTCCTGCTGAACCTGAGCGGCCTGGGTGGTGGCAGGCTCGTTGACAGGGACAGCCTCAGTGGACTTCTTGGCAAGGTCGGAGGTTGACTTGGTCTCCACAATAGCGGGGGCTTCAGTGGAGGTGGTGAGAACGGTGTTGGCCACCTGGACTTGCTGAACAGGGGTGACGGTCTCAGTGACGGCGGGCGCAGTGACAGTCTTGGTAACAGTGACGGTAGTCCAGTCGGTCACGTAGACACGTTTCTCATAGGCGTGGGCGGCCCCAGCTGCCAGAGCAGCGAGGAACAGATTCGAGCGCATTGCGAATATGGAGGCAGATCACAGATCACAGATCGGACAAATCAGGTAAGAGGGCGACAAATAGGAACTTCCCCAGGAAGTTCGTGTTGATAGAGAGTCGGAAAGGGTCAACAAACCACAGATCGACTGTGGTTGGACGGGAAAGAGTGTGGAGGTTTCTTTGGATCAAAAAAAAGGAATGACGGGCCGGAACACCTCTTCTCTCAATGAGGGAAGAAGAAGATGGACGGCGGGAAGATTGATGGAGAGAGAAAGCGAGGGAGAGAAGAGAGGAAGGAGGTAGTAAATGTAGAAAGGGAGAGATAATGAGAAAGGGGAGGAGAGTGGGTCCCGTGTGAACCAAGGCAATTTGGAGGAAGAATTGTTTAATTAGTTTATGGGATCGGGGGAGATCAAATGATTCAATGGCTGATTTTCGGTTTCGTGTGTCTGAGATTAAAGCTGGGTCGAGAGGATTTTGCTGATGATTTCTATAGAGATCGGTTCCTCAATTCCATACTTATGAGGTCCAGCTTTGATTCTCCAACCTCCACGCATACCAAACCTGCCCTTCCCGCCACTCTCAGGCGTGGGACATTCTACATTCCAATGCCACTCATACAACTCGATGATTGGTCACTTCCCCTCTCAGGGCCTGCTAGAGGCTGGGCAAAATGAAGTGCAAATTATTCTCCGGTCTGGGGATCGTTGGCGTCTGGGCATGGCATCTGGACCTTCGGAGCGGTGGGACTCGGCGCAGACCTGGATGTGACGACGAGAAGATGTAAAAAAGCCCCCCCTGGGCGGATCTTCAATTCTGTGACTCCACTAGTGTCGTTGCTCTCCATTTAGCGGCGACACTAGCTGCCGCGCGTACATGGATGGACCCTGAATGGACACAAACACGGTTCGAATGGCCATGACAGTGTCTGGCAGAAGGGGGACCAGGAGCCTGAAACCACAATCGGACGGAAGAGATGGGATCGAATGGATCCAGGCTCCATCGCATTACGGCGCATCATATTGTTGTGCCAAGGGGTTAAATCACCCCTTGCCCACTCAGTTTCAGAGTCGCGATGGACCAATGAATGGCCACCCGGGAGATTACCCACCATAACGGCGGCGCCGCTAAGAAACTTGGCTTTGACCGGGGCTGTCGGGCTGGTCCAATGCTTTCCGTCTGCACGGTCCTATTCTCTTCACATTGATTAACTTGGGACGGCCACCGGTTTCAGCCTTTCAGCCCCAGAATGAGGCGAGCCGGCATGATGATTCGGATCCAGCTGGCCACGCTGGGTCGAGCCTGGGGTGTCCGGGGCTGAAATCATGTTGTATTTAAGTAAATCCAGGTTCGCAAGGCTTCTCGGACGATCGTCCCACTTTAACTCAGGTCTGGAAATTGGGCAGATTGAGTGCTCGTCTTATTCTTTGGTACACGACATCGGGGACCCTGGATTGAGATAGCGAGTGGATATGACAGCACCCACCACATTGGATAATTTGCACTTCATATGTATATTCCAATATTCCAATAGGAGCACAAAATGATGCAGGGCCACCACGGTTTCGCCTTGCTATACCGCTAGTCAGGAACCCTCAGGAACCCGAGGCGGGCCATGGTAATCCTTTGTCTGGATTCATGAATCCATACGCCATCTCATTTCCCTTGCAATCCCCGTTTTCAGCTAGTGCTCAATAGACAATCTATTCAATGAGAGAGATAAAATAGGTAAACTATATCCATGGATGAACCCTTGTAGATTTTGTAACCCTAATCTCCGATCGGTCCCCCGATCTGACGTCTGGCGTCAACTCCGACACGAGGTGCCACCAGCCACGCCCAATCAAACGCAAGGTCACCCATATTCACACATCTACACCAGAACGCCACAAATCAAACCCAACGACCCAAGAAAAAGCAATATAGAAAATTATGCTCTAGAGATCCACAATTCGACACGTCCCGGTCTCGCATACCGACAAATAATTCTTCGGTGGGTCAGCTTTGTCAAGATCTTTGTATAGTGGATTGCGCCCTTTCAACCAGAAGGACTGATTGCCCACAAAATCTTTTATATGGGAGGGCCGCACATCAACTAACGAGGTAACAACAGTTGATGAACCGAACCCAGAACCAGCTTCGGATCGAACACGTCGTGACAGCAGATCGCGCGCTGCGACCGGTTCATCTCGTCGGCTGACAAGGCTATCGCGTGGAACCGGTTCCTTGCTAATGTCTGCGGTACCAAAAACACCTGTAATGGTCCGAGTCCCGATTTGGAGGCCTACGATCACATCCAACAATCCAACAAAAAGGAAAGGGTGCTGCATGATCTCGACCGCGAAGGAATTGCAGGTCTGTCGCGCAAGGGTTCGGTAGCTTTCATCCTCTAGAAGGGCGGCCAGGCGTAGCAGATTACGGGCAATCACGCCGTTGACAGACGGCGTCGCAGACTCCGTACCAGTCTTCAGTCGGAAGAGTGGGCCCGGCATGCCAGGGGCCATAATTGAAGGTGTGTTATAGTAACCAGCAGGCGTGGAGCCAGTCTTGGCGAGGAAATATTCGTTCAGGTATTCTGCGATCCACGTCAGTTATCCAATGCAGAGCACAAGGGAGAGCTATTACTCAAATGGCTAGGTAAGCTTCTTACTTTGCAGCCGCTCGGCAAATTGTAGATAGCTATCATCAAAGGTAGCCTCATACATGTCCAGCAGGCCGCTGGTTAGGTAGGCGTAGTCGTCAGCAAAGCCAGGGGTTTCACCACGACTGCCATCGCGATATATACGCCACAATTGACCAGTGGACTTGTCGAATAAATTTTCCTTTATAAAGCTGATTGTGCGTGCGGCAGCCTCCCGGCATTGGACGGCCTTGGAGCTCTCGATTTCCTCAAATAAGACACTGCTTTTGGCGAGTGCCCCAATTGCCAATCCATTCCAGCCCACAATGATCTTGTCGTCTAGATCGGGCCGTCCTCGAGTTTTCTCTCGGTGATCATGCAACCTTTGTTTCCCGCTTTTGATCATCTTCACCACTTCGTCTTCCCCAAGTCCAAATTCCTTGGCTAATTTGCTCGGTGTTATACGGATTGACAGCACATTCTGATTCATGAACTCATCGTGTGGATCATATTCAGCCGCAACATTCCCATCAGGTAGTACACCCCAATGACGGGCGCAGACTGGGGCGTCTCGGGGGCCGAGCACTTGGGTGAGTTCCTTCAACGACCAGACGTAGAAGGCACCCTCCCGTTTCTCCGTGTCGTTAGGGGTTGGAAAACTGTCAGCATCCTCAGATGAAAAGAACCCTCCGGTCGGTGATTGCAAAGTAGGACTGGTTAAATATGCGACCAAGTCATAGACAGCACCCAGCAATTCAGGATCATGGGTCAGACGGAACCCTTCAACATAGGTATCCAGAAGTTGTGCCTGGTCATGCAGCATCTTCTCAAAATGAGGCAAACTCCAATCAGTTGTCACACTATAACGAGAGAAGCCGTGACCAATGTGATCCCGAATTCCGCCACGGGCCATTTTCACTAAAGTTGTGACCGCCATAGCGGTCGCCTTCTCGCATTCGTCTTTGCCAACGATGTCAGTGACCTGGCTAGGGTATGTACCGAGTCGAAGAAGGAAGGTGAGATTCGACGGAGTGGGGAATTTAGGAGTGCGACCGAACCCGCCATTAATGCTATCATAGCGAGAGGCAAAATGTTGATAGGCCTCTTCCAAAAGTTCGATATCAAGATCTTCGTCATCATCTCGCTCTTCATGTTGCGAGTGGGTCCCCTCCTCGGCGAACTCTCGCAGCTGCTTGGTGATATCCTTCGCACTCTCTAAGCAGCGTTGCTGCTGTGTCTGCCAAACATCACTCAGCTTTTCAAGGATCTCTACAAAACCTGTGGTTTCCGGACCCAGCAACATGGAAGAATTGGGACCAGGCCAATATGTGCCTCCAAATACGGGTTCGAGGGCGGGGGTGAGGAAGACGTTCAAGGGCCAACCACCTGAGCCAGTGGTGGCTTGGACATAATTCATATAGATGTCGTCAACATCTGGCCGTTCTTCTCGATCGACCTTGATAGGAATAAATGACTCATTGAGAAGAGCAGCAACCTCTGGGGACATGAATGATTCCTTTTCCATGACATGGCACCCTACAAGCCGTTAGCCACTGATTTGAAGGGGTTGGTCGGGGTTGGCGAGCATACAGTGACAGGCCGAATACCCAATGCTAAGGAAAATCAGACGATTATGTTTCTGTGCGAGATTGATTGCTGATGCATCCCAGAGTTGCCATGCTACCGGGTTATTCATATGCCCGCGTACCTACGGGCCGTTAGCGTTGGTCGTTGTCCGGGGGAAATAGAATCAGACTCACGTAGGGTGATCTGCTTTCACTGAGTCGGTTGACCAGGTGGGGGCCCACGTCTGATACATCGTGCTGTGTCTGCATACTGTAGTATTCTTTGCGATAGCTCGAGGGGTGAGGAGAATCGAGAGTCGAGGATCGAGAAATCCCGCGGGCTTGGGAGGCACCGCGGACCAGAAGTCTGGAGCTAACGGAAAACGGAATAGAATATTCCAAGTTGATACTACCCCACGTCCAGATAGACTAACCAGGGTCTGAGCCAATACAGCGGAGGATTCAGGACGATGTCGCACAGAAGAGGGGAGGACCAGAAGTGGGGGAACGCAACTCGACCTCGGGGCACGGGAGATCGGCCATGTGCGTCATCGATGCATCAGGAAGGTCACGTGGCATTAACAGGACGGAAGAGCAGACCATTAATAGTCGAGTCGACCGTTTAGAAGAGACATTGAACATTATGAACATTATGAACATATTTTCGTAACTTGAAGTCTGTACACACAGCTGAACCTAGACACTTCAAGCGCGATAGGTATCAACCAAAAGAAGTCCAATTAATCATCGCCCATCAATTCGGCCAACTCGCGCTCCTCCTCTTCTGTGAGCATCGATTCTGCCTCGGGCTCTTCATCCTTGGGTGGGCCATTCTTTGCTATATCAATGGCCTGTTGAAGGTCATTAGGCCGCAGGGACCATTGGCGAACGGTTCCATCGATAGCCACGCTGACAACAGTCGACCCCACGAGAGCAAGCCCAGTGACTTCTTCGAAGTGACCCGAGAAGGTATGATGGAGCTCCCCGGTCTAGAGTGGTCAGTCTCTAGATGTTTCGATTGGTGCTGGGAAGGGGAAGGGACTTACCGATCGATTCCATACCCGTACCTCTTCGTCTCTGCAGGCTGTTACAACCCAGCCGCCAGTTTCGTATACCACCACATCACGTACAAAGTCCGGGTGCTCTAAGCTAAGATTCGCCTTCCATCCATCCGCCCGTACGAGACACTTGGCAGTCTTATCAGCAGACGCAGTCCAGAGATCCCCGTCCTGGTCGAAGAAGAGCTTGTATACACTGGTCTCGTGAGGAAGGAGGGGCTGCCCATCGTCACCACCTCCAAATATCCTGAATTGGCGAATCTCCCGATCACTTCCTGCGCTGAAGACAATGGCCTGAGTTTCATCCACCTCCGGGTCAATATTGAGATCCTGGATGCCTCGCGTATGGCCCTTGAAGGTCTCGGTCCGCTGCCCAGTCGCAAGGTTGAAGATAAGGACTTGAGCGTCGGCACCGCCAGTAATGAGTAAATCTTCTCCGCCAAGTCTGGCACAGATCACAGATTTCACAAAATCACTGTGTCCCTCGTATCTCTGCCGGATCTCTCTTGAGGCTACATCCCAACTCCAGACAGTCTTGTCCCAGCAGCCAGCAAACAGCAGCTTTCCATCAGGACTCAGACAAATACTGGTCAATGGGGCAGTTGGGCCTTTGAATAGAGCGGTAGTTTCTCCCGTCTGTAGAGGGTTGTTAGTAAGTTACTGCTGGTTGAGGTACCATGACATACTCCGAGAACAATTCTCCTCACGGTCCCACTACTTTGAGCAACATAGATTGATCCCGGATGCGACGGGTCTGCTCGAACAGCTAGAATCTTGCTCTGTAGCTTGATGGGGTTTCCATTTTCATTCTGAGATTTGATGTCTTTTCGTTCCTGGTCGTCGAGAGCAGCACTGTGGGCAGCATTCCATCAGCATCAAGCTGTGCGTCGAGAATGGATGTATTTTGTCACGGTATATACCGGACCAGTAAAGAGGTGATGCTCACGAGGTTTGGAAAAAATGGTCACGATTGGACGAGCTCGTCATGGTGTCTCTAGTGAATGACTCTGGTTTCTGCCCGTTCTTGAAAGTTCTCCAAAAGGAGGGTTCCCCAGCGTTGGATCTCTCACAAAAAGCGCTCCTCGACCCACCCGCGCACAGTCCAAAACTGCTCTCGGAGCTTCTGCAGTCTACCGTAGCCCGTCTTCACCAAAAACCTGAACGCAGATTTTCTTCTTTTTCCTTCTCTCCTCTTCCCATTCTACCCACTCACCCTTTTTCTCTACGCGTTCTCCCTATTCCCCCTTTGTTTCTTTTTACTCTCTCTTGCGCGGTTCCGCGCTCCCTGCAAGGATGGATATGAACCATTTGATAGGGTCAGTCTGCACCTGCTGGTCGGAACCAGGGTTTGTGCGGCTGGGCTGGAGTTAACACCTGGCAGTCAGCGTTTCAACCTGATCTCAAAGAGCGATATTCGGTTAGTTTTCCTCTACTTGATCCCTTTCCACCTCGATTCATTACTCATTCTCCTCAGCTATGTTGGCACACTTCACGAAATCAACCCTGAAGCCTCCACAATAGCCCTCGAAAATGTTCAATCATTTGGCACCGAGGGTCGTCGGGGAAACCCCGCCGAGGAGGTCTCTCCTTCGGCGAGTGTCTATGAATACATTGTTTTCCGTGGCAGTGATGTGAAAGACATCAGTGTCGCCGGCGAGGAAAAGCAGGAGAACACACAGCCCGAACCCCCTCGGGTTCCGGATGACCCCGCCATTCTCGGAGTAAGTGCACCATACATGAACATCCCATCCCAACCCAACCCTTCCTCGCCTGTACTCATCGCGGTCGGGCAATTGATCAAATGATGAATCATTTCGGATGTAAACACAGACCTGTTCTTAATGCGCAAAACCATGTGGAATTTTCCGTTGCCTTCCTTCTGATTGATCAACCAACCCTTCATTCCTGCACCCGCCTTCGTTCATTTCTTTCAATTGGACTATCTTGCTGACTTGAATGCAAGCAGAATGTACCACGACCCGTTCCTGGACAAGGTCCTGAAGCCGGATCTGGTGCTCCTGGCCTCCCCCCTCAGCAGCCTCAAGGTGCTCAACAGCCGCCTCCTGGCTACCCTCAGCAGCCACAGTTCCAGCAAGGCTTCTACCCGCCCTATGGACAGCGCTTCCCCCCCTCCTCCTTTCCCACCAGGACCGGGTGGCTATCCAAATATGCCATATGGGGCGCCGCCAGGCTGGTATCCTCCACCTGGTCCGGGTTTTCCTCAGGGACCGGGTCAGTTCCCTCCCCAGATGCCCATGGGTGGCCCCGGCCAGCAGCAGCCGCCGCCCCAGCAACAGAGGCCCGGTCCCCCAGGACCCCCCACGGGCCCCAGTGCCACCTCTGAATTACCCTCGGGAGAGAAGATCCCCAGCAAGCCTGCAACACCGGCGGCTCAGAATGCCCCACCTCCCCCGGTCGAGTCGAAGCCTTCCGTGGCCGAAGCTGTTCAGGGCTCGACTGGCTCTAAGTCTGTTCCAGGATATAGTGCCCCTCAACGAAATGGCCGGGCTATGCCAGCTATTCCTATCGCTGCACCAAAGCCTGTTGTCCCGATGTCCACTGCTCCTGCTGTCGCCTCACAAGGTGCTGTAGCGACCGATGCCACAACTGCTGCCGCAAATGCTGTTGCTGCTGCCATGGCTAAGCTCCCTCAGCCTGGTGCACAGAAGAAGCCAGTCCAAGGCCAGCCTGACGCTTCCCTTGATACTGTCACTCGTAAGATGAACGAGATGCGCCCTTATGATGGCACACAGGCCCCACGGGGTGGTCATCAGTACCCCCGGGGCGGCCGTGGCGGTGCTCGTGCTCCGCACAAGAAAATCGAAATCCCCAAGTCGGACTACGATTTCGAAACCGCGAATGCCAAGTTCAACAAACAGGACCTGGTAAAGGAGGCCATTGCTACCGGGTCTCCTGCTGCCGAAGCTGAATCACACGAATTCCACGAACAGGAAGTTGATGACAGCGCCACGCACAATCAATACAATCGCACGTCTTCTTTCTTCGACAACATCTCAAGCGAAGCTCGTGACCGTGAGGAGAACTCTACGGGCCGTCTCGGTGGTCGCGAGTGGCGTGGCGAAGAAGAGAAGCGTAACATCGAGACATTCGGACAGGGCAGTGTTGATGGCTATGGCCGCGGTCGCGGTCGTGGACGTGGACGTGGATTTGGACGTGGACGTGGTTACCGAGGCGGCTACGGTGGTCGTGGCCGTGGTGGCCGTCCCCCCTCGCAGTCCACTGGTATTCCTTCCCAGGTTTAAATAAAGCCATCTACCTACCTGCTTCTGTTGCAATGATTGCTATGTTTTTTATTTTCTTTTCATATTCCTTGGGGTGTCCTGACCTATGAACGACATGAATGCTTATGCTTGAACCCGTCTCTTCTCTTCGGCGCAATGGGAATGAACCTGGACTGGGCATGGTGGGACGGCAATACGATTTGTTTTTTTTGCGGCCGGCAACTATGGGTGTTTTCTGTTTCTGTTCGGGTGTTTGAATCTTTTTCTCATCATTCTGTCTTATGTCAAGCATACCCCTTTTCAGCGTCTTTCCTGCTAAGTCTTTTGGGTGGGAATTTTTTACCTGGTGTGCTCTGTTTCGACATCACAGATGCGCCCCGATGGCTTGCGACATGCATCTCGCTTGAGGGCATGGTCGTGATCATTCAAGGCCAATTTATTTGTTGGCTCAGTGGCTTTTGCATGCGGATGTAACATATCCATGACTTGAGGAGACAACTCCAATCAATGAAAAAGGAAAATAGAGGGCTTGAAAGCTCTCTCTCAAAAAAAACTTTGGTTTCTACTCGTAAACTTCCCTCTTCCTTAATGTATGTAGGATTCGGATTTCAAGTCTTCGGTCCGAGAATCCCCCTCGCACACTGCAACATCCTCGGTACTTATGGACTATTTTCGGCAAGAACCCCTCATCCCCGCACGCCGCTTACTTGGAGTGTAATCATATTAATGTGGTGCCGGTTCTACAAGCCTATTCAATAAGTCTATGTAGTCTCAAATCACTTACTGTCAAGCGAAGCGAAAATGCCACCCTCGAATTCGACCGACCGTCTATCCGTAATCTCGAATCATCTTGAAGCGAGGGAATCTAAGATGTCGCAAGTCCAGTCCCCGCAGCAGCTGCCCTGGGATCCCAACTCACTCAGTTTTCCTTCTCACGACGAACTTCCAAAATTGCCTGATGCCCCCGAGGGCGCGGCTTGGGTCTGGGGGAAAGAAGATCAGGTATATGTACCACCGTTCTAGAATTGCTCCGCTGCTAATAGAGCTTGATCTAGCTCGGGAGACTGAACCTATTAACGCCAGAACGTGTAAAGCTGGCTGCCGCAGAGATCAAGACTGGGGATATGATTCGACTGGAGTGAGTCTTATTGAAGTTGCTCAAAAAGGTAACTAACTTTTGACACTTCATTAGCCTGCCTCTTAATGTGCCTATGACACCTGCATTCGGTCGTGAAGTATTCCAGCACAATATCAAAACAAACATTCCGAATATGGGATATGATGACACCTATACCATGAACACACAAAGCAGCACCCAATGGGATGGCTTCAGACATGTCAGTTCTCACAATGGAACAGTTTCGAAAAACTCCACATCTGTTTAATTAACTACCAATTAGTTTTGCCATGTCCCCACCAAGACCTTCTATAACGGGGTATGGACTCCAACTTAGCCCTCACTCTGGTAGATACTAACAGATGCATGTAGGCGAAAAGCTCCGATTTTGTGGGCGAAAATGCCAACCTCCGCTGTAGCATTCATCACTGGGCAGACCACGGTATTGCTGGCCGAGGCGTGCTCTTAGACTATTATCATTACGCGCATACTCACAATAAGCCATACTACCCCTATAAACCACACGCGATTTCTTTTGCTGAGCTCCAAGCCTGCGCCGTCTCTCAGGGCCTTGACATTCGACCAGAATCGCAAGGTGGCGATATTCGACCAGGAGATGTGCTATTTGTACGCTCCGGCTTCGTACAGGAATACTATAAACTTGGACCAGATGAACGCCATGCCGCAGCTACTCGCAAAGACCTGGAATTCGCAGGACTCTCGCGTGAAAAACCAATCCGGGACTGGCTACACGACTGCTATTTTGCCGCGGGGGTTGGTGACTCGCCGACTTTCGAGGTCTGGCCACCTCCAAGGTTTGGGCCGGATCATATAAGCTTGCATCAGAGTATGCTGTCGCTTTGGGGGTGTCCAATCGGTGAGATGTGGGATCTGGACAAATTAGCGGTAAGATGCAGGGCGCTTCGTAAATGGACCTTCTTTATGACAAGTGCCCCTGCCAATATGCCCGGTAAGTCTTTCGAATATGCTCGGTGTGATTGTGTTAGAAATTTGAACAGCCGCTGAAAATATCCAGGGGGCGTAGGCTCGCATGCAAATGCGACTGCAATTTTGTAGATGGCTCTACTAGGAATCCAACTTAAAGGTTAGCACGGGCGTTCAAGTTTGTTTGGATCCTGAATCGTTGCTGACAGTATTTTAAATCAAGTCCCGAGGTCCTCATATACAACTTGAAGTTCAAGTTTCCAGGTTCAAGTTGTCTTGTCATCCATCTCTGAGTCCCTTTCGGTTTTATTGCCAGTGGTTGTGTACTACTGCTACGGCATCTTTACTATTTTCTCTACTTCCAAGGTTTCAACTTGATGTTGACAACGAGTTGCTATCCTATGTAAATCTCCATTTTCTTGAGGAGGTTCTTCCTTTTCCGACGTCTCACGTAAATTCTCAACGTGATAAACTAAACTGCTCCGCAATAATGTACGACTTCTGGGAAGGGGTTACTGTCTGGGGTTGCAAGAAGCCTCTCATTACCATCGACTTTGGGTGGGGGGGAGTTGGGTAGTCCGTCCTAAGGTAGGCCAGGCGCTCCCTCGGAGGATCAACCCCTTACCCTAGGGTAAGCGCTGGACCCTGAAAAGCGGGGCCCATAATATTGAAAACTCTTTCTGGCATATTCTAAGAAAAGTGCTGGAAATTACGTATTCACTAAATACCCAGACATGGTCAATAAACTCACAGAAAGTGATAATTATGGGATCAGGGCTACTTGTGGTGATTTCTGGGAGGGGGGGGGGGTTGTCCATCAGACTCACCATCATTGTAAGCGGTACAATTTGTATCGCTTACAATGAATAAAGTACCATGCGGGGTAGGCTTTCAAGGTTGATATGATAGAAATGCCAATATTACTCATCTCCAAACTTGCAAGTTAGCCCTGGCCCTCTTGTTAATCGGCTTATCGTAGCACAAATCATGGCGCTTTGCAAATGTTCGAGGATTCGGGCACAACGCTAGGCCGGTTAGTAATTACGAGGTATCTCATCGGGGCTTTACGCCATTGAGAGATATGTGAGAGCAAGCGCGTACCCGATATGCAGCCAAGCCTGTGCTGTGGTGGCATGTTTCATCTTAAGCATGGGCGACAGTAGTACAGCGCTTATTTTCTAAAATTTGCTCTTCCAACGTGGGGTCCAATACTAGGTATGCAGTTTAGTAGTCGGGTAATCTAAAATCTTATAATTATGAAGACTACCCCGAGATCATTCATGTTCATTTGTGTTAGCTTTTTCAAGGCTGGTCCTTATTAAAGCTTAGTCATGCCTGAGTGGGAGTCTCTCACTAACTTCAACTCGAAGTTGAAAAGGAAGGATCCGCTTCCTCCTCCGCCTTCGAAACAATATGGCCAATCTCGACTTCGGCCATGGCGACCATTTTATTTACGAAGACTAGTTATAACCTGTTTTATTCTCACTGCTTGTGCCATAGTTGCAGCTCTTGAGGTATTGCATCATATCTCACAGTCTCAGAACGGGATCGCATCTTCGGTCGAACGTCTTCACTATGTCTGGACCTATACACCCACCGCCATCCTGACTATCATCAGCGCACTGTGGGCGCGTACGGAGTTTCAAACCAAACAAAATTGTCCATGGAGGTCTCTGCAGAAACCAGAACAAGTCGACAAGAGTTTACTTTTAGACTACGACAACATTCCGCCCGTCGCACTATGGAAATCCCTCAAACATCGCCACTTCATCGTTGCTGCAGGGATTGCCTGCTCTCTTCTATTGCAACTGTCAATTTTGTTCTCCACCAGTTTGCTATCACTGCAGAGAGTTAATGTGCAAAGAATGAATGTCCCTATTCAACTGTCTGATATCTTTGATGACAACCACCCGACATTCAATGCTACCAGGCTTGAAGGATTTGATATTCTCAATCAGGTTCAGTTCGAGAATCTGACTTACCCCAGTGGCACCAATGCAAACCTCACCTTTCAAAGCTTCGTTACTCCGAGTGTTTCCAGTGCCTCAGTCATAAAGGCTCCGATACAGGCAATGGAAGGAGGATTAGAATGCGAACATGCGAAGCTAATACTGGATCTGTGGGAGGTAGCAAGGTCGAATGATACCTGGGGTGGCAATGCTTTCCATTTCTACAACAACAGAATTACAACACCTTCCTGCACGATCTTCAATGTGACTTATATTGATGACTATACGACGGCAGGCTATTCCAACTATGTGGCACGCGCGAGAGCTGTGACATGTGACAATTCAACCGACACAGATCGAAATCGCATATTGGTATTTGCGACGCAATACCATGTTGGGAGAATGCTTGAAAACTTCACAGCTCACCCTTCCACATTTTGGACACACAGGTACGAGGTTGTTCTCGACAACTCCGTTCAAATGTTTTGCAAACCCACATTTTCTTCCGTCAACATGGAAGCTACGTACAACTTAAGCCAGCCGCAAACCGCGATGGACCTCAAGAGAATTGGAACAGAAAAGCCAAGATTCACGGATATCAATGCCTGGAATATATCTCAACAGGTGATGGAAGGAGCTTACGCTGGGAATGCAGCCAGTCGACCCATTGCTGCACATGGTGCGTTTTCGAACAGTACCAGTGGCCCTCCGCAACCAGAGGTGTCAATTGACTTCATCATACAGCTTGGTGCATGGATTGCAGGGAAAACAGGTCATGCACAGAGGCTATTACAACATGGTGTGCTTGAGGAGATATTCTCGGCCTTTTATCGTTCAATGGCTGCTCAGGTCATACACGGCGGCCTCATGAAACAACGAGTTACACAGACCAATGGCTCCATCGTTGTTGAGGAAAATCGTGTGTTAGTAATGCAGTTGCCACTGCGGGTACTCGAGGTCTGTCTGGTAGTATCGGTTCTGATAGCAGTCGCTATGGTTTTTCTCAGGCCGAATGATGGGAATCTTTCTCAAAATCCGAGCAACATTTCCACCATTGCCAACGTCATGAGTAATAGTCAAACGCTTCGGCAATCTCTCCGCGGGGCAGGGGCCGCCCCTCTCGGCATTCTGAGGGAGAAGACCTGTGGGAGAAGGTACTTCTTGAGGAACCAACGACAATGTTCCTCAATTGAAACTGAGAGAGACAATGTGTGCTTTGACGCTTGCAGCGAATCTGTCACTCAAACCTCGAATGAAAACTGCGCCCGCCTATCCAAGTCGTTTTGGAAGCCATTTCCGAGTATTTGGTCTCGAATATCCATCTTTTGTGCGATCACGGGGGCTATCATTGCTCTCGAGGTTCTTTTACGTGTTTCTCAAAAGAACAATGGACTGGGAAAGGCTTCCCATGATGGTAAAATGCATTATTTTTGGACAACTGTTCCTTCCTTGGTGATGATGCTTATAGGCCTTTTGATCGGAAGCTTGGACTCTAACATAAGGATTCTTGCACCCTATGCCAGTTTACAGAAAGCTGAAGGTATCGATTTTGAGTTTCTGGAGACAAACTTCCTCGACGCCTTGCGTATAACGAATCTCATCCAGTCTGCTCGAATGAGAAATTTTGCAGTCTTGTCAGCAACCTTGGCTGCTTTGACTGCTTCATTTCTTACGATCGTGACCAGTGGTCTTTTTTCGGCATTCGAAGTACCCCAGGTCATCAATTTGAATTTCACGCAAGATACCCTCGTCAAATCGCCTGACGTTTCAGCTCTCCTGGCAGATGCACCTGCCTTCATCACGGCGGACTATATTCTCAATGACAATCTCAGCTATCCCATATGGACTTACGAAGAACTAGTCTTTCCTGAGTTATCCCTTTCTGACTATGCGGATTTGAGGGCGGACGAAGACTTGTATGCAGATATCCGCATTCCGACCATCAGAGGCTCCTCGGACTGTACTTTGGCAACTGGGAAAGCGCTGAACTATTCCTTGATAACCATGCCAGAGCCGGGAGATTACGATTCATTTGCTGGATATGGTTCCCAGGGCCTATCACAAGAATTTCTTGGGCTATGGCCAAGCCGATTTAGAATCCACTTCTATCCACCAAATCACAATTGTCCTGTTCCTGGCGCGAATGATACATGGCTTACTAAAAGCAATGATCCGTATTACAACCTTGATTTTCCCGAGGACGGTTATTTTGGACAAACGTTTCCAATATTCTGTTATGGAGCCGGCGAGGCTGCTCAGTCTACCCTAACGATGTACGTGTGGGGGTATTTTGAGAATTTGACCATGCAGCATATCAGTGCAATGACTTGTGCTGGTAAGATCGAATCCATCGATGCTGTAGCTCGATTCAAAATTCCCGGCTTTGATATGCCCTCCGATCACCCACCAATTCCTGACGAGTCTTCTGTCAAACCTCTTCCACAGTTAAATGGAGTCTGGGATATCTACAAGTTGGATATGCTGAGCAACGTTGATTATTCCCAACGGAACCAGGTCACCAAGGAAAATATAAAAATCGATAATTTCTTCAACTCATTGCTGAATGGGCGCTACACGATTCCGAGGGAGTTTCTCTGCAGTTCTCGATACGATGCAAAGGTACAAGAGACAATCAAGCGACAGGAGAGCATTGTGAGAGCGCAGGTGCTTAAAAAGTACAGTCGTTTGGCTGCAAATGGGACACTGGACGACAAACCCATTTCTGGCAACTTGACTATGCCGAAAAGTCTTCGCGTTCATCAAGATAAAGTCTCAACCAGAGTCCTTGAAGTAATGCTAGGGCTGGTTCTCGTCTTTTCTATTCTTGGATCGGTGCTCATGAATACAGACCATGTCTTGCCGAAGAATCCAATGAGTATTGCAGCAGTTGGGAGCTTGTTGGCGGACTCAAATTTTCTGCATCTTTGTAGCTTTACGGAACGAAATCCAAACTATGAACTGCTCCGCGACCGTCGAGTGCATCTTGGTTGGTTGGATGATGAATCTTCATCAGAAAGCTCGTCGAACCTGGATAAATCGAAAGGCGGTCGCTATTTTACGATATACATGAAGACCGAGAGGATTGAGAAGATTGAGAAGGCTGGGAAAGATTCTCGAATTAGCGATACGCGGAGTAATTTCTTACAGCAAGATAGGACAGACCTACTAGGGGGGAGGTTCATGGATCTAGACTCATAATTCATTGATAGAGCTCAGCTCTGGGATTGAACCCATATCACATAGAAGGTCCATAATAGAGAATGGATTCAGAATTCAGCTTTTCAGACACTTAGCATATTACTAAGTTGAATCCCTAGCTTACCTAGGTATTATCTCAGTCTCAATTGTTATATGGCAAAAATTATAGCATGACAGCCAACACCGTCCCCTCGTGAATCTCACCAAAGTGTAACCACCTGAGCAATAAATCAAAAAAAGCTCCACCTGCTATTGAAATCCCACTCTTTGGTCCGACTCAAGTAGTAGTAGTAGTTAAGCCGAGTAGCACTTCCCTCCTTCATTCAAATCATGGATGCTCCCTGAAATCAAATCTCCTTCATAAGCTAATGTGATTCGGATTTTGACCCTCCCCACCCACGGAACCGAGAAAATTGAAAATTGATACTCGGAATCTCGGCATTGCAAAGGCCCGGAAAAATACACTCTCTTCGGAGATTTATTGAGCTACTAGCGCATAAATTACGGGTTGAAAGTATAAATCTACCTGGAAAATTTTTAGAATTCTGGAAATTCGGGGAGCACTGCCGTCACGGGTGGGTGAGTATCGGCTTCCCTAGTGCGCATGACAAGTTGATTAGTATGGAGGCATCGCGGAAATATTGACAGGTATATCCTGAGTTGACTGACCAGGAGGGTTTATAAAACTTCATCGGATCCAAGTTGCTATCAGATCCTTTCCTCATCTTTGACGGCCGGAGACTGTTCACTAATATTCCAAAGTTGGCTTTAGAACGGAGGTCTCCGTTATTGAATCCTATTTGACTAAATCGAAAGCGGGTTTCTTCATGAAATCCGTTGAACTAACACTCCTCGTAGCCCTTGTATAGATGTATAATCATGACAAACACTTCTCGGTGAACAAAAGTGGCAAATTACGGACAGTTTCCGTGTTTCTGGGGTTGTGGGGAAGCCATGTGCGTCCCGCAAACTTGTGTGGGACAAAACCTGGAGTGCAGGAGGACGCACTGTCAACAACCCCAGCCTCGGATGGGCATTCCAATTCCATTCTTCGTCTCGTCAGATATCCAATCACTGGAAAGCTTTGTGGAAAGTGACCGGATGGTGCATGTAGGTGGATGGCTTCTGTGCCATGTTTCCCGGAGTACAACCCCGAGAGAGAGAACTGAACGGCTTCCATAGAGATCCGACCCGCCCCAGCCATACCCCGGCTAAACCCCGGATCTGGTCCCCCCCCACTGATACGCAATAAGTGCTACCCTTTTTGATCCTGATGTCGCATTTGGCCGCCATTCTATCTGCGCTTGGGACGTCTCTCGGTGCAGCTATTCCCCTTTCGGGAACGTCGATGTCTATACCGAGTCAAGCCGAACCATGTCCTTTTCCTTTCGAACACACGAGCCTCTGCGTTGTGTATACAACATCTCTTTGCCATGGTCTTGGCCTACTCTCAATTACCATGGCTGTACTACAAGCCCCGCCATGGAGACTAATTCTTCAAGACTCGGAGACAATGCAATTAACGTCATGCCCCAAGTCCGAGGACACTCGGACATAACTCTTGCTCCAAGACAGCCTATATAAATCATTCAGGTGTCTTTGGTTTTCACTCCCCTCATCATTTGCTTCAAAATTCACGGTTCTTGGCAATATGAAGTCTATCGTAGGACTTGCTGCTGTGCTGCAACTAGCAGTACATGCTTCTGCACAGGATGGCCAATCCAGTCCCTCTGAACTCGAGAATTTCTGGTCTTATGGCCGTTCAGAATCGGTGCCGAATACACGTAAGCTCCAGCTTCTACTCTACCTGCCCTATCAATTGTGATACTGACTCTATCTCTAACCAGCTGTTGCAAAGGGATTAGGAGATTGGTCCGATGCCTATTCCAAAGCCCGAAAGCTCGTTTCCCAGATGACCGATGAAGAGAAAAATAACATTACTTACGGACACGAATCAACAACTACTGGATGCTCAGGGGTCACTGGCAGCGTTCCGAGGTTGGACTTTCCGGGTATCTGTTTCCAAGATGCCGGTAATGGTGTTCGTGGGGTTGATATGGTTAACTCTTACCCGGCTGGTATCCACACCGGTGCGTCTTGGAACAGGGATCTTGCCCATTCTCGGGGAGAGCACATGGGCGCTGAATTCAGGCGAAAGGGTGTCAATGTGGCATTAGGTCCTGTTGTTGGGCCTGCAGGCAGACTCGCCTCGGGAGGTCGCAACTGGGAAGGCTTTGGAAGTGACCCTTATCTTTCAGGAGCTCTCGCGGCAGAGTCTGTCCGTGGTCTGCAGCAGAATGTCATTGCATGCGTCAAACATCTCATTGGAAATGAACAGGAAACTAGTCGGAACTCTCCACAGCTATTGGAAGGCTCGCATAACCAGTCTCTTTCAACGAATATTGATGACAAGACGATTCATGAGCTCTATCTCTGGGGATTCCAGGATGTTGTCAAAGCTGGTGCTGGATCAGTCATGTGCAGCTATAACCGTATCAACAACAGTTACGGATGTCAGAATAGCAAGGTTATGAATGGCTTGCTCAAGGGAGAACTCGGCTTTCAGGGGTTTGTGGTGTCTGATTGGACTGCCCAGCACACCGGTATTGCCAGTGCAAATGCAGGCATGGACATCGCCATGCCGGACTCCCAGTATTGGGAGAATAACACGCTAGCCATAGCTACCAAAAATGGTTCGATGCCCGACTTCCGACTTGATGATATGGCAACACGCATCATCGCCTCTTGGTATAAATATGCCGAGATACCAAACCCCGGTCATGGTATTCCTGTTAGTCTGCTCGAGCCTCATAATCTCGTCGATGCCAGGGATCCAAAGTCAAAGAATGTCATTCTTCAATCGGCCATTGAAGGTCATGTTCTTGTCAAGAATACAGCAGGAGCCCTTCCTCTGCGAAAGCCGAAGTTCCTCTCACTCTTTGGATACGACGCTATTCCTTCTCCTTTGAATACTGCGGATGACGGCTCGTTAGGTGGCTGGTCGATGGGCCTTCAAAATGCTCTTACATATCCCAATGGCAGCGCAGTGAATAACGAAACTGAGAAATACATGTTTTTGTCGAGCACGAACCCCAACTTCCGTGGTCCAGGTGTCGCGTTCAACGGCACACTCTTCGTTGGAGGTGGTTCGGGCGCCAGTACACCTGCCTACATCGATGCCCCACTCCACGCGTTCCAACGCCAGGCATATGATGACGATACTTTCATGGCATGGGACTTGATTTCTCTTGATCCACATGTGAATCCTGCCAGTGAGGCCTGTCTTGTCTTTATCAATGAGGCCGCCTCCGAGGGCTGGGATCGACCATATCTTGCAGATCCGTCTTCAGATAAGCTTGTTAAGAATGTTGCAGCCAAGTGCTCAAACACTATGGTCATAATTCATAATGCAGGGATTCGCATTGTGGACGAGTGGATTGAAAACCCCAACATTACTGCTGTGCTTTATGCCCATCTGCCAGGCCAAGATAGCGGCCGGGCTCTGGTCGAGGTCATGTACGGTAAGCAGTCTCCTTCTGGCCGCTTGCCGTACACCGTCGCCCGCAAAGAGTCCGATTACAAGGAGCTTCTTGAGCCGGTCATTCCTTCGGGCACGCAGAACAAATACTATCCTCAAGACAACTTTACCGAGGGAGTCTACATTGATTACAAAGCCTTTATTCAAAACAACATCCAACCACGCTTTGAGTTTGGATATGGATTAACCTATTCGAACTTCTCATACTCGAACCTCGATGTCGGTGTCCATTCCAACGCAGACTTGCAGTACAGTGCTACAGGAAGTGGTGCAAAAATTTCAGAAGGAGGCTCTGAGGCGCTATGGGACATTGTCGCCAACGTCAATTGCACTATTCACAACACTGGAAAATTTCGCGCCGCAGAGGTTGCTCAACTCTATGTGGGTATCCCAGGAGGACCCCCAAAGGTTCTTCGTGGGTTTGAGAAGAAGACCATTGATTCTGGCAAGAAGAAGCATATTCAATTTGACTTGACGCGCCGTGATCTCAGTCAGTGGGATGTGGAAAAGCAGGCCTGGGGACTTCAGGCTGGGAGGTATCCCATCTATGTCGGGAAAAGTGTTCTTGACATCCAGCTACATGGAGTTTTAGATCTCTCTTGAGCTTTATTCGACAAGAATTGGTTTTTCTTTTCCTATATATGGTGCACAATACCATTGAGTAGCTAATGAAATGAAATTTTGAGCGGAACAATTTGATCATTGTCGAATGGCATGATTTGAAGACTTTACAAGAACTCGGTAATTTCGAGGCAAAGGTTTTGTGGCCGAGCGTACTAGTACTACCTTGGATATTATTAGGCCCTATCTATAATTCATATCCAGACAGCCCATCAAAATTGACATAAAGGTTTGACATAGGCCGTACTAAAAGAGGAAAGGAATCTGAAGCCCGAAAGACTGCATGTGGCCTGGAAAATCTGTTCAACCTGACCCAACAACCTCTTGGTACTAATACTTACTAAAAAGTAGGCGCAATCGACATGTCTTTCTTACTGGGAACATTCTACGATAACCATTCGTAATGCTATGATTTAGCGTCTTTTAGCTGCTGGCTTATTGACTGCATTTGGCAAAACAGCCAGCTTTTACTCCACTTGATGTCCCCCACTTTTCACTCTTTTCCGCGCGAGATTCGCCGGAGTTCAGCCGGCCCCAGATTCAAGTCCCACGCCGATATCCAACTAGAATCGTATACGGAGTACTGTTGTATACCCTAGGCAAGACCGGCCCGAGTTCCCGTAGGTCCGGGATCAGCATCAGGATCAGAAGGGCAATCACTTTCACCCTCGTCCTCGTTCCCCTCACCAAATCCAACGACCTTCATGCTTCTCAGTCCGCTCACACTCGACCATCAACACGATGAGCACTCAAACCCAGACCCAACCAGAACCAGAAACAATCATCCTACAAACCCGAACCTCACTTAACGAGATCCCATCTCCAACACCACCCCAAGATCAACCCCCAAAATGGCTCTACCCCAAAATCCTCAGCGCAGGCCTCTCCTTCTTCGTCGCAGGCGTCAACGACGGCAGTCTAGGCTCCCTAATCCCCTACATAATCCACAGCTACAACATCAACACAAACACAATCGCCATCCTCTACGCCACAACATTCGCCGGCTGGTTCATCGCCGCACTATCCAACAGCACAATCTGCCAAAATCTAGACCTCGGCTCGATCCTGTGCATCGGTGCCGCGCTCCAAGTCCTCGCTCACGTCCTGCGAGCCTGGTTCGCGCCATTCCCACTTTACGCCGTGACGTTTTTCCTCGCGTCGTTGGGCCAGGCTTATAACGATACGCATGCTAATACGTTCGTTTCGCAATTGCCCGGCGCGGCGCATCGGTGGTTGGGCTTTATTCATGCTATGTATATGGCTGGATGTCTTGTTGGGCCATTCGTTGCGACGGGGGTGGCGTCGGCGAATGTCCAGTCTCGATGGAATCTGTTTTATATTTTTCCTTTGGGATTGGGGGTTGTGAATTTTGCTTTGGTGACGTTGTCGTTTCATGATCGTGTTGCTGTCTTGTCTAAGAAGGACGTCGTCAGAGACGAGGCCCTCTCTTCTGACTCGCATCGCCCAGAGCGAGAGTCAGCGAGTAAAGCAGCCGTCAAGGAAATCAAGGAGACACTGTCTACGCCGGGGGTCTGGCTGGTCAGTCTATTCTTCTTTTTCTTTCTGGGTGCGGCCATCACGGCTGGGGGGTGGATGGTCGAGTACCTGGTCAACGTGCGAAACGGAGACGTCAAGAATATGGGATACGTGCCTGCGGGATATTACGGCGGAGGCTTTTTGGGCCGACTGCTTCTTGCTGAGCCGACTCATCGACTAGGAGAGAGGAGAATGGTCTTTATTTACGCGGTTCTTTGCGTTGGCTTGCAATTGGTGTTTTGGCTGTATGTTCTATCTCGTTCTTTGTCGGGGGTGGCTGCTAACCTGGTAGGGTTCCGAATATCATCACTGAAGCTGTGGCTGTTAGTCTATTGGGCTTTTTCTCTGGCCCGTTCTTCGCAACGGTAATCCCTCCATCGTCTAGCTCTTCTACGAGTATACTTGTATACGACTATTAAATCAACAATTTGATCAGGGTATATCCGTTGGATCCAAGATTTTTAGACCAGAGATCCGCTCCTCGGCAATAGGTGAGATATTCATACTTCCCCCCTCCTTTTCGAATCATTGCTAATCCGGAAAGCCTTCGTATTTGTACTCGGTCAGATTGGTGGCTCGATCTTCCCTGCCATCACTGGTATCATCGCGGCTCGGGTAGGGGTTAAGGTATTGCAGCCCATACTTGTAGGCTTATTCAGTGCTGCTGGTATCAGTTGGCTGTTATTGCCCAAGAATGCGGAGGTTCATCGGGAATGAGAGGTAGCTGGGTTAGGCATAATGAATGGACCGACGTTTGGAACACCCTTGCACAACCTAGTGCCTACCTAGGTACCTGGGTAGGTATCTACTAGGGAATCTTAGACCCACCAGTGCTCTAGGATTGATGTCGTTGGAAGAAACTTGAGTTCCAGGGATAAGAATATTGGAATGAAACAAACTACCTCCGCGTCGAAACAATCAACACCAGAACTCCAGGGTATAATAAACTCATAACATCGTGACAAGCCGTCAGAGACGACAAACAAAATACACCAGCCTATGCTAGAAAATGGCACCACTTAATCCTTTCAATACCATCAAAATTCGTCAAGAGAGACATGTCCATTTAGAAAATATCCGAAGGCCAAGGGAAATCCTCAAGCCCAGTCGCAGTCGATTGCTGGTTCTGCGTGGAAGGAGACTGTGGCGCTAAAACCGCCGCAGATTCCTTCCTCGGGCTCTTCATCTTCGAGGGCGACTTATTTACCTTTGCTGCATTTGGAAGAAGCTCCTCGGGAAGCGGAGGGACGGGTGGAACATCGGCATCCTGCCATCTTCGTTTCCGTGGGCTAGACTTAGATCGTGGCATTCGATCCGGATCGAGGTGAAGATGTGGCTGAAGGTAGAACGCTTGCTGTGCTTTGCTTTTCGATGGAGGTGGCGAGGGAGAGATCCAATCGTCGAGGGTTCTGTGTTCCGAATCGCTCATGGCGCGAGGCGAGACGGAGCGCAGATTCGAACGGCCAGGTTGCGTACGGATATGGGGCGATGATTTTATGGTCTTGGAATTTGGTGAGCGATTGGGGCCGGCAGGGAGTTTTTGGGATTGAGTTGATGGGGACTTTCTGCTATTCATATCTCCTTGTGCGGCGGCCCCGTGGTTGATATTGGGTCGTGTACGTTCTACCGAGCCGGGACTGTCGCTGGCTTCGAATTTCTGCCATTTAGTCTGTCGAGGGGGACTGAGGAGGCCCGAGTCGATCAGGTGTTCATATTCGGTCGAAAGGGCGACGTCGTTGGTATCGGGGCGCGTTGGGTTGGACTGAAAAGGTTTCCGACTATCGACTGGTTCAGGAATGGGGGACTTCCTTTTGCGGGAGGAGCTTTCCTTACCCATGGAGGACGGCCGCGAATCTCTCGACCGCCTCTTCGGGGACTTGCCCACAACTGGGCTTGGGCATGGTCCCTGTTCTTCGATCGAGACGCTTCCTCGGCCCTCCACGGAAGGTAAAGCAGTCGGGACACCCATCTCGGGCTCGGGCGTTTCGGCAATTGTCGCTTGTTGGTCGAGAAGTCGTTCTGAGGGTAGTGTTGGGAGCGCACCGGGGACGAATTTGCGTGGATAACTGCCAGGGTCCATATCAATGCTCATGGATCTGCGCTCTGGCGTTGGCTCTGGCAACCGCTCCTCATTTCCACTGATTTGATGGAGCTCGCGACGAGCACGATCGAGCTTGTCTTCAAGGTTGCTGACCTTCTTGAGGAGCTTGGCTTGTCGTGAAAGCTCCCGGCGTGATTTTTGCTTGCGAAGCCCGGTATTTTCAATGGATTCTTCAGATGATCGTTCGGTGTATGTTGGGGGTGCGAATGTGGTGGTTTCTTGAGGCTTGCCAAATGGGAGTCCAGCCTTGCGAAGGTCTTGAAAAGATGAGCGCTTCGAAGTCATAGATGAAGAGCGCGAAGGTGTGCCGCCAGCTCCATCAAATTGATTCGTTGGCGGGTGTGCTGAATCTCCAATGGGACCTGCGTAGCCCATTTTTTCCAGAATAGCCTGGAATGTCTGGTCGGCGTTCGCCTGGTCGGTATTCTGACTCTGCATGTAGGAGCCTTTGTTGGTACCCTTATAGCCGGCCTTCTTCAACTCCGCATAAGCCAGCTCTGCCTGTGTAAGAGCATCCGCTTGAGGCTTTGGTTTGTGAGAAATCTCGTGTTCAGGCGAGTTCCTGTTCCAACCTCCGAAGGGATTGAAGGCCGAAGCAATGGCCTTGCCAAAGCGAAAGATGCCGGAGGAACGATGCTGCTGCTGAGGCGCGACCCGCTTACTCTCGTGCATAAAAATGCTTGGTGGCTTCTCGCTGACACTATCACTCATCGTCGCTTCCACAAAACGCGACCGGCGGCCCAGCAAATTACGTGGGCTGTGTGCGGCCGTAGCGCTATGTCTACCACGGAGCGAAGTCGCCGAGGTACGAGGGGATGCTCGCGGTGAGGACTTGAACTGATTGCCGATGCTAGCACCTATCCCGCCATTGCCAGCACGTGCATTACGGCGGTTGTTATGTCCATAGTCTGCAGCTTCCTCGGGCAGCGGCCAGTCATTGGAGCGGCGGCGTTTCACGGACTTGGCCGAGGACGATTTATAATCTTCGATCTCTGGCTCGTCGGCATCATCGAAGCGACCTGATTCATCGGAACTCGTTTCGTAGTGGTAGTCGTCGGAACTGCTGCGCAGGTGCTTGCGCGAGGTGCGCTGATCCGCGGGGCTGGTGTCAAGGTCCATACTGACGGTCTCGTTGGGGGCAACCTGTTCAGGAGAAGCGAGTTAGAGACATTTCCTTCTTTTATCGCTTTCCCTGCCACCTAAGGCTGTCTCCTAGATCCAGCGTGCAAGGGAGCTCACCTTGGCGGGAGTGTCCTTCATTCTCCCTGGTAACGTTCCCCGCGCCCTTTAAACGGAAAGGGTACAGAGTAAATGTGGACTGGTGAGAGGGGATGACATGAAAGGAGTAAAAATGCGAGAGAGAGAGAGAGAGAGAGAGAGAGAGAGAGGGAAAGAGAAAGCGGAGGAGGGTTCAAGGCAAACATGTAGACAACAAAGACGGGGCCGAGTCCGTTTTTGTTTACAACATACTCCGCACTTGCCCAGGGGGGAAGTTTGTTGTGGTTGTGGGGACTGTACCGAGTATAGTACTTACTTACCACCTCCACTTCCACTGGTAATTAGACTCGATTATTTATTCCTGTAAATTGACTGACTTGCAGTTGATTCATATCCACTGCATACACTATTGATGCAACTATTTTCCGTTGGGAGACAAACCGTAGGCACACATGGAAGCAGGGATTTCATATACCGCAATCCTTGCGGGGAGGCAGATCGATCGACCTAGATTCGGAATTCCACCTGTCTCAGGCGGACTGGTGGCCCGAGGAATGATGGAATGAGAAACAATCAATCTGATTTTCAATTGGTTCGTTCAGTCCAATATACACATGACATTTACGCGGGAAGAAGGGAAGAAGGGACGAAGGAAAGAGTTCAAGTTATCGATTCAGACAACAATGCTAGGTATCAAGGAGATGCCACAACGCCATAAAAGTAAGAGATTAAAGCAACAGGCCCTCAAAAAACAGGATATAGCGCCCCAGTGGAGATCAAGCAAGGGAATCCAACATCGAAACGTCTCTCCAATGCACTTTCATAATATACCAATCCGCCACGCCCACATGGTAGGGATTGCAGGGTCACGATCGCGAAAAACAAAGTTAATGATTGAGATGAAAGAAAGCAGAAAAAAAATCAAGACCGACTGCCATCCTTTGAACCCGCCAGAGAGATAGCCCAAGCCGCAATAAGAAAAGGTGATGCCGAGCGAGAGAGTCAATCAACTAAATGGTTCTCCCCTGCCAGACTGTGTAGTCCTCCCCGTTGCCGTTCAGGCGTAGATTGGAGGGTGGGATTCCACCCTTCGCACACGCTGCCGGCAGGGATTGCTTTTCGGTGAATGATGGGGTCACGGACCCTCAAAAGCCAGGAAAGGAAGAGAGCGCTGCCAAGGTCAAAGGACGAATGCGTAGATCGGATCAGATCGGGGAATAAGAGAAGAATCCAAAGAGCCCAGTGACCAGCCAGTTCTCCACGCAGGAATAAACAATCAAAAACAGGGGCTTCCTGGACAAGAGCCTGACGGAAAAAAATGCGTCGAGATATCTAGGCACGAGGCAAGGGAAGGTCAAAAGAGGGGAAAGAATTCATGTACAAAAAATGCTAAGAGTTTGGCGCATGAAGCTGCGGGATGCGCTTTTTGCGTCGAAGATCAGAGCGAGCTCTGAGGGATAATATCCGATGGACGGTCCATAGCCCAGCCGGTCGGGATTTGATCAGAAGTCGTATCAGATGCTTTTTTATGATGTCGCATGTGGTGCCTTCATCACCACTCGCCCATTGGCACGTTTGTATGCCATATCGATGCCATATTCGGCCATTAAAGCTGCTCGACTTTCAGCAGAGTAATCGCGGGTGGAGTTGGTGCTATAGGACTCAGTATCAGGCCGCATGCCATTCTGCATCGATCGTTCATCAAGGCCGAAAGAATCTTCATGGCTTCGTTTGCCGCCAGTGACTCCGCCGTGCCCGGGGTGTCCGAGCTGTCCGGTGTGATAGAGCATTCGCTTCCCTGAGACGGAATCGTAGCCCGGGGCGGGCGTGCAATGCTCGATAGACGGCTGGATACCATGGCCGTGCATGCCTTGCATGTTTGCAAAATCACTGGGTGTGGCGGACTTCATAGATTGCGAGAGAGTAGACGGGATGGTTGATACAGGTGTTTGAGCCCTTGGCATCAAGTTTGCGGGAATCGAGTATGGGTTCATCGGATCTGCCATGTTCATATCCACGTATGGCGGTGCTTTCGGTGTCTCCAAGCGATATGATGTCATATTATTCTTTGGGTAGCCTCCATTCCGTTCGACCATGGGTGGTGCCATGGGATATCCAGCGGGTGTTATTTCATATTCAGACGTCGTGGAAGGATCACGAATATTGGCATAAGATGTATGTGGTGAGTACATTCCAGGACCAGCGACCGGCGGTGGAGTAGGAGGCATATGAGGAGCAGGGTATTGAGTTGGTGTCGAACCGAAGGATAGGTGTGATTGATAGCTGGGGGTTCCATCGTGTGGCATAGGGGCGGGTGGCATGGGTCGCTGGAAGGGCGGTTGGGGGCACTGGAAACCATAGTCGGGTGCTGACGGCCGCCGTTGAAGGTCGGGACCATATCCGTAAGGCGAGGCCATCGCGCTCCCATTGCTATTTGATCGGGGGCGTTCCACCGAATTTGTGACGTAGCGATCTGGTGTTGAGTATCGGTCTGACGATCGTGCATATACAGCGGCCGCTGCCCTCTCCTCATCAAAATCGTACTCTTCCTCGCGCTTGTCACCTCGTCGTCTCATCCGAACATCACGACGAATGCGTACACGGCATCCTTGCTCGGCGATGATACGGCTGAGGGATGTGCTAGTAGCCAAACCAGGGAACTTCTTTGCACTATAGACAGTGAACGGCACTGACTTGACGTCTAGTCTGAAATTCAAGAACGCTTGAGGGGCACCGGTACTGCCATTGCCGGTTCGGCCGACTTGATTAGGTAGGGGAAGATCCGAGTCCTTGTCGGCATCTTTCGCATCCTTTATCTCTTCGTATAGGTGGAAGGCCAGGCGGTACCGGCCCTCATGGCGAACTGACAAGTCTGGGAAGATGAAGTAACCAGCCTGCGAAGGGCGATCAAGGTAAGCGACACCAGCGACCGGCACACCAGTTAATACGGGACACGACGGCGGGCCAGCCACTCGACCGTGAGCGATGGGACGCGCAGCCTCTAAGGTCGCATATAAGAAGAAATTGGCATTATAAGCAAAGGTAATATCGGTTTTATGGGCCTCATTGCCAGGGTCGGATTCGAAGATTCGCAGTTCGACCACGGGTGGCGGGTCAACTGGGCGACGGTCGGCGGATGCTATTTTGTCGAGTCAGCAAACACCTCAGTGGCGACGAGATCTACCATTGTTGATGGTGATGGGGCAGCGAGAAGAAGGATATTTGGGGATGACCTACATTTGGCTCCAGCACCACAGGCTCTCGCACGTTCAGGTTGTTGCATCACACTTAATTTATATGTGAGTTGTTTTCCTTCGCGAGTGATGCGACTGACGGTGTGCTCTGTCTCATTATGGGGCGGCATGAGGGGTGGTCTGGTCGCCATGGTGGGCGAGAAGGATCGAGGAATATTATACTATATGGGCGACAGCGACATCAGCAAAAATGCGAGATCCAGGTTTTGGTATGGCGGGTGTCGTGGACGGAAGGACGATGAGAGACGGGGCAGTGTTGTGTCGCGACATACATTGTCGAAGCTTCTTTCCCTTTCCTGGCGGTCGTGATGGATTCCTCCTGGTCGTCAATCGAGTCGCTTGTCCTTCCTCCTCCAGAGAAAACGGTGGTGGGCCCAGGATTTGCCTTCTTCTGGGAGGGGGAAAGGTGATCCGACCCTTGCTGAAAGTGAGAGAGACGATCGCAGGTCAATCGAGAGTCGAACAGGGGCGAGTAGACGAAGTCGAAGTGGAAATGAGTCAGATGGAAGGGCCTTGAAGACCAGGACCAGGACCAGGACCGGGAGTAGAGGGTGGTGAGGATGGACCAGGGGGGAGAGGAAGTTGTGTGTAATGGTGGGAAGAAAGCAAGAAAGTAGGAGAGGGGGAATCTGGGCTGGGCGAGGGTGACTACGGAGGAACTGGGGACTGCATAGCACTGCCGCTGTATTGCCAAGTACCAACCAGGTACTCTACGGAGTACACCCTATGGTATTCTGTGCAGTGTTGGCGTATTGCCAGCCGGTATTGATGATACGATACACGGTAAGGTATGCACCATGGTTCATTTCCCCCGACCCAAGATCCGGAATGTCTCTCTATCCTAGGCTACTCCCGATTTCACTATTTCGATTTGATTCTCGATCAGGGAATGTTCGTTCAACATTCTGTCCTATCCTCTCCCTCTCTCTCTCTACACGGTACTGCTCTGCATGACTGCACTGTGTATTCTGTACTGCACTAGAATGTAAATGTAAACTCGATATGCATACATAATACTAGCTCCAATACAAGTGGTACTCTATTAATACAGCAATACGTCGATCTGCGTCTCCGCCTGGAAAGTTTCCTTGATTGTGACTAGCCTGCGTACTAGGGATCCTTCGCGCTTTTCCATTTCCACAGAGCACTCTGTCCTCTGTATCATGTGGTATTCACAAATACAAGTAATTGTTTCGAATGATTTACTTTGGATTCTGATTTTGATCTTGATTTTGATTTCCCCGGGCAATCTTGCAACCCAGAAAATAGTGTGTTTCCCAGCCTGTGGTCTTGGGTCCGGGTGAAGTAGATCTCAGCGGATCCCTTCACCCTGATGGAGTACGTACTCCATACATCCATATGTATGTACTACAGTATTTCTGACTCTTTACCTGTATACTCCGTACTCGATGAATTGCAGCAGTTTGCCTCCTGGCTGCATTACGATGCCTGGACCGTGCAACCCATACATTCCTTGCGATCGTAAGACCCATGGGATAAAAGGCCGACTCCACGTTACTCGGCGTGCATCATCTCCTAGAAACCAAACCCAGTCCAACGGACCGGGCGACCTTGTTTTATTGTTCCTTCGATTTCCTTTCCATTGCCATCTTAATCTCCTATCCTAATCATCTCTCTGGCGGGGCTGTCCCATTCCCCAAACTCTGATATTCCCACATTTCTCCCCCTAAATATATCTAGGCAGACGGATCCACGGACAACCGGCAAGACAAGGAGGGGCCGCTGACGTCGGGTGCAGCTCACCACAGCATTAGGGCCAATACCAGTATATTTCGTATCGACATTGGTCCAACAGTTTATTGAGTCAATGAGGGGAAAGAGCTCCGCACAGTAAAGGTCGGTTTTGGCCCCAATCTGGACTCTGGAGACTCAAGATCAAGGCTCATCTATGTAATACTTCTGATCCGCGGATGCCCCGTCCTGGATTAAAGTCGCCCATGGCGTACCGTGAAGCTTGTCCCGTAACCATGGGAATGGCCGCCGTTAGGCCTGTCAGAATGCGAAAAGAGGGTCGCAAAGGAGAGAGCGAAAGCGAAGAGAAGGCTAGCGATCCTCTCCCAATTGTGTCTCATCTTGGCGTGCAGTTGGACCCATCCAACCATACGATGTTCGGCAGGACTCGGTTCGCGCTGCCCGTTGCCCCGACCAATCCTTTCACTGAAGTGGGTCCTTTTTTCCTCTTCTGATGCGATAAATTCTGATCTGCACTTCCTTCGTTCGAAATCCGCAATCACCAAGTGTCCGAACGCCTCTTGATCATTGGTTGGATCGGGTGCCTCCACTATATCACCCACTCTGATTTGCCTATCGCCCCCCTCACCCACCTCCCGATCCCTCCATACACATGCTGGACGCGCGAAAGATTGATGAGCTACAGTGGCGTTCCAAAAGTTTGAAACACCCCCTATTTTTCTGCCGCTTTTTCTGCCGCACTAAAACCTCGCGACCGGCACAAAATAAAAACCTCATGTATTGACAATTGCTAATAACTAGTATACCAGCCATCATTTTCAATAACTTGCTGTACACGGTGTGGCATAGTAATAGCCAAATTTTCTAGTATCGCTATATCAATCATAGACCACGCTATCTGTGCTACCCCAATAATAAACTGTAGAGTATCGTCGTTATTTGGCATGCCCCTAATCTCAGGGTGCAATTCATATATCTTTGCCTTGAGTAACGACCATAAATTCTCAATTGGACTTAGATCAGGCGAATATGGAGGCCATTTCATAATCTCATAGTCCTGATCAGCAATCCAATCACGAACAATATGTGCAGTATGAACTGAAGCATTGTCTTGTTGAAACACAGCACCTTCAACTCCGCTTAGCAAAGTTGGAAGCACACGCTGATATAATTCCAAGATAACAAATCGGTTCACCCCTCCATTAGGAGAATCTGGATCTCCAAAGAGTGGAATAAGTCCGGATCGACGACCGGTCCCTGAAAAGGCAGCCCAAAACATTTGCTTAACACTTTTGTGACATGGGACCTGTTGAACATCTCGTTCCGCAATTTGGCGGTTTCGTGGTGTAAAAGTCCACTCTCGCCGTCCTCCTTTTCCTCTTTCGATAGTTGTTTCATCTGACCAGAAGATCTTTTTCCATTTTTCAGAGTCATAATCTTGGACTCGATGTGCCCAAGCCAGTCTCTGGCGAGCCTGTTGGTCGGTTAACTCAGGTCGTTGAAGTTGAAGCCATTTCCGTTTATTTTCACCTTGGAGAAGTCGCCAAATAGTCGCTCGACCGCATTTGAAGTTGACTAAAGCTAGTAGAGCATCATACTTAATTCGTGGGTTCTCTGATATTGCTTCAAGTATCCTCAATCGATCTGTTTCATCCAACTTTTTTGGTGTACCAGAACGAGGTAATGCAGCCTGAGTTGGGCCTCGTTTTTCCGCCCGAGCAACTGTAGTTTTGATTGTTCCAATTGGAATATAAGGATAGCGTTCATGGATCTCAGTATATGACCATCCAATAGCTTTCAATTCAACAAGTCGAACACGTTCATGTGGTGCTAATTGACACCGGCGTGAGCGTTGTGTTACATTTGGATGCTGTGACGGTGTATCATATTGGTTTTGCACCAATTGCAGAGCAGTATGACGAATTGGTGGCATTCTAAAGGCCCAAATAGCTCAATATAACGCGTGGAATGTGTATAATATGCTATATACAACGCACGTCGCGTAGTAGAATAGGGGGCGGTGTACTAATATAGTGGGCGGTAGGGGAAGGCGGTCGCTCAGGGTGTTTCAAACCTTTGGAACGCCACTGTATCACTTAACTCCCACCAACTCCAAGCCGCTCCAAGAATCAATGCCCTTTGTGTTGCGCTGTGCTCTCTACATTTGTCGCCCAAGCCCAAGCATACCGAGAGTACATCCGGAGTTGTATACGGAGTACTCCGTACAGGCCGTCACAGCTACAGGAAAGTTGTTAAAGCCTCTGTTTTCAACAGTCTGCTCTCTATGTAAGTATCTGTATCGATCCCCCACGCGGTCCGCACCGAATAAAAAGCCACCGCCCCATCCCGACCCGAAAGCTGCACGCCTTTTCTCCAGAACTGGTACATCAGTCTCGGTGTGATCGCTTTAAAGGTAAAGGTCGGGGCCAACACTGCAGGGTTGGCCTGGACGCTATGGACGCAGATTAACGGTCTGGGTTTTCGGTCTCTGGAGTCTCTTCTTTTTCGGCCTGCCGCTTTTTGCTTTTGCTTGTTTTCTGCGCGCAATTCGTTTCGCCGAAGTTTTTCATCATTCTTCTCCACCCGTATCGTAACCCTGTATCCAAAGTACCATACAGGGTATACCTGCATATGCACATAACATCATTGCTCCATTTATGCACATGTACTACTGCGTACTCCGTACTTTGTACTCTGTATCGCCATTTTCTCACGGTATACACTTGGATCTTGCTAGCGGGTAAGGCAGGGATGGAAGAGATACGATGATAGTGCCTCTCAAATGAAAGAGCATGAGAGCGAAACTATCTAGGGAAGACACCGGCAACCTATAAATGTTTGAGCCAGCGGTGCCCGCGGGCACCTCATCTCAACAGATCTTGCACAGCAGTCTTCCGATGGGTTCTTCCCGTGCGATATAACCAATCGCAGCCACCGGGGAAGTCGGGCCATGACTTGAACCAACTAGGGCTTCGGGTCTCCATCGGAGAGGTCGATCTGGAGAGTCCTGATTCAAGCGGATTGGCCTAAACACTTGCGAACGATCTCCATTATCTCAGGAGCTGTGATGCGGTCAACCGCCACCAGCCCCAGGTCTGACTCGAGAGCCGTACTCGGGTAGATGCACACACACCTCCCAGGGCCAGACCCGGAAGTTGATAAGATACAAATGTACTCCGTACTCCACACGAAGTACATAAATCTGTAATACGCGCGAATCCTGAAGCGAGATCGCCGTTAGCCAGCCAAGAAAAAGAGAGCGCCCATCAATAGGTTTCGTTGGGCAGAGATCCCTCTCAATGCCAATGATACAGTAGCCTAACGCCCTCAGCCTATAGGCTCCTATGTACATCCAGTGTCTGAAGGTTTGACATTCAATAACCATAAAAAGTCTGTGTGCGCATCCGCAGAACATTCGTAGTGCGGTCCTGTGTGTTTAGTTTAGTATGCGTCCTTTTTCCCCTATCTCTTTCTCGATCTCTCGTCCGGATCCATTATCCTTTCTTTGTTCCTTGCCTTGTTTGACTTTTTAGTTCCCATTGGATCAACAAGGATACTCGCTTATGGGCACTTGGAAAAAATTGAGCCGTGTTAACGGCTAAGTTCCGGTCTTCTCCTCTGCATTCGGCAAGAGAACTAGCCATTCGACTCAAAATCCCACTTGAGCCATTAAGATCGACCAGCGCGTAATCACCTTCCTGAAACTGGATCATCAACTCTAAAAGAATTCATTTCCGGAGTCTGGCAAGACCCTTCAAAGGATACGCTAGTTCACTCTGGGTTACTCTGGATTTCCCTCTCGCTTGTATTAGAGCAGATCCTCGCCGTGTCAATACCCTGTCTCTGCCGTCTCCCCCCGCTAACTCACCCGTGTTGACTCAAAAGTAGATACCCAGACATCCCGAAGGGTACTTTTGGCCATACCATCTGTCGCATAGTGTGTTAAGTACTTCGCCCTCAACCAAAGTACCCCATCACCCCTGTAGCTTCGGTTTTTGCTCCGCCATTCGCAAAAGCCGCGTTGCGGCCGAAAGCACCCCTGTCATTCTTGGACCCCCTCATTCGCCGAGGCCAACGAACCAGCAGAGTCTGTCGGTCATGTGCCTACTACTCCCTACTATGTAGCCTAATATCCTGGCAGACGTGGCCTGGCTTCGCGACGATCAGTGATATCATGTTCTCAACCATCCGCTACCAACGACTAGTATTCCCCTACATACTCTGTAGATCAGTTCTATGCACTCCGTACCATGTTGATTGTACGTCGCAAGATGCCGAAGCTGCCGGGCCCTTTTGACCAAAACAAGCTAGATTCTTGTCTTGTAGACCGCTAGTCACACCCACAGCCACGTGGAAAATCATGTTGTGAACCACTCTCAAAACGTCGACGTGCCGACTCCGTACGGAGTAGGTAGAAGCATGGCGAGACAAACCGGTCCAGGGCCTACCTCACTCGGACAGCCACAGGTGTGTTTATTGCGTATAGTACAGAGTACGGAGAGTACCGAGCATGACAAGTGCCAAACGTGAAACCGGGCTCCATATAACACACTAATAAACCCCGAATCCCCCGACTTCCCCGAGCCTAAGGAATCCAGCACTCCAAGAAAAATCACCCACGCCAGCCACGCTGATCATCGTCGTGAAACAGACCATGATCGTCTGATCCGCATGCCACCACCACGATCGACCCTGTCATTCTCGAAGTCTTTAAGGGGGGGACTTGAAGAAGCCCTGTACTCCGTACTCTGTACGGAGTGCATACTTATCACGATGCTCGTGCAAAGTCCCAACGGGCGGCCCATCAAAATGCCCACCCCACTTATGCCAGACCGACCGAAGCCCTCTAGGCAATATCTAGAACAATTCTGTAAAAACCCTTCACATATGCATATAGCCCGACAGTGGATTCAGAGTGCATCTCGCCTAGCGAAGGACAAAGAAGTAATATACAACCGCCCCCAAATACCTACTAGGTAGCAAGTAATCTTGGAAATTCGGAATATAAAACTGGAATATACCTGCGGATACCTAGGTACCTAAGTATAGAAAATAGTCCACAGTCCACCTGAAGGAACCCTAAAAACCAACTCGAACCCAGTGTATCCATAAGCCACGACGGAGTAATCCTCCGCGTAACGATTAGCGACCGAAGGATTTGGTGGCTGCCGCTCTTCAAGGCCCCCCTCCTCTCGAGCCATCCACGTGGTATCCACAGGCTGAACAAGCCCCATTCCCACTTACCCTTTCCAAACCAAACCAAACCGAACTTGAACAACAGATGATACGCCATCGGTTTTCCTCACGCAAGGCCAAGCACCGGTCTACCTGTCCCGCTGGCATGGAGCGGGGTCGACCGGGCCATGCCGCCCGCCAGTTGAAATTTCCAATGAGACACTTTATATGATAGTGGAGCTGATTTGTGGCAGAATCGATCGAACTTGAATGAAAATCACCCCTTTGAGACCTTTTCGGAGGGGGGAGGGTTGACTCCTGCCCAGGTGTCTCCATGTGGACTCCTCTCTTGAAAATGGGGAAATGCTACCAGGGACAGTCCTGGAGGCCAGACAGCCCCAAGGATTCTGTCTAGACCACGGCCAACGATCATGAAGTGATCGATGGTTCCGCTTGACGTATGTCAGTGGGTTGATTCGTCAGTGTGGGCTCTGGAGTTGTCGCGCTTGGTCCGCAGGCTGGCAAGATGAAGTGGTCCACCTACGGCATCCATCTTTGAGAGGGGGTGAGACGAAGGGGGTTGCTAGTGACGGAGGTTTGCTGTCACGGTTGTGTTTGTCATGTTCTCTTGCTTTTTTGGGACGCTTTTTCTGTCCTGTTTCTGGAGAGGGGAAGTGATGGGTCGGGTTTTACCTGTCGTTCGCGTGTTTCGCGTGTGGATGAGACGTTGAGATGGGATGGTCAAACAGTAGTCTTGGTTTGAGATTATGCAGTACTAACTAGTACCTAGTAGTCGATAGGTTCTGTATTCAGATTCGAAGGGACCGTTACATAGTAACTCCAGTGGGCCAAGATCAATTGTGTAGGAAGTTATGAACCTTGGAAGTTCCAGGTCTTGAATTGATAGTACCTACCTAGGTAGGTAGTAGAGGTACTAGAATTCACCTGGAGGGTACTAGTAGTAGTAGAATATACCTCCAGGTAGTAGGAAGCTACCTAGGTACACGTACTAGTACATACTACTAGTAACTACTAGTAGCACTTCAAGTTGGAGAAACCCCCAAATGCCTTCAAGTTCTGGTTTCGTCGGTCGGTGCAAAGAGGTCGGCGCGCAGGCAAGAATACTACCTAATACTAACATAACTCACCACTGGCACCGAGTCGGCCGCTCCAATACATATAATAAATATGATAGCAATTATTTATACTAGTATTTAAGAGACTATCCTAGAGTACTATATTCTAAAAAAAATCCATGGATAATATTAGTTAGTAATTTTTGAAGTTTCGGGAAGAAACTTGGAATTACTAGTAGTACCTAGGTACCAACTAGTTGGTAGGTAAAAAACTTGGAACTTGAATATACCTAGGTACCTACCTGGAGGTTTTATTGCAAACCTTGATATATATATCTTTGTCTCTCAAAACACATCAAACCCTTTACAACTTCAAGTTGAACCTTCGAAAGTATTTTTTGAAACATCTCAAGATTATCATCTAAATTAAAAAAAAATTAAAATTCTTTTACTATCTTACCAGTAAAAAGAACTTGCTTAGGTATATTCTAAGTTACAATTCAAAATGATATCTGGTTGTTGAGATAATTGAAGTTGTAATTTTTCATATTTCTAGGTATTTGTTCTCCAGGGCTTGGAGCGGCCGACTCGGTGGTGAGTTACGTTACTACCTACTGGTACTAGTAGGTAGCTACTAGGTATGTCAACATCGAAAATTCATTTTACTAGTGGGTAGTGCCCAGGTGGGCATAGATATCTTACAATGTAAGCTTGCTTCTTTAGCTGCCCAACAAAATCCTGTACAAAATAGGTTATGCGGATGGGTCTCAGGTGTGCGAGTTGGAGGCTCCATTGAGAGACCAAGAACTAAGTATACGCTTATATTATATCTTGATTGCAATTGTATCAAAATCAACCTCTGATGATGGCTAGCTTCGATCTGATCACCTGAAGAAATTCATACACTTTCTCATCTTCATGAGATGCAGGGCTATACGTAAGACGGATCTCCATTTCCCCACCAAAAGATTGTACGACCAAAAGCATCATAGGAGTAGTTGTGATTAGACTGAGCCCTAGACCCTGCACATTGATACGTCCATACCGTTGCCGAACAATGGTCGTGAGGTCCCCAGGGAAAGAAGCGAAAAACGACGCATCAAGGTTGTCTGCAAATTTGGGCAGGCCCTCTTGCATGAATCGCACGCTGGCAGGAATTATGAAGTCTTTCTGTTCCGCAAGTGTGGTATATTGTGCCTTTAGACAGCGTGCCGTCTCCCAAATATCATTACTCAACTGCACCTTGAAGGGCCACAAGCTTACGCGTGAAATGAACGCTCGCTCCCCAGCATTAGGGGAGTCGAGAGAACATCGATCCCGGAATTTGAATCCGGTGAGAGTGGTGTGTGTGTTGATATCATTCGGCACAGGCGCCCCTGGACTGAGACCTTGTCCAGCGTGGAGAATGGCCGCGTGTACAAGAGCCGTGAAGCCCAGACCTGTTCGCTTTCCACTTCGGATGATGGCTGCCGTTTCATCAGCATTGAGTTTGAAAGCCCGGAGTCGTCCAGCTCCCGGATCAGTGCTCGAAGTTTTCAAATTGTGAATGGGGAATTGGATGGCCTCGCGATTCTGAGTCAAATTGAGACCAATGTCCGGTAGAAGAGCTTGCAATTGGGCAGAGCTGACAGTAGGAATACTAGCTACAGCTATGGAGCTGAGAGGAAGTTTCTTAACAATGTCAGTTTCCGAAAGGCGGAGCTCGATATTGGCAGTCGCTGCATAGTCTCCCTCCAGGAGAGAAGATAGTTCCGTCAGGAAATCATTCAATAGCATGAGGGTACCTGTGCCATCGGTGTAGATGTGTGGGGTGCGTAAGACAAGTGTTTTATCTTGGCGAAAATAATACATAATGGGGTGAGGCTCGGGTGGAACTATTGTTAGGTCCTTAAATAGAGCAGATGGAGATGCTGGTGAGTTGCTAGCATCGGAATTTCGAAACTGGGTATCTTTCACAACGAAGCTCTTTGCCACCCATGTTTGTATTTCCCTTTCATCCTGAGGAACAGAATACTCAAAACCATCACCCAAAAAGGTGGCGGCGACTGCGGGATGAAGGAGACTGACCCGGGCCCAGGCTCGCCTCATCAGGGTCTCAAAAATAACTGGTTCTAGTGTTGGGCCTCGGTCCAGGTTGATGTGTGCCGTGGTGAGAATATCCTGCGAACGAATTCCTGGAGGGGCGAGATCATCATACACATATTTTAAACTGCGCTCGATGGCATCAAGTGACCGAATGTACTTGTGTGGCCCAGTCTTTTGCCAACCGATGGATTGGGCGCTTGTAGCCAAACCTCGACAAAGAGGAGCCGAAGCCCCACGGAAACGCGTTGTCAGATTCCGAAGTGGAATAAGTCGTTGCCGTGAAAAAAGGAGGGCCATTTTGATAGAAGTAAATCCCACAGGAGTTGACAATGATGTGTGTTGGAAGAAAAAGAGGAGGTGGTCTGGTGAGTTACCCCCGGGTCTTGGTTCAATCCATTCGGACAAGGTTGCACAAAGAAATCCAATAAATTATTGACCGCCAATTTATGGATGCGTGAAGTAAGGGGCTGAGGCATATGTACAATAATGTACTCCGTAGAGGTATGTAGGTTAAGATAGAATAAAAGATCAATGGTGGCTGGAGAAGATCTGCGAAGCAAATGACGAGTTAAGAATTCGCCGCTCCAGGGCTTGATTCAAGTTCCCGCACGGTGAAGGAAAAAACCTACTACCTAGTCGTATTTCAACCAAACTTTGCTTGGATATATGGCGAACAGGGCCTACCCAGAACTTTCGAATGTGACATTTTGATACTGAGTGACTTTAGGTATTCCTAGTTACTTTCGGAAGGAGTTAATTGCCGAGGACTCTCGGATACAAAGTAGTGGTGATGATGGTCAGAATGTAGAATGTGTGTCATGAGGAACTAACTAGTCCCTACACTGAGGCTATCTACAACGTGGCGGGTGCGGGCTGAGTCAGCAGCAGCACCAGTGCCTGAGGCCTATTATCAGAGTTACTGTTCCTTTACCCGATCCCATTAAATATCTTGTAAATCTCAAATTCGCTGAAGAATAGAAGATTTTTATCCTATGTTTACTGGGTCATTGTTTTGAGCAAAGTTGAAGTGTCTGTAGAGTCATATTATCTAACCAATTCATTGTGAATCCAAAGTGTCACGTTCTACCTTGTCAAATCTTTTGGACACAAAGAAATTGACAAATCGATATGGAGTGTTCATGGCAAATAAGGCCGGATACTTCATTGCAAAAGTGAGGAACCATCATCAGGGAGATGCTTGGCTGTTTCACCTGTTTCCAGACGTGGAAAGTGGAGGGTTGTAGACTGTCCCAGTCCCTCGAAGACAGCAGCCATGCCGCTCGGCATGCCGATTTGTCTTGCCCGTGAAGTCCAGGTTACCAGAGGAAGGATATCAAAGTCATCACCGATCTCAGAAGAAAGACGTTCTCGAAGTTGATTGAATGGTAACTCCAAATTCCCGATCAGATTTCGATAACATGGCCCGGGCGTGCAGTCTGATCGGGAAGTGAGTAGACCTTGGACGATGGCATCCACAACTGTCTCGACAGGCACAAAGTTCAGATAACCATTCATATTACGCAAATCTGGGACTGCTCGCATGTGGCGCGAATAATCTATGATGTCATGCGAGAAGTCGGAGGAAGATTGCTCAAGACTGTGGCGGCGAATGATGCTCGACGGACGGTAGATCGAAATTGACATGCGCGGGAGCTGCTTGCATACTCGATCAAGATACATCTCGCTAGCCCATTTTGAAGCAATATACCCGAGTGATCCATCGACCGGAGGCATTGAAGTCTGCGCCTGGCTTTCGGGGAAAGCGTCCAGCGTTGACAAAACAGATATTGCTGTAGTGGAGATATAATGAACAGGGATGTTTCTGGAAGAGCAGAGATTGACAATGGTCTTCGTGGAAGTGAAGTTAGCTGGACGAAGACTTCGGTAGGATTTAGCCTGAGAAATATCTGCTCCATTATGAATCACTGCATCTGCTTGGTTGATAATATCGTTGATGAGAGTTTCATGGATACCAAGGTTAGGATGGGATAGGTTTCCTTCGATCACTTCAACATTTTTGTATGAGCGTAAAAGAGCACTGCGAGGACTCTCAAGATTCCGAACGGCGAGGCAGATAATCTTCTTTATGTGAGGAATTGTGACAAGAGAGTCCAAGAGATGTTGGCCAAGAAATCCGGTCGCCCCTGTAAGGACAACAGTTTGGGGAGGCGATCTCACTGGAAGGGAGGCCGACGAGATGTTAACCGCGAGACTGGAAGAGAGAGCAATCTCCTCATTCCAGTTTATGTCAGGCCTCGTATGATCTTTATCAGCTATACCGGAACCATTTACAAGGTCCATCATGCCTTGCAAAGTGCTGAGTTGAAAGAGCTGGAAAAGGGTGAGAGATGCTTGATATTTCTCACAGATGCGCGTGTGTAAATCTATCAGGAGCATTGAATTTCCACCCACGTGGAAGAAATCGGTCTCAGAATGAACTTCATGACAGAGCATGATATCATCAGGAATAACCTCCTGCCAGAGGGATTTCATTTCCTGAAGTCTCTTAGACAGGTTGCTGTCTCGCTTCGTATTGAATAGATGAGATGGAATAGCGAGAGTGTTTAAAGCTCTGCGGTCCAGCTTCGCAGACACTGTCCGGGGCAAAGTGTCAACAGGAATTATGATAGACGGGCACATCACGGCGGGCAGCGGGAGCATTGTACGCAATGATTCGAAGGAGAAGGCTCCCTGAATCCCCAGACTTTTGGTGGAATCGGGTACAACATGAGCCACCAGAAAGGAATGTGTGCTGTCCGAAAATGAACGCCGTGAAACGGCCACATCAAGTAAATACCCTTCTCCAGCCCGCAGGATAGTCTGTTCAACATCCTGAAGATCAATTCGAACGCCTCGCAACTTGATTTCCGTGTCGTGATTCAAGCGTCCATGCAACAGAACTTCCCCATTTGGAAGCAATCGCCCTCGATCCTTGGTGCGATAGACAAGTTTATCCGGAGTTATGGGGTCTGGAATGAAAGATTCTCTAGTCTCGTGATCGAGATTGAGATATCCCGAGGCGACCCCCAAGCCGCCTATGACTATTTCACCTGGGAATCCAATAGGTTGAGGATGGAGATTCTCATCAACGATGTAAATGTATTCGTTGGGGCAAGCCATTCCCACTGGAATACCGTGTGGGTATGAGTTGCTGAGATGGTAATCTAGCTTCATTTGAGTTGACCAAATGGCCGTCTCCGTAGGTCCGTATAGATTGAAAAGTTCCAAACTCGATTTACCTACCTCTCGGAAAAGATCAAGTAACGCCTCTGTGACAGGCTCACCCGCTATCAAGGCAGTCTTCCAGGACGACTGGCCAAGCTGTGAGCGATATTCTGTTCTCAACCAGATTCGATATTCCGTTGGTGTGGCGAGAGTTAGAGAGACGGATTCTCGAATGATACATTCCACGATGGCCCGGCCATCAAGTCGCATGGACCGTGAGGGTATATACAAAGTTGCTCCAACACTAAGGGCCTGGAAAGTTTGCCCCAGTGAGAGATCAAAAGTTGAAGCACTCTGTTGCAGAATGACATCGTCAGAACTAAGGCCCCACCATCGGGTGGAAAGCTCGACAGTATTTCTAAGACTGGAATGATTGATGATAACGCCTTTGGGCTTTCCGGTCGAGCCACTGGTGTAAATGATAACTGCTGGTCGATTGGCAGCAGCACAAGTTGGAATCGCTAGTCCTGAAGATGAGGCATTCAATTCCGAGACGTTGACAGAAATGTGGCTCTGACGTAGACCCAAGTCACTGGAAAGATTTACGGTAGCATCATGGACGAGAAGTGCAACTGGTTGGGAGTCGTCCATCATCAGTGCAAGTCGAGCAATAGGCATTGTCACGTCCAACGGTACATATACAGCTCCCAGTTTCATGATAGCTAGAAGTGAACTGAGCGTATCGACTGATGGCTCTTGATATACCGCAACACGTGACTGGTGGTGTACGCCGTGGCGTAGCAGAGTGCTCCCAATTATGTTGACTCTTTGCATGAGCTGAGCGTAAGTGAGAGCTGCTCCATCGCCATCTTTGACAGCAGTCTTGTGGGAATATGTGGAAGCCATGTTCTCAAATTGATGAAGCAAAGTTGCCGGCCATTGAGAATTATGCGATGGACCTATTCACGAAATGACCGGCTCTGTTAGCTCGAGGAATGTGGTTTTACTGGTACATTGGCAAAGGCTAACCTCTCCCCAAGTTCACCGCTTGGTCTATCTCCTCCTGCCGAAATTTCCATTGGTTCCCAATTGGATTCAATGGCGATGCAACAATTTCAGCCAAAATGTCTTCATACCCGTGGGATAGAATGGCTGCATCTTGTTGCGTATACAGATCCGATTGAACCAGGACCTGGACAAATACCTCTCCGGTACGCAGAGGATTGACATCTATAAAGATATCATATGGTAACTTACCAACCTCCCACTTCAGTAACTTCATCTCAAAATCTCCAAAAGACTCACTTAGTCGCGTTTCTTGACGGTAGTCTAGGAATGCCTGGAAAATTGGACTGTGGGTGGCTGATCGTGCAACACGGAGCTCATTTAGAATGACTTCGAATGGCACACGACCGTTGGCCAATGCTTCATAAGCGACTACACGAGAGTTCTCAATAGCCGCTTGAAATGGTTCGTCTTGGGCCGAAGCTAGTCGCAGAGGAATCAGATTGATATAGGGACCAATGCCGTTTTGCGTAATCTCCTCCCAGCGATTCGCGTCCCCGATTCCAATACAAACGTCTGCAACCCCGAGAAATCGATACAGAAGTATCTTGAGTGCGGCGAGATGCACATGAAAAGCGGTCGATCTCGTTCTTTGGGCAAGAGTTCTGATTTGAGAAGCCGTACTCTTATTGATCGTGAGTTCCGCCAAGTGGACGCTGTGCTGACGCAGAGGACGGCGTGTGGTAAGGCGACTCCGGTGGACAGGGAGAGGTTCAGGCAGAGGGGTCAGAATACCTTTCCAAAACTTGATCTCAGAATCCCATTTGTGGGGATTTCCCTGGCTGCACTCCTGTTCAGAATAATCGAGATACTGGAGAAGATCATTGGAGTCAAAGCGCTGTTGGTTGTATGCTTTATTCAAATCTGCCATCATGACAAGATGACTCGCACCATCTGTGATGATATGATGATACCCGAGAAGCAGAAATTGCTTGCTAGAAGATATGGACAGCAAACAGATCTGCATTGCTATCCCTGCGTCAAGATCATATACATGCCGAGTGAGCTCATTGTAGGCCGAGAAGACGTCTGCAACACTAGATACCGATCGATATTCTAGTAAACAGGAGGGATTATTCAGAACTTCTTGAAGGAGAGTACCCGATGCTTTGTCAACGTAGAACCTTGTCCTCAGTATTTCATGGCGCTGGCCAACTACATGAACTGCACGTTCCAGGCCCTGGTATTGTAGAGTACCTGAAACCTCATAGAGCAGGGTGTGGTTCATGGTTGTCTTCTCCTCCATTAGTGCATGCACGAACCAGAACATGGACTGTGAGTATGAGGTTGGCCCTAGCCGGTGAGACTCATTTTTGGTAATCTTCTTCTCAGCCGTGGTGAAAGTCTCATCTCTCACGAGCTCAGCGTAGTTCTTCTCACTGAAGCTGGAATCTGCGACATGAATGGGCAAGGAAACCGACGTAGACGAGGACGGAGGGGTCATCTCAACTGCAGTTTCAAGTGAATCGCCATCAATAGGCGTGAAGTTCGAGAGTACTGGGCTCGATATCTCAGGTCCTAGTTTTCCATCTTCTGTAGATGCCATGGCCGGCAATAAATCCACCGGAAAGTTGCTGCAAACATCTTGAATCAAATCCGACAAGGTGATGCCAGATAAGATACGGAGCACTGGAACATTAGCGTGAAAATTCGTCAGGAGCCAAGAACGGATGAAGACCGCAATGAGTGAGTCGACGCCCAGCTCGTCAGTTCTTAAAGAGACGTTCAGCGTGGAATCATCACTGAGATCGAGTACTGAACGTAGGTGGGCCAAGAAAGTGTCTGGAGGGAAAAGCATGCATGTTAGCGCTTCTCTATAGCAGCTGAGGGTATTTCCTGCCAGTCATATCCAAAAATAGAGCTCTTACCAGTGATAAGTTTCTTCAAATCCAGAGTTGACTGGATCTTCAGTAGGCGGTCGGCGATTGAGACTTGATTCTCAGAATTGAGTGTTTGAGTCACGACGGCATCGCCGCTGCGGATCAAGCTTCCGAACTTTGGATCGCTCGCCCATACTAGCTGAGAGGAAGAGGAATATCGAGGTATGGAGGGTAGTTCGGTCAGGATTTCCCCCCCGGATGGCGAATCCAACCTGCAGGCCGCAATGCCTTCAGCAAAAATTTGATGTAGAGCTGGCTCAGAGACAGGGAGGAATCCTCGTTTTGTCAATACAGATGTTTGCATAGAGGCAAGATTGGTCGTCATTCCAATCCCTATTACTAGGCCAAGATTGATGGTTGCGGTGAAAAGACCGCGTTTTCGGCGCTGCCTCGCTAAACTGCACATGAATGAGTTGGCAGCACTATAGTTGCATTGACCGGCATTTCCAATAATGCTCGTGAGTGAGGACATGAAGATGAAAAAGTCCAGTGGTCTATCTTTTAGCACACGATCCAAGTTCAAACTGCCCTTAACCTTCGGACATAAGGCCGCATTCATTGCCTCGCAGGTCATGTCGCGCAAGGGGGAATCACGTAGAAGCATGGCACCTTGCACAATGCCTGCTAAGGGTGGAAGCTCTGCGCATATGTTGTCGTATAGAGCTTGCAGTGCTGTTTCGTCGGTGATGTCATTGGCAGCGACCTTGACAGTGACGCCTCGGTCGCTAGCCTTTCGCAGCCAAGTAGGGTCAATTTGCGGATTGCGGCTGCTAATGACAATATGTCGAGCACCATGATCAATCATCCAGTCACATAGTGACAGCCCCAAACTGCTTGAGAGCCCAACAAACCAGTAAGTATTTTCTTGAGCGAATGTGAGATTGGAATCCATGGGGGAAATTTGGACGGTCACTGATGTATCGAGAGTCCAATCGATAACGCTAAAGACATGGACTTTTCGCTCCTCCTGCATGTGTAACTCTTGGACTGATAAAGCAATTTCTGGATTGGAGGGTGTATTGGCCAGCTGCTGAGTGGCAATCTCAATCGCAGTATTCAGTATACATCTCGCTTTTCCAGCCTGACAGGCGAGAAGGACTGAAGGCTGCCAGCTGATAAGACCATCGAGAGTCTGACAAAGACACGAAGTGGGTAGAGAACGACGAAGTAGAGAGCTTGTCATGGTTCCCCGCTCACCCACCTGCTTTGAATCTGTCATATCTACCATTAAATCCACATGGATTGGCAGAAGACTTTGTATTTGACGCTGACTGGAGAATGAATTGATATAGATCCACGAGGATGGGGTTGAATGCCCAGTACTCGCGGTGGTGATTATTAAATGGACTTCTACCTGGCGAGCGTGATAAGCCATCACAGAAGCAATGACTGTCGTGGGATTATGTAAAAGAAGCGTTTGCCCTGGTATGAGGCGTGTTATGATCGCCAGACACATCAAATTGGCGGATAATAGCGCGACGAAATGGGATTCATGTCCATCTGGGACCTTATAACAAGGCGCCACCTCCTCGTTAACGCTCAGCCTCGACCCACTGGAGGAAGATAGTGCTACGTGTTGTTGGTCGTCGTCAAGAGAAACACCAAGGACGACGAATTGTTGCCCAGGTCCAAAGTTAATGGCATGAAGCGTAGAGTGCGTTATACGCATATCTATGCAGGCACGGTTGGACATAGTAGCCTTTGGGAAGTATGTTCGATGGTCTTCTCGAAGGAGCCAGGCGTCATGTTGTTTTTCAACAACAACCTCCGATCTCGCAAGGGAAAGTTCGCGAGTAATGGTTCGGGATGTAGAGTTAAAACGATCATTAGAGTTATTTAGTGGCTCCCAACGCAGAATTGACTCGCGCAGATTTCGATCCACATGAATGTCCCTCTCCAATGGTGCAAAATAGCTACCATCTTTCTGGCTACGTGAGCGCATCAAAGCAACGTGGTGTCTTAGCAGGTAGGTTGCCAATAAGCTCGAGTCTATAACTATAGCATCCTCAAAGTCAAGAAACTGGAGATGAAGCTCAGGAACTTCCCACAAAACAGACCTTGCAAAACCAGAGATCATATTGGCCAGGGGGGTTTTTGTCCTCGCGACCTTCGGTAATCCAGAGAATGGCTCTTTCAGTGTTGAAGAGGCATTTGAGGCCCTCGAAAGAATCTGGATCGAGGTTATCAAACACAGGATAATCCAGATCACACAGGGATAGAATGGTTGAGTGTGACGGTATCTTTTGATGTTGGAGCGAGTCGAGAGTTTGAACCGTCACGATGCTTCGGGTGAACGGGCCTAGAATTTGCGCGAGCTCCACAACCAGAGATTCGACGTGGAGAGTAGTGCCTCCGATGATAACAAGATCAAGGTCCAATGACCCATATTGCGCCAGAAACGACGACGGCCAGAGAGGATGACGCAGGAAATTGACCCAAGGATCAACTGCCTGCGAGACCATGATGTTAAACGGATACACAATAGCATGTTGGTTTGCCGTCATTGTGTCGATACCCGAAAAGCCCGTTCTCCGCAACAGAGAGGCCCATTTTACAGGAGATACGTTTGGGCTTAACTGTCTTCCTTCGTGCGCACCTGCCCACCAGCCAGAAAGCAAGCCGAAAATAAGCCCCACACGAGAAGGCTCATGATCGGCAATCTCAACCAGCACCAGAAAGCCGCCCGGCTTGAGCAGAGAGCGTACATTAAGCAAAGCCTTCTCAAGGGAAGGGGTAGCATGCAGAACCACTGAGGCCACAACCATATCATAGGAGCTTGGAGAGAATCCTTGATCGGTAATGTCTCGCGTAATATCCAAGACTTGATACATTAGTTTATCCCCATATGAGCCAAAGAACCTTCTTGCTTCAGGGAAGAATGTTGGAGAGATGTCGGTGAAGGAGTAGGACGCAAAATTTGTGCCAACTTGATTCAGGATAGACCGCGTAGTGCTTCCAGTGCCAGAACCTAACAAGAGACATGTCAGGATATTGAAAGAGGCCAAAAGAGACAGTGCAGTATGTAGTGAAGGAGGTCCAATGATGAATACTTACCGATCTCAAGGATATTTAACCGTGGATGTCTGAAGCAAATCTGCTTAACAATTTCGCCAGTCCAGGTATTGGCCCCCTTGAAGCCCAGGGAATCAGCGTAATAGGAACCCAAAAGCCCTTCAGACATTAAATGGTCCAAAATCTTGAATTCACCACGGATAAACCGTGATAGATTCTCACCGACAATATGAGACATCTTGACGTCGATTTCCTCGGCAAATCTGAGCTGGTTAATTAACGGTAATATAAGACCTACTGATACCCCCAAAAGCAGTAACTTACGGAGTAGTAATTTCCATGATGTCTTCTAATTGGTCCTGTATCCATTCGGCCCGGGCATAGGGGTGATTACCCTGTGAAACTGATGTGGTGACATGCGCTGCGAATTTCAAGTAGGACGCTACGACTCCTCCCATCTCAACTTCAATGGAGCCTGTGGGATTTTCTTGAAGAACCTGGCGAAGATAAAAGCAGGCCGTCCGCTCCAGAGCCTCGGCTAGCTTGTATTGATCCGCTTCCACGATAATGTTGATATTCACGGCTCTGGCATCCACAAGAGAATGGACCCAATCCATCCGTGCAAACATCTGGCGATCATCTGTTGCAGTCGATGGAGCAAAGGGTACCGCCCGTACACCTTGTAGTTGAGCAGCCACATGCTGCCTGTTAAGGTCAGTGATGTCAATGTCCCCCAGAATCCCACTCAATTGCCGCTTATCTGCCAGGTTGGCGCTGACGGCTATCTTAGGACAGTTCGTATCAAGATCTTGCAGGACGAGGGGATTTACCCGAATCAGATCAATGGAAGTGGGAACAAAGATCGATCCTAGTTGACCATCGAACGGATAGCTGTACGCCAACAATAAAGATTGGATACTCATGTCCAGGACCGCAGGGTGGAGTAGAAATGATGCTGTCTGATTCTTTTCTAGTGCTGGCACGGTGGCTAGACCTGCTGAATAGCCTCGCTTTCGCTGAAGACTGCCTAGAGCTCGGAATAAACCAGAATATCCATATCCAAGCATATCCAAAGAATCATAAAACTGATCCTGAGAGATATTCCCTCCGTGGAAGCTTTCCCTTTCTTGTGAAGGTATAAGATCCATTTCGGGCTGCCCAAGGAAAAGATGTATCTCTGTACTCGCCATCAGCTGTAGGGTCTCACGGGCATGCGATGAACTTGAACATGAAAATCTAGCGGTCAAACAACCTGAGTTTTTGTCATGCTGAATCTTTTCGAAGCTGAATATAACTTCGACTCCCGGATCATTATCACTTGAGAATGTCAATGGCTGATAGATGGAGATGTGTCTGAGTTCGACGATCTGGACTGATATATCTGCATCTAGAGAAAAGATCATCGACGCCTCAAGCGCTGCCACAATGTAACCAGCTGCGGGAAAAACAGCTTGATTTTGTAGGCGATGATCGAGAACCCATGGAATCCCCGCCGGGCGAAGAATGTTCCGCCAACGCAGCAGGTCCGGCGAGCTCTCGGGAGATATTCTCCCTAGAATTGGATGAAAATCATGCTTCCTGTGCAACAGTCGGTGTAAGTAGGGTGAATTATGCCAGTAGCTTCGATCATGATTCCATTGGTACACTGGCAAGTCGGGTACGACTGTGAAAGAGGTCACTCCACCCAAGTGCATATCTAAATTGTCCCAGTCCACTTCATTGTCTTTCATATTTGACTGGAGAAATAGCAGAGTATCAGCAATAGCTGTGACCGCAGATCTACCGCGAGAGAGCATCCCGCTATGGGGAATTCTATCCGGCAGGTGTCTCTCAATCGTGTCCATGACAGGGGCGCTGAGAGCAGGATGAGGCCCAATCTCAATCACGAGATCTAAATGATCCACCTTTGAGAAAGCACGATCGATCGCTTGCATAAACCGCACGGGACGCAGCATATTGTCATTCCAGTATGGCCCCTCCATGCCCGGAATGATCTCTTCTTCTGACTCCAGGTCAACACTTGACACCCATAAGCATCCAGACCCTGGGGAAATTGGCTTGATACTGCAGCGCTGAAGAGCATATAGGTACGGACTGGAGCATGGTCGCATATGTGGTGAATGGTATGCTTTATCGACCTTGAGCCAGCGCCGAAACTTATTTTCATCGTCTAGAATGACATCGATTTGTTTGAGGGCATCTGCATCACCGGAAAGCGTCACGCTAGAAGGCGAATTGCATGCAGCCACCACCACTTTCCCCAAGAATTCATCCCAGCTGCAGAGCTCTTGCGCATCATCCCACGATGTACCCACCGCAAGCATTGCCCCAGCAGACCCACTTGGTCCCATAGCCAGGCTTGTAAATTTGCCACGGTAGTAGGCAATGCATATCGCATCCCGTGCTGACAAAACGCCCGCTGCGAACGCCGCGCTAATTTCACCCGAGGAGTGACCGACGACGGCTGCAAACTTTATGCCTGCGCGCCTCAAAATCTCAACAAGTAAGATCTGAATAGCAGTGCATAAGGGCTGAGAAAACTCGGCCTCATATACTCGGCTCGTACTCTCATCCTTTAGCAACTCGTTTCTCAGTGTCCATGTTGGCCGATCCCCATTAGGCAGAGCCGCGAGAGCACGGTCGAGTGAATCGATGATTTCTCTGCAGTAAGCGAATTCCTCAATCAGTTCGGCTGCCATACGAGCGTGCTGCGCGCCCTGGCCAGTGAAAATGCCGAGAATTCGCGTGTGTGGTCTGGATATAGTGGGAGACCTTGCTTTGACAGTCTGGATAGCCGCGTCACGCTCTGGCCCAGACAGTTGAAGCAGGTTCTGAAGGCTGTCACGGAGGATCTCGATTGATGATGCAGAAAAGGAAATTCGGCAGGGGAGAGCGGTCCGGCGAGACCGTAGGGTGTAGGCCAGATCCGATGGGCTGACATCTGGATGCTCCCGAAGATAGCTAGCGTAGCGAACCAGGTTGCGTAAAAGGGCGGGTTTGGACTGTGCAGAAAAGCAGAACGGGGTGAGCGAGCGATATGATGTACTGCGGGTGGGAGGGGATGGTGCACTCTCAAGTATGACGTGACAGTTGGTGCCACCGAAGCCGAAGGAGTTCACACTGGCGCGTCGAGGTTCCCCAGGCGATACATCAGGCCACGGCGTCGTGTGAACGGGGACTTCAAGGTAGTTCATATACTTCAAGATTTTTGGATTGACCCGATTGAGGAGTTGGTTCTGAGGAATGAGTCCATGTTGCAATGCCAGGGAAGCTTTCAGAATTCCAGCCAGTCCGGCTGTACTCTCAGTGTGGCCAAGGATAGTCTTGATAGATCCAACCAGTAGTTTTGAGTCATCTTTTCCGACCCCTTCAAGAGCGCTACTACTCGGAGGACTATGGCCAAAGAAGGCATTATATATAGCCTCAGCCTCCACAGGATCCCCTGTTGGTGTACCAGTACCGTGGGCCTCGAAGTACTGGCACCGATCTAGCGCTCGGCTGGGATCAAGACCGGCTTTGCGATAGACACCTTGAATCAAGTCTACCTGGGCCCTACTGCTCGGGATAGTGAGACCAGGTGTACGGCCATCTTGATTGATGTCAATGTCACGGATGATGCATTCGATATGATCACCATCCGCCAATGCTGCATGCAGTGGTTTCATTACCACGGCAGCGATCCCCTCACCTCGAGCATACCCATTAGCAGACTCATCCCACATACGAGACTGGCCGTGAGGAGAAAGCATGTTGAGGTTGCTCTCTGCAATGAAGATCTCTGGCCCAAGAAACAGATTAGTGCCAGTTGCGAGGGCAATTTTGCAGTCTCCCGCACGCAAGGCCTGCACAGCGAGATGAACAGCTACCAGACTCGACGAACACGCCGTGTCGAGGACCATTGATGGACCCCGCCAGTCAAAGAAGTATGAGATTCGGTTTGCAGCGATACTGCGGGAAGTTCCGGTGGCAGTATAAGCCGGAATCTCCTGTTGACCTTGATACAGCAAAGTCTGGTAGTCATCGTACATCATACCAACATAGAGGCCCGTGTTTGATCCGGCTAGCTGGTCAATCGTAATTCCAGCTGATTCGATGCCTTCGTATACAACTTCCATCAGCAGACGCTGTTGGGGATCCATGGATGCAGCCTCCACAGGTTTCACTCCAAAGAAGTCGGCGTCAAATTGCCGGACATCCTCTGCGAGTGGATACACATATTGGACATTGCTGTGTCCATGCAACTTCGTATCGGGATGGTAGTACCCATTAGACGTGAAGCGTTCCGATGGAATCTCCTGGCGTAGGTCGATGGGGTCAAGCAGAAGCTTCCATAGTTGCGACGGAGAGTTCACATGGCCAGGGAAGCGACAACTGCTGCCAATTATAGCTATAGGCTCCCGAGAATTCTTTTCGGACATGACTCGAGAAATAGCGGGTTCGATAACTTCAAAATACGGGTAAATCTTTTTGATGTCTTCATTAATTTCGTCTAATTGACCGACTCATATAACAGGCTTCATCCGTATCCATTTAATACATGCATCCTCTGGCGCAGACGATTCTTTGACTGCTGTGGATTGTACACATACAAAATTCGAGCAGAATGCAAGGGTTGAAATGAACTTTGACTGATAAGTTTTAAATTCCACTTTGAAATCGCTAGCCCATGAATAGTCGTATCGACTCTAAGGCCTTATTGGCTACCTGATTCGGTACTCGGGAGCATCAGGATCTGAAATTTTCGAAACTCGAATCAAAATCCCATCGAAATACCAAGGTGGTAACAATGTCAATAGACAAAGTCCGAGCAGACTCATGACTAGACGCGAATCACAATGTGCCATCAACTCCAAATAGATAATCTGCAGGTCAAAAGTTTAATTCGGAGTTACTGGGTCTCCTGGGGAATCTTCACGACCAGCTTAATCCCACGAACGCCACCTTCACGCAATAGCTGTAGCCCCCGAAGAATGGCACTCCAGCCACCATCTAGTTCATGCACTGGGTGCGGCTGGATCTGCTCCGCATTAATCATCCTCTGCATCTCTTGTCGCATCTGCATGGTAGTTTTCAACTTTCGCGGGTCTGGGCCTCTCCAATACAGACCCTCCAACTCAAACCCTTCACCGGCAGCTTCTGCCCCAACGACAATAGCTACCCGAACGGCCTTGCGCGTGATCCATTCCGGCTCGTATCGTTCCAAACAGATGTATTGACCGCCGACTCGACAGATCGACTTCATGCAGATGCCCATTGTTTTTTCACTAGTGATGCAGTCGATAGCATGGCGCAGCTGACCGCTGCTTCTTTTCTGGATTTGCTCAACAGAGTCCGGCGAGTTGTAGTCGATCGTTGCAACGGCTCCGTACTTCTTTACCATGTCTGATGAAGTAGGCGATGCAGTTGCGATGGGCGCATAACCAGATCTGCAGTTATGGGCATGAAATGATCAGCAAGTGGCTCGAATCATGGTGAAGGCTGTACCAGTACTCCACTTTCGAGTGGAGCTAGGTAAGCGAAGAATAGTATACCTTGATAACCATTGACAAAACATCGTCCCAGACGCTGTAGCACCCCCATACACTAAGATCGGAATACGGGACCCGTCCTCACGGGCAGGAACCGGGCATGACGGCCAACCAGTGAGTTGAAGCGCGTCGTCATCGTAGAAGGCGAGGCCAGCGGTGTACCAACCTACGCCCCCCCAGTGCTGCAGCTTGAAGATCTGTCCACTCATTTGGAACAGCGAGTAATATGCGTGAATCGGCAATGAGAAATTTTGAACACGCACCATTCGAGGGTCTGTTCGGATTTGACCCGACGACAGCACCGCAGACGCGTTGACCGATTGCAAGATCTGTCACTGCATTCCCGCGGGCGATGATGGTACCAGTAAAGTCGCAGCCTACCACAGTACCAGGCCGAGGAAAGTAATGGACGAGTTTCCAATCGAGAGGGTTGAGAGCGACCGCAGAAACCTGGACAAGCACTTCATTTGGCGCTTCGATTGTGGGGACGGGAAAAGAATACGAAAGTTCGAGTTGATCTGGCGTATCTGGGGCCTGCACGAGACAGATTTGCTGAGTGGCCATGATGTTGCAATGGGCCCAGGGTATGATATTTTCGACTAGTATTTAAAAATGAAAGTACTAGTAGTGCCCAGGTGATTTACAATGAGGTATTTATCCCGTGCGAATGCCCAGGTGCATATGCAGATTGGTGCTGGCGGCCGCCATGGATGAAAACTCGTGAATCATGATCAACTTGAAGTTTCAATGAAGCGACGGTGACAGATCAACTGCATAATAATGGCTTTATAGTATTGGAGACATATATGCAAGGGGTAAACCCGGGAGTACGGACAAAAGTAAATTTCCCAAAAACAAACCTTGGAACAAGAAACTTGAAGCCAAACTTCAAGTTGAATTGCCAAATAGAAAGCCCTCCTATTGAATCTAAGTCCGCGAGTACCTAGGTATGTATATACCAAATACTACTACTAGTACTAGTACTAGGTATCCGTATGCCGAGGAGCTAACCACCTGGGCACTACAGATTTCACTGGCAAACACCTGTCCTCACAACTTGAACTTGCCTAGGTGAAGTTCACGATGAATGACAACCCACCATTAGCAACAGGTCACTTCAATAGCAGACCCCTCCATGCAAATCGCCACTTACGCGTGATCTGCGTTGGAGCTGGAGCTTCAGGACTATATTTGACATACCGGCTAAAACATTCTTTCACCGACTTCACGTTGAATGTGTACGAAAAGAACTCTGACATTGGCGGGACTTGGTGGGAAAATCGTTATCCTGGATGTAGGTGTCACCCATCAGATCAGGTATGCTCAATAAGATGCGCTAATGACTGACAGGCAAGTGTGATGTACCAGCGTGAGTGTCTCAACTGTCTCGATCTTGGAGGAGAGGTAACTCATATTTAACATCCTGGCTACTAGTCATAACTACACTTTCTCCTTCGAGCCCAAGTGGAACTGGCCGGCCACCTATGCCTCATCTATGGAGATCTGTGAATATTTATCAAATTTTGCGGATAAGTACGACCTCCGGCCGTATATTCATTGCCAACACCAGGTAGTTGGTGCCCACTGGGACGATATGCGCGCTGAGTGGGTGGTACAAATTCAGAAAAGTACCCAGGAAGTGATTGTGAAACGATGTGATTTTCTTATCGGAGCTACTGGAATTCTAAATGCCTGGCGCTGGCCAGATATCTCGGGCTTGCACTCGTTTCAGGGCAGACTGGTTCACAGCGCTCGCTGGGACGAGGAGGTGGAGCTTGCTGGAAAGCGAGTTGGACTTATTGGGAACGGGTGAGAACCCGTAATCGTTGCGTGGTATGTCTAAGCAATGTCTAAATTCATGCGAACTAGGTCTTCGGCAGTTCAGATATTACCACTCGCCCGAAGGTTAGTGAAAGCTGAGTGAAATTCAGGATGAAAAGAGTCAAATCTAACCTCCACGGCAATATTCTAGCGTGGCAGAACATGTAACAACCTTCATTCGTCAGCCTTCTTGGATATGTGAAATGCCAGGAACAGAGTATCGTCCCTACACACAAGAGGAGCAGCAGGAATTTCGTGACACTCCTGGCCAATTACTCTCCCTGCGCAAACAGACCGGCGCAGCACTCGACCGCCTGTTTCCTCTGATGATTCGGAGTTCGACCGCCCAGACGGAGACCAGGGGCCTTGCTCGTAAACAAATGGAGAGCAAAATATTCAATAATGATCTTTCTACTAAGATAGTTCCAGATTATCCCCTTGGATGTCGGCGTATCACGGTGAGCCTTTTTGCTTAATGGATAACCAAGCGTCCCGAGCAGCTAACAATAATTGGCCACTCATAGCCTGGACCGGGATATCTTGAAGCGCTCAATGAGCCAAATGTCACACCTGTGATCGGGCATATCACACGAGTTACCAAATCTGGCTGCGTTGTGGACGGCATCGAGCATCCACTCGATGTGCTGATTTGCGCGACAGGTTTCGATACTTCCTTCCGGCCACGATTTCCCATAATTGGACGAGATTATGCGAACTTAGCAGAAGAATGGCAGGACGAACCAAGAAGCTATCTAGGTCTGGCCGCACACAAGTTCCCTAACTATTTCATGTTTCTTGGGCCTAATTCCTTTTTTGGGAGTGGCTCAGTAATGTTTGCCATTGAAGTGCAGGGTTCATACATTGCCGAGGTCCTCAATCGCTGGCAGAAAGAGAGAATCCGGGCTATCGATCCGAAAAAAGTCGCGGTAGATGACTTTATCAATCATAAAGATCGCATCATGCAGACAACTGTCTGGACAGCAGGCTGTAGGACCTGGCATAAATCACCCAATGGCAAGGTCATAGGTCTCTGGCCCGGCAGTCCATTGCACTACATGGAAACATTGTCATCGCTTCGTTACGAAGACTACGATATCAATTACCTGGAAGGGAATAGATTTGAATATCTCGGCAATGGCTTTAGCCAGATAGAGCTGGACCCCCTCGCCGATCTCACATACTACCTACGCGATTGCGATGATGGAGAGTCCGTGTTTCGAAGTCGCTTTAGCAGCACAAATGCCAAAGAAGTAGACATTTGAAACAAATGGGGAATCCTCTCAACCAGTGAAAATAAACGAACCGCTTTGTGAAGATAATCAAGATAGTAAATTGGGTAAAAAATGAAAGATAAATTCAAGTGAGCTATTGCCAGGGATAAGGCCACAATTCTATTTTGGAATATGAAAGACCGTGCAAAAGTTCGTCGCTAATCTGAAGCCTCCTCCGAGTTCAAGTCGGCTACTTAAGTGGCCATGACTGGAACTAATTGCGATGGGTATCTTTCAAATCCAAACAAAATTTTGAAAAGGCTAGCTTTTGAGGAGAGGAGAGTATGCTTTTTTCACGCTGCAATTACCTGCCGTGATACTATATGCAGACCCCAGTACCAGTGCCAGTGGTTCAAGTTGCTATTGAAAGCCTTTCTGCATGGGGGCTACCATATGCGCATTTACCAGAAACAGCGGTGAAAATCATGCAATTGCTAAAAGGCAAGTAAGTTGACGATCCTTGTAATTTACTTTGTTTTACCATCGGTATCAAGACCCCCATGCTTCTGCAAAGACCACCAATCACTTACTGTTTTCTAAAAGGAAGAAACTGTTCGGATTTCAGAGATAAGTCATTACACATAAAGAGCTGTGTCTTGCATAATTTCTTTTACAAAATTCTCAGACAGTCATGTAAGATGAATGTCTTATCTTTTGAATCAATTTCTTGGCTGTCAAACCTCCACCTAGGAAGTTCAGCGATTTGCCTCACTCTAGGCGTCGCGTTCCATCTAGCGATACAGAAATTTGACCTTGACTATTATATTCACTATTTCCTTGCTGGGTGCACTTCAGTATGGGCTATTCTCATTGTTACATATGTTGCCTTTGCCCAAATTGACTTTCAGTCTGCCATTCACCTGTCCTGTGTCAACGCCATCATCTTCGCTCTTGGTCTAATCATAAGCATTGCTACATATCGGCTTTTTCTTCATCGACTGAATCACTTCCCTGGGCCATGTGGCGCCGCGATCAGTCGTTTCTACCTCGTCTCTTGCATTTTTCGATCGCTACAGTACCATATATTATTGGATGATTGGCATCGCCGTTATGGGGATTTTGTTCGGACAGGTATGGTAGCATGATGTCATCACTGAGGAGAAATGAGGCTCAAAAAGGTGTCAAACCTATAATGAACTAATCTTTCGCAACACTTAGGGCCTCGAGAAATATCGGTGAATAGATTGTCTGCTGTGCGAGTTGTTCATGGCCCATCATCCCGCTGCGTGAAAGCACCATGGTACGCCCATGTATCTAACGACCCAACTAAAGTGTCTTTGCATATGACACGAGATCCGGAGGTACATCGCAGGCGCCGCCGTGCAGTGGATTGTGGTTTCAGTAAGAAAGGTAAAACAGTTCAATAATTTGACTCGTTAGCGGCTCTAAAATAAAATCTAGCATTGGAATCTTACGAGCCGCTTATCACATCAAAGACCAATATTTTGATCTCTCAGATAAGGCACCGAGTGAGTCATGCAGGATATATAAATATGAGCGAGTGGATTGCCTTTCTCTCTTTCGACCTAATGGGGTTGATCGCCTTCGGCAAGGATTTCAACCAGCTCGAAAGTGCCGTTGAACATGTTGCTATTCAGCGTCTACACGCTACTCTTGACCTTGTAGGGAGACTTGCCCCAGTCCCGTGGCTACTTGGACTCTTAATCTCCATTCCAAAACTATCGGGTAGCTACATTGAGTTCATTAAGTATTGCTGGGTCCAGGTTGAAGAGAAAAAGAAGGTAAGCATGAGTGCCGCCGCGACGAAGACATACTGATAATTATGCACAGCGATGGCTTTCCAAATCAGATCAAGTGCCTGCCGATATAATTTCGTGGCTCCTACAAGCTATCGGAAAGAAAGATGCTTCTGCTCCGCCTGGAGATCAGGCCTTGCATGAAGACGGTCGGTTGATGATTATAGCTGGAAGGTATTTTCACCTGCTGTTATTTCCATTCAGCTGTCAATTGGATGCAATACTAACCAGGTTCTGAATAGTGACACTATTACCAGCACGATTGCTAATGCGCTGTACTATCTGGCAATGCACCCGTCAAAGTACCACAAGCTCCAACTCGAAACTGACAAAATTCAACTTCCTCACAACAAAGACAACCCTAGTATTTCTTCAGCTGCCTTTGATGCTTGCCAGGTCTCCGAACTGCCTTATCTTGATGCAGTGATCAACGAAGTTTTACGCCTCAAGCCAGCATCTCCGAGCGGACAGCCTCGGGTAACCCCGCCGGAAGGCCTCCAAATCGACGAGGTCAGGGTTCCGGGAAATGTCATAATCACAGTACCTCAACATTCGATCCAACGAGACGAGCGGAACTTTGCTGACGCCAATGAATTCCGACCGGAACGGTGGATCAATGAGGACTCGGAAGTGCATCGCGAAGCTGCATTTTTTCCATTCTGCATCGGTGGGTTGAGCCTTATATCTGCAGCCCGGCCAATCATTCCTGACGTCAACAGGTCCCTTGTCGTGTCCTGGTAAAAGATTAGCTATAACTGAGATGCAAATCGTGCTGGCAAGTATATCTCGCCAGTTTGATCTCGAATTTGCCCCTGGGCAAAGTAGAACTGCATTTGATACCCAGGTGAAGGACACCGTGACACTCGCGGTTCCGCCACTTCTTTTGGTATTTAAAGAACGAGACAGAGGGTGAATCAAATGGCTCTAAATCCAAGTACTCTCCAAGGCTCGGAGCAAATGACAAGAGCGGTTAAATTTGAATTATGTCATAAAAAGAATAGCTAAGATTTTGGAGAAAAAAAATAAACAGATGAACTAGCCTTGGGTGTGGCTATGTTGGGCGTCTTATTCACTGTCAGGTAGATTTTGGGTGTAGAATATTATAGCGATTTAACTTTTATCAACGGGACTCGAAGATTAAGCGGCGAGTGAACATGACAGCCACTAGATAGAAATATTCCTGTTCATCTCGGTGTGAATGGTGAGGTGTCGCTGACGTGTAGTTGGGCGGCTGTGATTGGCTGTGGCCCAACGTGAAGAACCGCGATGGCGGCAGCTTGCACCTTGCGATGACTCCCTTCTTATGGATCTATTATCGGTCCTGCCGAACTTTGCGACACGATCGTACGCGCATATCATTCCTCCGCTCGAAAGAGGCAAGATCACGACCGTGGACCTCATCACCCTCGACACGCTCGAGATCGCGAAACGCGCCCATGTTCCCCCCGCAGATGTCCGCCGGCTCTCCGCACAAATCATCCAAGCATTGCACGGCGATCTTGGCCTCGAGAGAACACAAGCAAATCCATCAACAATAGAAGGAGAAGAACCAAGCTCGAGCATCATACCAAAGGGAGGAAATGTTGATCTAGGCCCCACGACAAAGCTCGACGCGTCGAGATGGGACACGATCACTACCCTGGACCCCGCACTGGATGCGCTGCTGGGGGGAGGCATCCCGACAGGCTATGTCACTGAGGTGACAGGGGAGAGGTACGTTGCCGGAATCAGCAGAATGCTTTGTGAGGACTTGCTCTAACTGGTGGCTTCATTGCAGTGGAAGCGGCAAGACACAATTCCTATTGAGCCTCCTACTCGCCACCCAATTAGCCAAACCAAAGGGCCTGGACAAACGGGCTATTTATATATCGACCGAGCATCCGTTAGCGACCAGCCGTATATCTCAGCTGCTTGAATGTCAACCGTACCTTTCAAGCCTCCCCCCCGACCAGAAGCCGTCCCTAGAAAACATACTGTCAATCAATGCCATGGACCTAGAGACACAGGATCATATTCTCAATTACCAGCTGCCAGTCGCTATCACACGATATAATGTCGGCCTGGTAATCATTGACTCCATTACGTCCAACTACCGTGCCGAACACAACTCAAACAACATCATTGCTCTCTCCGCGCGATCCACAGAACTCGCAAAATTGGGTTACATGCTGCGCAACCTCGCTGCGAAAGAAGGCATCGCCGTTGTGCTGGCAAATCAAGTTTCGGATCGGTTTGAACCTGAGCCAGTCCATGGGGGTCCTCCTCCACGTCCAGGATTTCCGTCCATCTTAAGCCAGAACCCTGCTATATCGTCGCGTGACACAGGTGCAGCATCCCCATTGCCCCGAAATAGGATGAATGCACCCGACCAACAATTCTCGTCTACCCAAATCCCCTCATCCTCTCCAATATCGTCTTCTCCTTATCATGCCCCAGATGACGAACGATTTGACGGCTCTTATCTCATTGAGAATCCTGCTCGCAACGATATCCTTAGCCTGGTACATCAAGAGAGGTTCTTTACTGGCTGGGGCGACGGTTTCTACTCCGATCCATCACCTAAAACCCCGGCCCTTGGATTCTTCTGGTCCACGCAGATTGCATGCCGCATTGCGTTGAAAAAAGAGACACATTCAGTGGTGACCCCTTGGAATGGTGCACAGCCTTTGTCAACACCGCAAGAACAGACAGGCTCTCAATTCCATAGCGCAGCGAGCAAGCTTCAGGATTCAAAGGTGAATGACACTCTTATCGATGAATCTGGCAAAGTAGAACCAGGCTCTACAGTCAAGACCAGCGGACATGGCAAACCAGAAGGCCTTCCCGAAAAAGAAAGCTCTTTGCATATGCCAGCACCGCAACCACCAGAGCACATCACCCGGCGAACCATGAAGCTCGTTTTTGCCCCTTGGGCCGCCAGCCGAAAAGATTCTGGGAATGGAAAGGGGATAAGAACACACGACAAAAGGGATTATGAAATAGACGTCGAAATATGGAAAGGGGGGCTGCGTTCTGTGAGCTCCGACGAATGAGCTTGTCTGGATGAGTTGAGATAATATAGTGTTTATGTCTGTTACTATTTCTGCATATACCATAGCAATGTTTCGAAGATCTTAACTAGAAAGGACTTGAACTTGATTGACTTGAGACCACCACGATTTACGTTTACTCAACCGTGCCGAAAGGTGCAGATCCTATATTCACAGGCACTAAGAAGATAGATAGTATTGTCTTTCTCTCTTTCTATTTTCTCAGGCTAAATTCGAGCCCAGCGCAGCTGGGCAGCAACCCTAGCAAGAACATTCCCACTTCCCAAACCCTCCAGGGCTATGGGGTTTATTTTGGATCAAGCCCTGGAGTGAGGTTGGACCAACTCATCTGGTAATATTATAAAGTCAGCTCTCCTTACCAAGCCAATGGCCAAGCCGGGGTTTCCAGCTATTGTGAGTTCCCTTGATGGTTCCCAGATCTCGATGTAGGATTATAATAAAAACTTTCGGCGAGTATATCGTTCTTTTCCAGCCAAGCCACTCGCACCAACTAGAGCCTCGAGTCCCAATACAGAAGGTGGATTTATTCGAGAAGAAGAATTTGTCCAGCCACCTTTCAGTGTCTCTATGAGCACACATCCCGGAGCTTGTTCTACCAAAGCACACCGATTCCAAGTCCGGGAATGCTTCCTTGGAAATATCGAACCTGAACTGATTTATCACCCGGAGACTTTTCGAACTTTCATCGAACCAACCTCTAGACATGATGTGAACCTTCACTAGGGGGTGTTTATCGGAAATACATTCGTGCGTTAACTCTAGAAACCTTCGACGGCAACCAAGATTAGGCTCAGGTAAATTCGAGACGGGCCTATCCCGACCCCGATAGATCTCCAAAGCTTCTATTGGCATTGAATAAAGATCTGCGAATTGGTTTTTTTATGTACCGTCATAGTTCCGAGCCTGCAGGGACATATATCAAGTTTGCGAGTGGAACGTGACGAACACTGAATCCTACTAGGATTCAAACCGAAGTAGGATTGTAGTGACCACCACTTGGAGCGCCGGTGGAGACATAGACTTTCTGTGCAATTTCCCCAGTTCTTGTCCTGGATTCGAAGAAGCAGCTCTGTTCTCTGCAGTGCAGAAAGGGTGTCGGATAGTCACAGCAATGGCGCTCGTGAGCCTAGAGCAGGCGGTATTTTCCGGGTGTGAGATATGCCATATCGCCGGGTATATGACTCGAAGCAAGCAAATACATGTTTACAGCTCAGAGCGAAGCAAATTTGATCTGAGGCAGCGAGAAATGCCAGTATGGTTTTCACTATTTCTGGTGCGAGTTCACGGAATTTGCGGAGATACTATTGTGGGAAAAGGAAGAAAGAAATTTAGTAATGTCTACGGAGACAAAGGCGACGGTACCCTAGATGAAGCGTAAGCCTTAACAGCTTGAAGTCATTTAGTGGAGACTCAATCGGTGTTAAGGGATGGGTTTAGGTCATATTTGCGGATCACCCGGGCCACTCACAACGTTCATCCCATGCCGCCTCCGCCATTCCACCCGTGGACCCCGTATTCATGAATGCAATTGCAGCCACCAAGGTGAATGATGACACAAACTATCTTATCCCCGAACACCGAGTCGACGTTCGAGTTGGGTCGCACTGGCAACGTATAAAGACCGACCTTTCATGCGAAACCGACCAGAACTTACTCACAACCACGACAACCTTCAATTTTGACAATGACCTCAACTGAATCCCCAACCCCCGTTTGGTTTATCACCGCTGCCAGTTCGGGCTTTGGCTTCGAAATCGCCCGAGCTGCTCTTGAAAGAGGGCACCATGTGATCGCGACCGCACGCGATCCAGCGAAGCTCCAAGACCTCGAAAAGAAAGGAGCATACACGATTGCTTTTGACGTCACGAGCTCCTACCCCGAGATCGAAAAGGTCGCACAGCACGCCGTCGCTAAATATGGCCGAATCGATTACTTGATCAATGCCGCAGGCTACATTCTCGAAGGCGCAGTCGAAGAGGTCACGCCGGATGAAGCTCAACATCATTTTAATGTCAATGTTTTCGGCACAACAAATACGATTCGTGCTTTCCTTCCACTGATAAGGGAACAGCCTTTGCCAGGGTCTGGTCGCCCCCGTGCGACCATTGCTACGTTCGGAAGCTTGGGATCCTGGAGGGGTGGAGCAAGTTTTGCATTCTACGGCATGACCAAAGCATGCATGTCATCCTTAGCGGAATCACTTCGAATCGAGTTGGAGCCGTTTGAGATCGCGGCTACTGTCATCGAGCCCGGATATTTCCGGACGGGATTCTTGAAGCCAGGGGCAAAGATCTCGGCGGAAGCACGAATCCCTGCTTATGAAGACGAGCAAACGCCTTCTGGCAAGACACGAAATGCTTTATTGGCTGTCAATGGGAACCAACCTGGTGATGTGAAAAAGGGCGCGGACACTACTGTCGACATACTGACAGCATCGGGATCTGCAAAGGGTAGACAGCTGCCACCTCGAGTCGTCCTAGGCAGCGATTGCGAGGCGACTATCCGGGGCAAATGTGAAAGCACTTTGGAATTACTCGAAAGCTGGGGTCCTATTGCAAGGTCTACCGACTATGAAAAGTAATGACAGGCAGTATTGAGGACTTGATACTGTGAGGAGGGTCGTTTCGAGTTGGACAGAAACACATATCTTTCTCCGAATCTGAATTGCCTGAGAGAACTCTTCGATTATAAAAGCAGCAATGAAAATCTACCAAATGAATGATGTTTTCACCTACTTGTACTAACTACCAGTATCCAATAGACGGAGAATGCCGGGGCTTCAAATGGATGAAAAGCACTAAAATCCGGGAGACTGACCTAATCGAACAATGATGATCTCAGTGCTTTCCAACCACTGAGATCATCCATATATGTTATCAGTGACGGCTAGGACCGCCTAGCCTTTTGAGTCGAAGATAAACACTGCCATCTCCACCATCTCAATCATCTCCACCCCGCACCGGCTAATCTTTACCTTAGCGGAGATGCCGCATCAAGGCGGGGAACCAAACGGCAGGATCCGGCTATTCTTATACCTTAGCGAATATCGCGCATCTGAAGTTCGTATTTGGACATCGAGAGCCTTTATTTTCATATTTCTAACAGGAATTTAAAAGAACAACCAGGCGCAACTCAAGCTCAGTCTTCATCTCTACAGACATACGGACTGGATCACACCGAAATTGGGTCTCTTCCAAGTTGTACCTCCCTTCCTCATTGCTTCCGAACAACGGACCCTTCAGTTGATCAGGAAACAGTCGACATTATTCAGTTAAGATATTTATTCCACCACTGACACTTGCTCTCACTGTCACTGTCGCGATGTCTGCTTCGATGCATCCACTTGACCCCCTCACTCCGGGGGAAATTGCGAAAGTAAGAGCCTTATAGGCCCCGTTTGAAATTTTATTTTACTGATATGGGTGAATGAAACAGGTTGCAACAATTATCAAAAAGGACTTCCAAGGAAAGAGCTTGAACTTCCGGGTCATCACGCTGAAGGAGCCGCCGAAGAGCGAGATGGTCTCCTTTCTACAGGCAGAACACCTCAATCGAGCCTCAGCATCGTGTCCAGCCCGAATTGCTCGCGTGCAAGTCAATTCTCGAGGAGAATCAGGATCAAATGAGCTGATTGAGATTCTCGTCAACATTGACTCTCAATCTGTGATTGGGACAGAGCATCTCATTGGCAAGCATTCGTATATCGATTCTGCCTACATGCAAGCCGTCGAGAAGGCCTGTAGAGCGGATCCAAGGATCGATGCGGAGATACAAAAGCTCAAGCTGCCACCGGGAGCAACAGTTGTGATTGAGGCATGGGCTTATGCAACTGATGGGATGAATGATATGAACGAGCGGACAACAATGGTGAGTACATGACTGTCAAGAAACGGCTTTGCTTCAGTACCAGTCTAATTTATAAACAGTGCTGGTTTTACATGCGTTTAATCGACAGCGCAGACGCAAACTACTATGCCTATCCACTTGAACTCTGCGCAGAGGTATCCGAGAAGCTAGAGGTTACCAAGATATACCACCTACCATCATCGGAAGAAGAGACAACAAGAGAGGACGCAAAGCCATATGATAACTGCAAAATCCACTCCACAGAAATGAGTGAATACCATCCTAGTCTTCGACCGCCCCCACGCACAACCACCAAACCCTACCAAGTTATCCAGCCGGAAGGGCCTTCTTTCCAAGTCGACGGAAACCATATTTCCTGGGAGAAGTGGACCATGCGTGTGGGATTCAACTACCGCGAGGGTCTCACTCTCCATGATATTCGGTACGATGGACGCAACTTGTTCTATCGACTCTCTTTATCTGAGATGTTCGTGCCATACGGCGATCCGAGATCCCCTTATCCCCGCAAAGCAGCCTTCGATCTAGGGAACGACGGTGCTGGGATCAATGCCAATAATCTGCAACTGGGCTGTGACTGCTTAGGGCTGATCAAATACTTTGATGGCTGGCACAACACCGCCGCTGGCGAACCACTCAAACTTCCTAATGTAGTCTGCTGCCATGAGCAAGATGATGGAATCCTTTGGAAGCACACCAACCACCGCACGCAGAATGTAGCGGTTACTCGGTCCCGGATTCTCGTGCTGCAGACTATCATCACAGTCAGCAATTATGAGTATATATTCGCTTTCCATTTTAGCCAAGACGCCTCAATCCACTATGAAGTGCGTGCTACAGGAATTCTCTCCACGGCACCTATCAATATTGGCGATAAAGTTAGTTGTGGGACCGTCGTTGCACCTGGAGTTCTGGCACCATACCATCAACACCTCTTCTCTCTCCGAATCGACCCTGCCATCGACGGAACAGCCAACTCCCTCCAGATCGAGGAAACCAAAGCCATGCCTGTTAATGACCCGGTCATCCATAATCCCCTCGGTGTGGGATACACAAGCGAATCAAAGATCGTCACTGAAGAAGGCGGACATGACCTCGACCACACGAAAAACCGCAGCTTCAAGATAATCAACGAGAACCATATCAATCCTATCACAGGGACACCAGTGGGATTCAAGTTGCTCCCCTGCTATAGCCAGCTTCTTCTCGCCCATAAAGATTCCTACCACGCAAGACGATCCGAATTCGGTCAACACGCGGTGTGGGTGACGCGGTACCAGGATGATGAACTTTTTTCTGCTGGTCGACACACGATGCAGTCTCTCGGTGGCGAGGGTATTGCATCTGCAATTGAGGCGCGTAAGAATGAGGGAGCTTCAGACGTTCGGAACGAGGATATCGTCGTCTGGCATACCTTCGGGTCAACGCATAATCCCCGCATCGAGGATTGGCCGGTTATGCCGTCGGAGAAGATGATTGTCGGGTTGAAGCCGGTGAACTTTTTCACGGGCAATCCGGGACTGGATGTGGCTGTTTCGACGCAGGAGAAGAACCAGAGTGTTCTAGTGGGTAGGGAGGGTGGTTCAGTAGCTGGATCGAGTCCTTGTTGTCGACTGTAGATGTGGAAATTGGAACCTTTTCCAAATGTACGGGATAGGGTGTTCAGATAGCCAAATGGGGTGTCCACTTACTATTAGTAGTACCCATCTAGACCAAGTGGGTTGAAAATATCCCATTATACACAAAATTGTACAGGAATTGACCTCGTTATCATTCCAAGGTTCACGTCTTCTACTCTGGTTTCTGCGTACATATCTTTGCCAAGACACTTTGAAATTCACCCACCTTCTCCAAGAGCTGTGCATTAGACCCTGCCAATAAACTCTTTTTTCTCCCCGGACCCTCCGAGTCAGCTGTTTGGGCCCTTCGATCAAGTCTTTGACACATTTGGAGTAGGGTTTGTACTTGACATAACAGAAACTGAGCTTTAATCTTCCTTTCCGTGGCACGGGGAAGATTCAAGCTTCCAGTGCTCAACGGAATGGCCAATGGGACTGTATACATTGAGTTGCCCTCGACCTGTCGTGAACCCTTAGACCGAAAATCTGTCCCATCGCTCAAATGATGAGCAGGATCAATTGAAGTAGAGGGGCTAGCGTCTTGTGCCCGGTCTGAGAACAAGCCAGCAATCTCAGCTTGATAAAGTGTTTGATACCAAGCGAATATCTTGCAGAGAATCGCACCTAGAACCAGCAAAATGGATGCATCCTGAGCGCAGATAATCCCGGTACAATTCAGTAATTGAGAAACCGTCTTCATGGCTGACCGAGTAACGCAAAACACGATATCACTCCCGGGACCTTCTTTTGCGAGGGCTGGATCTTTGCACTGGCTGGATGAGCTGCTGTTGTTCACACAGTCGCAACGCACGAATTCGTACAGTGAAGAAAGAACCCGACATGCCACTTTAATGCATGGCTCATGTTGATCTTTATTGGGGTATTCTCGCTCTAGCTCCTTGTCTCTTTCATCGTTGTCGTCTGCTTCGTCGACACCATTCATCTCATCATAGTCTAAATGAATATGATCTTCAGAGCCAGCAGACCTATAGATCGAGGGGTCAACGTTTAACAGATTGGGCCACGGAATGTGCTCCGAGCTTATAGACGTTTGTGGAGTAGTATCATCGTTTGGCAGCCACTGGTGTGGGTTTAAGTTGATTGACGTGCTTCTTTTTCCTTCTGTTGCCATAGTATTATCTGATTCTTGATTCTCGGAACTGGTCTTTTGAAGCATCTTCGATCTATACCAGATGCAGTTGGTATTGAGATGGGGATTGGGGTAGTGGTGAACGGGTTCTTGTTTGTCAGGCCACGGAGAAGGTGTTGGAAACCGAGGAGAAGACGAAGGAGGTGGTTTCGCGGTGGCAGATTTGTTGGAAGGAGGTTTACCCTTCCGTTGCGATCGACCATAAACACATTTTAAACTGTTTTGGGCACATCGCGAACATCCATGCTGTTCCTTGGTGCAGCGTACTTTGGATGCTGCACAAGGGTCGCACGAAGTTCGAAGCTTGAGCCGCTGGGATCTACTGGGGCGTTGAATCCGAGGTTGAATCTCATTTGAATCCACTTGCATATGATCTCTCGAGGGAGAAGCCGACATTTTTGTACGGGGAATAACAGTAAAGCAGGCAGGGGAAAATATGATTCAAGCTAAAAACGCGTTCGGCCAGTGCACTTTGGGGGCCATTTGACCGACATGTGGCCTCATTGGGAATGGCGTAGTATTCATATGACATGGTCTGTATTGAATAATATCATTCAAGTTTTAATCAAGTCAAAGTCTCTTATTTAGATAGGCACCAAAGTAGCTAATCAAGAAGACAACATCATGCAGGAATTATCATTCAAAAAGCCTCCACAGCTGATCTAGTAGTATAAGCCTGTGGAAAGTTCCTCATATTCTCTATCACCTTTCCCTTCCGCCGATTGAACTGAACATATGCACCATCGTTCCGCACAAGGCCATCTTCCTTCAAACGTAAATACTCAGAGCGTGTCAATGGAGTAAAGCCCCACATCTTGCTAACAACGACCTTTTGCCGACCAGGAAACTTGTACATCGAGCGATGCAGAGCCTCCACAGCAGTCGCGCGATGGCGATCGATAGTTCGCACAGAAAGCAGAATTTGATCAACACTCACTCGAGCCACCTTTCCAGCTGGCTTACCGAATGCACCTCGCATTCCAGCTTGCAGACGATCCGCACCAGCAACACTCAGCATCTTGTTGATTCGGATTACGTGGTAAGGATGAACGCGGACGCGCATGTGGAAGGACTCTTTGCCCGCAACTTTGACAAGGTATCTAGAAAGGTTAGCCTTGTTATGCAGATGAATTTTACATGAGATTTGCTTGGGGCCCACCTACTTATTCGCACAAATACGTGCAGCTTCCAGAGCTTCAGAGCTCAGCTGTTCGTATTCATTGGATACCAAGTGCACAGCGCATGGGAAGTCGTCGACCGAAGCCTTTTTTCGACCCAGATCAAAGATTCGGATCTTAGCATCTGGAACGCCACGATTAAAACGTGATTTGGGATACGGCTGGAAAACATTTAATTTAAAGGCGATTCTCGTTGCGTATAGACTCGGAAGAATGGGCACTGACCTTGTTCTTGCAATAACGGTAGCATCGAGCGGGTCTGCGTGCCATCGTAGATGGCTTGAAGAGGAATTTTCGAGTTTGAGAATAATTGGCAACCTTGGAAAGTAATCTCATCGAAGCGATGAATCATGTCGTATAAATATTTTTGAATGGGATTCAAGTTCGCCCGACTCGTAGGATTTGGAGACGGCCCCCAAAGGCTTCGGGTTCCGAAGGCGGCTCAAATATCTCCCCGCAGGATCTACCCCGGAGTACCTACGTAGGTACTAGTTAGTAGTAGCAAAACAGACAATGGGTTTCATGATACCTACCTGCGTAGGTAATAGCCTGGGCTCATTTCAGGATCCATATCATAGTAAACAATAATTAGATACCGAGCTACTCAAAACAAAAAATCTTTGTTTATTTGGTTAGTAACGAGTGCCATCCGCGTTCAAGTATCGGCAAAGCACCTAATGTTTGCCTCTCCCGTTTTCAAGAGATTACTGACTGGGGGTTGGAAGGAAAGCGTCACGTATCTCAAACAAGGCTCTGTTCAGGTTACTGCAGACGATTGGGATACTGAAGCAATCTTGATTGTACTTCGTGCTATTCATGGTCAATACTATGCTCTTCCTTCCTCAGGAACTAAGTCTTGAGATGCTCGCCAAGGTTGCTGTGATAGCAGACGACTATGAATACAAGAGAGCTCTATATCTCATGGTAGATATCTGGATCAAAAATCCCAAGATAAAAAACAACCCGCAATGTTCTCGAGATTTGATTTTGTGGTTGTGGATAGCTTGGTTCTTTGAACTTCGTTCTCAATTCAAAGAGTCAACCTTTCTTGCGATAGCGAATAATGAAGGCCTGTTTGATAGCTTCGGGCTGCCTTTTCCGAACAGCGTTATTGTTAGGAGTAGCCCATGTCTAGAAATGATCCATTGCTGACTGAGTCCTAGTTTCGATAAACAAAGGTAGGAATGAAGCTATACAGAGCTTTATTGACCTCCTTCATCAAACAAGAGATCATTTCTTGGATGGTAGTCAAGGATGTGATTTCGTGTGTCGCTCGTTCATGTATGGGTCTCGCAGTCTGCATATGCAATCATCTAATCTCCTTTCACCAGAGCCTCAGGCTCCCTTCCCGAATATGAGCTACAAAGGCCTTGTGAAAAGTGTACTGGCCTTCAGATCACCACAGTGGTGTAGCTCAAGGAAAAGCGGTGATCATTCTTGTCGCGATGAACCCGTCGCATCAATTCTCAAAGCGGCCGGACATTTTCTCTCGGAGGGCTTGAATCTTGAAGATTTTACCGCTTGATAGAAAAGTCTTTCCTGTTGGAGATTGCATGGACAGGCGAAGTGAAATTTTTGAATTTTACTACTCCCTGCAACGGCAGATACTATCTAGCCAGCTGTTATTGTGCCATTCGTTTAGTTCTGATTTTTCGATTTCTGATTGGGGAGGGTAATAATTATCTCCATTCCATAGCAATGTAGATAGTAGTAGTAGTAGTAGTAGTAGTAGTAGTAGTAGTAGTAGTAGTAGTAGTTACCTAGCTCGTTCTCTTGTTGCTGCGAGGGCCGGACTAGGAGAGCTCCAACCAATTGTTTTCAGGTCAGTACAGGTCTTGACTGCTCGAGATTTACCATGGAAAGCCAGGATTATGTGATTAGGGTTCGAAAGAGCCTCTCTCTGTCTCCAGCATGGAAGGCGAGGTGTCACTGTATAGTACTAACTACTACTAGTAAGGTTAACGGGCGAAATCAGGGCCGGGAACTACCCCGCAAGAGTCAACGTCTTTCTTGTTTTTGTGCCACCTCAACTCCCCTCTTTAAATGTCCCCTTTTCTTTCTTCCATTTTCCTACAATCTACAAATAATGGTCTGCTGTTTGTATAGAAGTGCTGAATTCACTCATGGTCTCATCATATCACCAAGGGTCTGCAGAAGCCACAGACTCGCAAACTATCTTCGCTCGAAACAAAACAACCCAACACCAGAGAACATGACAACCGAGAATTTTAGGTCTGCCCCCTTTATCCAAGCAAGGGACAGGACCGAGAGAGATATGTAGAGCCAAGTGTTTTAGAATTGAAAAACACCGGTATGAAATGCGCTCGAGATTAATCACAACGACAGTGGACAAGAACAAAACACTGATTAGAACGAGCAGCTAAGGCATCTATCTTAGATCAACAGCAAAAAAAAAAAGACCTGTATCACCACCTTTGCCAGAAAAAGAGTTCATCTTCGCTTCTATATTCTCACGAGATCTCGTCGAGTGTGTGTGTGTGTGTGTGTGTGTGTATGCGCGCCACGTCAACATGTGTACACAAAATGATCACAAACAAAATGGAACAGGCAAAAGCGGAAAAGGAAAAATCGCGTTTCTCTATCCTTGATTTTTCCGCCGTCTAGTTGACCGCGACCTTAGAAGGAGGAACACCGATGCGGTTGGTGTTGCGGTAGAACAGGACACCCTGGCTCTCGCCAGTGGCACCCTCGGTGGGCTCAACCCACTGGCAGACACGGGCGCTGGTCCAGATAGCCTTGATGAAGCCGGTCCATCCGGTCTGAGCCTCGGTGCGGTAGTGGTTGCCCATAACGCCCTTGATGGCCTCGCTGGCCTCGTCGGCGTTGTAGAAGGGGATGTTGCTAACATAGTGGTGCAGCACGTGGGTCTCGATGATACCGTGGAAGATGTGGCGGCCGACGAAGCCGAAGTCACGGTCGATGGTAGCGGCGGCACCACGGGCGAAGTTCCAGACCTCGGGCTGGTAGTGAGGGAGGGAAGGGTCGGTGTGCTGCAGGAAGGTGATGGCGACTGGAAAGGGGGTTAGCTTTTGTTCAACTGATATACTGACATTACCCGGTATAGGGAGGAGAAATGCTTACCGAGCCAGTGGTTCACCCACAGGTACGGGATACCGTACCAGACGGCGAGGTTCAACCAGCCATAGGTGGTGCCGATATAGTACAGGACGGAGCCAGTGATGATGAGACCGAGGTCGCTCAGGGCGATCAGCTTAGCGTCCTTGGCCTCGTACAGGGGACTGGAAGGGTCGAAGTGGTTGACACCACCGAACCAGCCGTTGGACTTGCCGACACCACGGCCCTCGGGCTGCTTGGAGTGGTTGTTGTGGCCGGTGACGTTGGAAATCAGGTACAGGGGCCAGCCGAACAGCTGCTGGAGGATCATGTGGGTAGCAGTGGCAATGGGGGTCTCCTCGACAAGCTCGGAAAGCTCGTGCATGGTCTTGCCAACGCGGGTAGCGTACTGCTGACGGGTCTTGGGAACGAAGACCATGTCACGGGCAATGTTACCGGTGGCCTTGTGGTGCTTGCCGTGGGAGATCTTCCAGGAGAAGTAGGGGACAAGCAGAGCCGAGTGGCAGATCCAGCCGACAGTGTCGTTCAGAACCTTGGAGGGCGAGAAAGCCTGGTGACCGCACTCGTGGGCCAGAACCCAGACACCAGTACCGACCATACCCTGGATGACAGTGTACAGAGTCCAGAGGACAACGCGGGCCGGCATGGAGGGCACATACTCGGGGGTGACATAGTGGTTGAAGAGGTAGAAAACGGAGGCGAGAATGGCAATGTCACGGAAGACATAGTACAAGCTGGTGATGGCAGAACGGTGGAAGCAGTGAGCGGGGATGGCATCGCGAATCTGCTTGATGGTGAAATCGGGGATCTTGAACTCGTTGCCGTAGGTATCGAGCATCTTGGTCTTCTCCTGATCGGAGCCCAGGGAGGACAGAGAGGTCGACGAGGGCGACTGGCGCGGGCTATCAAAAGGCGACGCGGAAACCGAGTTGGGAACGGAGTTCTCAGTGGCGGGGTTGCGGTTCAGCGCAACGCGCTTGGGAACTGCGGTGGACGACATGGTATAAATCAGGGAAAGCAGTCGCGCTTAACCACCTTCAATGTTGTATGTTGGACGACGAAAGAAACCCGGAAGAAGATTGGGGTGGAGAGAGGAGTCAAAAAGCAAAGCAATGGTCTCAGCAGGAAGACTCAATGCAGTCTCTATTGGGACGGGGAGTCTCAGGTCAGCATCAATTCAAGTATCGGAGACTCCGAAGCAACTCACAAGAAAGATTCACCAGGAGTAATCGCAAAGATCCTGGGGATTTTTTGAGTTTTGCTTGTGGTTACACAAGTCAGGTATCCCGGCGAAGGAGAGAAGCGGTGGGGAAAGGAAGGAGATAAGCAGAACAAGAAGGTCAAGGACTACGAGAAGAGAGAGAAAAAAAGTAATAATAAAAAGGACCACAAAAAAACCAAAAGACAAACGACGATCAGTTCTTGAGGAGAAAGACCCAAGAGGGAAAAGTTTGGAGGGGGGCAAAAGGCAAAAAAAGAAATGGAAAAATAGACGGCCGCGGTCCATGGAATCGGTGAATTTGCATTACGCGCCACCGTCAGCCGTACCTGAAAAGGGCTGAAAAAGAACCGAAAATGGTTCAAAAAGGGGTTTGCTGGGTGGAATTGAGTTTTGCAAATTACCTTAACCATACAGGGACCCACTTGCAATTTTCGACTTTACGCATGAACTCCTCACGCCGATCTCTCGACCCTCCGACCTCTTCTCTTTCTCTATGGAGTATCAGTATGGAGTACCCTACAACTGTGTACGGAGTAATGTATATACAAGATACCCCTGGTCACATTCACTAATACTCTTCCTCCACTCACCGTCTCAGCAGATTTGATTGCCGCCACCTGAAAAGAGCCAGCCCATTGGACCACATCACATCCCCATTTAAACATGGGCAAAGTTACCACGAGACCCACGGGTGGTTCTTCAGCCCGGGGCAGGTTGCGCCACTCTTTGTATCGCTGCTCAACCACATTGGGCGCTCAACATTTTTCTGCGGGGAATCCAGTCACCGCTTCACTGACTGGAACAGTTGACATGGGTATGATTGATTAGATGGCATGGTCAGAGTCAATGTCATCAATGTATGCATTTATTTTGTTTGCTTGCAGACATGTTGTTTCTGGGTGAGGCGCGATGGACACAACACCGTCCATGTACTAGTGACGGAGTATACCAACCCTATACTCCGTACCTATACAGACTACTCTCTGGTACCCGTCGGACCAGCTTCACATGCGGGTCGGCCATGCAGCCGATCGCGATCGACCTCGGCGGGTCATTTTCGTCGGCGCGCAGGCCTGCTATACCCTCACGCGGATTGGACGAGATCAAGCGAGGCGATTTGTGGCGAGTCGATGGCATGCGCAAGGCATGTGATAACCAATGGCCAGATGGGGGAGAATGCGCCAGTGGTTGGGATGGATGGGATAGGGGAGATGGCATGATAGATTTTCACTTTGTACGGAGTAGTCAGGTATGTGCTTTGAGCGTAGGCGTGTGTACTTGCTTTCTGAATACTTTAATCAAAGCCCGAGTTTTGTATATAGTGTGTGGTACCCTGGGTGTACTCGGAATGTACTCCGTACCCTCTACGGGATACTGTAGGTGCTGAGTACTTCGGGATACCCCGACTGTCACTGGTGATGGCGGGCCGAGTGGGTACCTTTAAGTACCTGCGGGGCCCGCTTGTTGGGCGGGCGGGTCCAGTTTTGTTGAGAAGGTCCCCCGCCAATCACCCACCCGTCTTTTTTTTTGCAAAGCTGTGTATCAAGTATTCATGAATTACATCGGCCGAGTCTTGTCTTGGGAGCAAGGAGTCTAAGGGGGGTTTCTTTGCATGTGGGGTTCCTATATCTATTATGTATACCCATGGTGTTTTGACAGCTCATGGGGGCACTACATACACACTACTTCGTGGTATACGAGTGGTATCTAATTGGCCATTGATTGTCTGGTCATCGAAGTAACTAAAGGATGGTATTATTCCTTGTTGATAAGATAGGTAGATTCATCATTCGTAGATCTATATACACGATCGAGCTTGCTACCATGTGAATGAACAGGTAATACATGGCATCACCCATCAATACACCTCTGCACGTCGCTCTGAGTCGACGAGCCACGATGTCCCGCCTGTGCCAGATGCACTTAGGCTGACCGTCGTCTTACGCAGGTCTGGCAGTACCAGCACTGTCTCTCCATGGTTACGGTAGTCCACCTCACAGGCAATCGCCTGTCGCTGGCCTGGAACGCCGGGGCCTGTCCCCATGCCGGAGTCCGTTGTGGCGGGAGGAGAAGTCGGAGGCTGTGACTGCGACGGCGCATAGGTACGAATCTCAAGACCAGGCAAGAGCAAATGACCCGGCTTTTGGGGCAGCAGCAGGACCGTGAACTTGGAAGTCTCCCCATCACGAGTGAGGAAGTTACCCCGGCGCCGGCCACCCAACAGCCAGAGGTCAGGGTTGGCGTGCAGCTCGTACGAGCATTCGAGCGGCTGCCCAGCCAGTTCCTGCGCTGTTGGGGGGGCACCATCTCCGCGTGTGGCGGAAACAGAGCTCAGCAGTAATCATCTGGCCCACAGCAGCGTGGGTTGACCCGGATTCTATGGCACCCGCGCTGGGTTGGAGCTGCAGCTCGGCCGTATGAACCACTTGGATTTCGGGGATGTCAACGGGGATCACGATACTCCGGATGGGGACGGAGGGTTGCGGGGAAGACGAATGATTGGATTAGTCTGTTGTATCAAAAACCGGTTAATATATTATAAAGGGGGCAGATGGAGCAAATCATCTTACCTCGTGCCACGCCATGAGCCATTGGCGCACTTCTTCGGTGCGTCCCTTTAACGCTCCCAACAGGTCATCCCATCGCACACTGCGGTAGCTGAGCATCTCGATTTCTCGCACGAGGCCTATGACCTCCATGTCCGCTGTAGAGAGCTGGCCACGAATACTTCCCACAAGGTGCGATGTAAGTAAGGTAGCATATTCGGTGAATGGACTCGATTCCAGCGCAGCTGCAAGCTGCTTTTCAACTGCATCTAGACATTCGTCATCTACACAGGTAAAATCCACTTGTAGGCGAAGACTGCGCTTCCCAGTCGGGGAAGTCGTGGCCGACTTTCCAGTAGGGCTGATCTTGTAGAGTAGAGACGCGGGTTGCTTTGGGAATACGTCCAAAGCGACGGAGCCGGTGATACTAGATTGAACCTCATAGGCATCCGAGCTGGGAAGATTGCAGTTTGTGATGCGCAGAGGAATCAACATGGCGGGACTGATTGTAAAACGCGAAAATAGCATCTCATCCTTGAAGATATCCTGCACATTGACCGAGATGGGAAGCGTGGCAACAACGCTATGGATCGTCGAAAAAGCAAATCGGCCCTGGGGCGTGTTATACCCGATCTCTGCTCGCGCAGAGAGCGTGGTAAAAGCTTCTTCCACAGTGTAGGGAATTCTTAGGCGCACGAACGACTGAGTGGACAATCGAGAGAACTCGATGACTCCAGAGTCGTGGTTGGCGACTAGATCCAGCTCTCCGTCCACCACTTCCGTTTCGGCAATTCGCAGACGCAGGCCGGCCGTCGCTGGCCTGACGCGAATTGTGCCGCTTTGAATGTCATTCCGTCCGCTACTGAGTTCCAGCTCGAGTGTACGCATTGCTTCCAGATTAATTAGGTGGGGCGACACCACCTTGGCGTGTAGCCCGTTTGGTGCCGGGTAGCAGAGTATGAATGGTCGTTGATCCGTTTCTTCTGCATCGTCTGTTTCTCGGAAGCCAATCGGAAGACCCGAATGCTGACCACTGTTGAAAGTGAAAAGCAGATTACCAGACTTCATCTCCAGCCGGTCAACGATGTACTTGCCTTGCAGTGTTGTCTGAAGATAAACAAGTGTTAGCCTTGAGAAACGAGTTAGAGAAGAATGAACAAATTTCTTACCGAAGAATCAATTAGAATCTTTGTTGTCGATGACTTGATCGTGAAATTTGCCGAGCCTTCAATCCAATGCTCGACATGTTGAGAACTGCTGGCGCTTACAAGCCGGACCTTAACCGAGTCAATATTGATCTCGGGGCCGAGAAGGAATCGCAGAGATAGCTGGATCTGGAAGCCATCCTTGTCGTCGTATAAGCGAATTGCTGGGTCCACCTGGAGATCTGCGAAGAAATCGGCGAGTGATGCGGTGACGTCCTTTTGCAAGCCCTTTGCCCCTTCGAAGAGATCGGCCACATATCCAGATAGCTGCTCCTGCTGGGCAATAGATGTCGGGATAGATAGAGATTTCTGGCGTGAAGATAACTTGGATTGCGAATATGTAGCGAATTGGGCGAGAAGTTTCAGCATCATGCGGACATAGTCTTCGTTGCGGTTGAGTTCCTTCAAGCACCGAGAGTAGAGTTCCAGCATGATTCCCTCCAAGACCACCCAGAGCTTGCTGCCGTAGAACGGAGCCATTTGGTGGAAATAAGAAGCTGCGGCTTCGTAATCACCCTGTCGGAAGCGGAGTATGGCAATGTCTGCCAAAGCCATCTCGGAGGAATTGGCTCGGTTTGCCACAATATTATGGCGGACGATATGATCCGTGAGCTCTTCATACAATGACAGATAGTTCTCTTTGGATGTCAATCCAGCCTTGAGGGTGGGAAGTTCGACACCCACCAGTGAAGACGTCTCAGCTTTAGATTCGACTTTCTCATCAGTCCCGTCTAATGAGACTTCTGCCATACCATCAGAGCCAGGACTCTCATCAAAGAGCAGGCCAAGATTGTTCCATTTCTCAACCCAACCGTGGCGCTGGGCAATCTCCTCAAGAGATCGTCGAGCCAGAAGAAGCAATTCTCCTCGGCTTGATGCTAATTGTTCCGAGCCAGTCTTTTGAGGAAGAGCAGGAGCCGATTTTGGGTGATCCAAGGTCAAGCGCCGCTGAAGCAGACCAACTGCCTCGGAGATATCCTGGGTCACTGGTCGGGGAGAGCGCCCTCCCGGCCCTTGAATCAATGAACTTGACCGACGAGGTACGTCGCCGCGATTATCCCCCGCAGGTGGCGTGGGATTTGAAGGCTCCTTGGCCTGGTGAACAGCATGAATGGAGGATTCAGGCAGGCTCAGACTTGAGGTAAAAGTTTGATCTAGAATCTGCAATGCCGCGGCATACGCCCAATTGGACACAATGTTGTTGATTGTATCCGACTTAACATTCGCTTCCACGTCCGTTAGTCCAGAGTCGAGACCGTAACGGAGGGTGCGGGCGGCAAGGCTAATGAATTCTGTGGATCTCTGGCAGATCTCAGATAGTAGAATGAGATCTTCTGGCTTTTTCTCCCGTGTAGCAGGGTCATTTCCGACCAAGGATGGAGCTCTTGCTGCCCGAAGCAGCAAAGTGAGCTGACGAGAGAAGATATAGGTGCGGAAATCAAAAATGGAGATATCACTGGCCAGGATCATTTCTCGGTAGGGAAATTTGTTCGAGCTGAGCGGGAAGTCATCCGGTTGAATGGCCAGGGATGGCTCTTCCTTATTGGTTTTATCGACTGACGCGCCAGCCTTGAGTGCCTTTTTAGCAACCTCCACCCAATTCTTGCTTGAATTCAAGATTGTATTGCCCGGTTGTTCTGTACTTCCGTCTAGTTGGTCTCTGATAGCCGCATCCAATCCAACGGATAGCTCGTCATAGCCAACCAGTGCATCATCGAACAGACCCACATTCTCAAACCCCCGCGCGAGGCCCTCTTTGAGGATAAAGAAAGTGCAAAAGTTCCAACCAGGGAGACTTCGCTGCGCATCCTTTTCTTTTATATCTTCCTCGTATTGAGCCACGCGGAGATCGAAAGAAGCCAGTATGCCATTCTTCATCTTGTCAATCAGATCCTCGAGCTGCTCCGCAAATTCAGGGGATTTCGTGGATCCCTCCTTTGGGAGTCGTAACTGTGCCACACGATCAACGGCGGTTTTAGATGACCCATTGAAATCAGCCTTGATCTTCTCTAGAACTGTAGTTGTGCCGCGACCCCATTTCGACGCTGGCGCAGGTGTCTTTTCCGCACCATCCCCATCTTGGACCACGTGTAGGATAAGCCATTCGAACGCATCATGCTTTTCTTGACTGCTGCCAGTCGATTGCGACGAGCTTGATACGCTCTGAGTCTTGATCCACTCGCGCAATGTCTTGCGTGCTGTTGCTTTGTAGGTATCGTTGTCGTCGCAGCGGAGGAGGTAGACTTTCAGGTATGGAGTTTGTCGCAGACCGGGGATCTGATGTCGGCGATGCGTGACATTTCCAGTGCCTTCACTGGAAGATTTCCGTTCGGCGGATTCTGTCTGGGCAGGCGCAAAGCCGATGCGGAGGGATTCGATCGATCGAACAGGGCGAGTGGGCGATTTCCAATGGAGATTCTTGAGGGGAAGCTTCGATTCGACGGTCGGTTGAACCAAAGGAAATAACCCCGATGGATCAGTGTATTCAACTGGGCAGTAGTTAGCACCAGGAGCTAGGAGTCGGGGGGCTCTCGGTCTCGGGCTGCATCTCCGTGTTGTTCTTACCGGTCACATTGCTTGACGCTGCCTTGGAAGGGTCCATGATTTCCCGGGGAAATTCGGGAGGCGTCCAATGGCAGTTATAACATGCCGCTTTAAGCACCAGAAGCTGCTAATTCTGGAAGTTGGTGAGGATGTCCTCGCGGGGTTGGGGAGATGTTTGGGAAACTCCCGTTGGAGGTTCACCTCACCGCACTGGCCGCATCTTGGCGCTCTCCGCCTGGACGGAGACACTTGGTAGCCATGGAAATTGGTGAAATACAAGATTTGAGGATTTGAGATATCGTAAAAGAGAATATACATTGTACAGTAAAAGAGTCACAGGAGGATAGACTTGACCCATGCAGGTAAATCCGAAATAGAGTACTCCGGCATCTGGGGTTGGACCGTACACGTCCAATGCTATGTACATGTACTACACTCTTACTGTGATAAGCCACGACTAGTATTTATTTGATGCTAAAAAATGGGCCAGTGGCTAGACCTCTGAGGACTTTAACTCTCCAGAGTTTCCTTTTTTTTGGAATTCAACGACCATACAGGACCATTAAAACCTTCTTATATTCATGACTGTCAAATCTCTACACTCCACCAATGGGATTGGCCAAGCAATTACCAACCCCTAATCCAATCATGGCCCAATGATTGAGTTTGACAAACATGGATCTGAAACCCTGTACTCCGATTAAAGACATGAGACAGTGCATTCCGATATGGCTGGCAGTGGGCAGCCCTTACTTGACAACGTTTCGTTATCTTAAGACTCAAGCCGTCCTAACTCAGGGGTGTTGAGATCCTCAGCAAGGGAGGTACAACTGGGACCCGACTGAAATCCAGACATTTCAAGATAAAAGTAAACAACGCGTGATTTAAATTATCAGTGGCATCTTGGATGTCTTGGCTGTGGAGGAATGAAGAATGAGGAAACAGTCGCCCCCCTTTCCGAGCAAGCCCGTCTCGCCATACACAAACAATGAGTAATAACAACGACAATTCTCGAACAAACCTGAAGATAACGCCGATCCAGATAAGCTCCTCAAAATTAGGCCGCAACTGCATAGTCTACTCAATATAGACCAGTCTAGTCGATGAAATTAACGCCAAGCCCCGCAATGCAGAATCTAGGTTCAATGATCGACGTTGATCGCCTTGTTCAATAAATTCCACATTCTGTCATCGCGCATCTCCCGCGTTCCACCTGGTGCCCCTGGGGTGAATATACGCGGGGGCCTTGGTCCTACATAGCGTGTGGTCCAGTTCCCAATCTCTCTCATCACAACGATGGCTGTCACTTCAGTCATCGTCGACACGTGAAGCTCAACCGATCCCATCACAGGCCTCATCGCCATGTCTAGTCGCATACAGTTTGCAGAGCCAGTTCTGAAGGAGGAGCCGATACGTGCTGGCAGGGTCGATACTCAGGGAGAAAAGGGGTCGGCACAGAGAACACTTTCTCCAGGAAACGAAATCGTCTATCCGACAGGATGGAGGCTGGTTCTGACCATAATAGGGTAGGAAGGACGATTGTTGATGGAGGATTCCGGGGAAGTTCAGTGCGGACGGCTAATCTGTTTCTTGAATAAAGGCTCCTCATTGGATTCTTCCTCTCGAATCTGGACGTGACGATTGTGAGCTCGTCCCTCACGAATATCACGGATAGCCTTGAAGGCTTTGAGAAGAGAAGTTGGATCATCACTGGCTACCTCGCCACATACACCGGTACGAAGATAAACGGAAATTACCTGTCCGCCTGATGGCCCACCTCCTGACATTCGAATACGCATAGGGTCTATGGCACTATGGACAAAAAGCAGTGATATTCTTGGGAGGAAATACACCACCATAGCCGCTTTTGTTATTCTGCTCGCATTCTCTATTGGATGTGGCTGTGCGACAACGGTTAACCAACTGTGAGATCACATATCACTTGAATGATTGAACTTTCCTAACTCTGGGTTCCAGTATAATATTCAGAGCCTTACAGGGCATCGGTGGCGCCGGTGTCTACGCACTGGCGATATTATGCATCTATGAAATAGCGCCAAAGACAAAGCTTCCAACCTATAGCGGGCTCATGTCATTCTGTCTTGTTCTTGCTTCCTTGATTGGCCCGATTTTTGGAGGCGCTCTTGCAAAAGATGCAGCATGGAGATGGGTTTTCTTCATCAAGTATGTGAACAGGCAGCAAAATTTTCGATATTATACCGATGTCACTAACACTCTCAGTGTCCCCTTGTGTGCGATTGCAATCGTGATCCTCATTATTGCGATGCCGAAAAATTTCGGCCTCGACCAACACACCCCCTCGCTCAGAACACGCGCTTCGTATCGCTCATTCGCTAACCTCGATCTTGTGGGATCACTTCTTCTCGTCTCGGGCACATTTTTGACCATCTCCGTCTTGAACGAGGTCAATTTGGCATTTAAATGGTCTTCGAGAAGTGCAATCGCGCTCCTTGTACTTGCGGGCATTTCATGGGCCGGCTTCTTCGCCTGGGAGTGGCACCTCTCGGATGTTCCCAAGCAAGATCCGATATTCCCAAAGCGTTGGTTTTTTGACCGTGCATGGATGGGAATTCTCATGTGAGTGGCCCATTGCAGTATTCTTATCGAACATCTCCTTCTAACACTGAACTATCAGCTCCTCATTTGTCACCGGGGCAGTCTTTAACGTGGTACTAGTATACGTTCCACAGCAAGCACAACTACTATTGGGTAAATCGCCACTCGATGCTGGTATATATTTGATCGGATATTCAGCCGTTGGAGCAGTCGCCGCTGGTCTTGTGAATATCGCCAGCTCACGTGGTCGTATTCCTTTTATTTATTCCTTGCTCGTCGGCTGCACGCTTCATACTGTGGGAGTGGGTCTTCTCTCAACGATCGCTAGCTCTCGTGGGTTCCACGCAACAGATATTGTTTATGAAGTGATCGCCGGAGCCGGTATGGGTATAACTATGGGTATATTGGTGTTAGCGCCGCCTTACATCGTGGAGGATAGAGACTTGAGTATTTCTCCCCGAGCAAATTATTGATTTTCAAGCAACTAGCAGTACATTGGCTAACTGTAGCAATTCCCCCACAGCTATTGCGACCGGCTTTGTCGTTCAACTCCGGTTTCTAGGTGGAGCCCTTGGTCTGGCCATAGCATCGAATATCCTGAATGGCCGCCTAGCGTATCACTTGGAGGGTATATTAACAAGGCATGAGCTGCACCTATTCCTGGAAAATGTGGAGTCGATAAAAGGCTTGCCTATCTATTTACAAGATGAGGTAAAGAACGTTTTTGCTGGCAGCTACAGCACACAGCTCAGGGTTATGATCGGATTTGCAGCAGCACAACTACCAGCTGTTCTCCTACTCATCAAGCCCGGTCATCAACTTGCTGCGAGAAAGGAACGATCACATAGTGCTTCGGAATAGCAAGTATTCTTTTATTTCAGTGGAGACCTCGGACTGCTGAAGAAAGCTAGTAAACGTTCAATATTTGCAAGATTTATCTCCCGCTTCTATTCCCCTGTGTTCCCCAGTATCAGTTAACCTTGGAAAGTAAAATCAATCTCGCCACGTGCTCCGACAGGTTGGGCACGAATCATAGCGACCTGATGCAAGCCACTGGTCGATGCACTCTCTGTGGTAATTGACACCACATTGTGCTTTGCACCACACCAGTCCATCTTCTTCGTCTGAAGAGTATTCCTGTTCATCCTCTTCATCATAATCATAATCATCTTCTTCTTCAATCTCGTCTTCATCTTCATCATCATCTTCATTATCATCTTCATCTTCTGTGTCGTAAGATTGAGGTTCCTGCAAAGAACACAGGCATATTCCACATTCTCCCTCCGCAGGTCGACGATCAACACCAGTTGCATTGCTAACCGACTCAGTCGAGCGTGATGATCTCTCTATATTCACGGATTGCTGGTCTGAGTCAGAGGTAGGTGGCATCGTAGTAGTAGCCTCGGATCGGTGGCTAGAGGTTTGGCCAGATGTAACCAGTATGCCGCGGGAACTGCCAATGTTTCTTGGGTATTGGGCTCTTGTGCGGTCTGGCGAACTCTGAACAGGGGTTCCAGTAAGTGTTATTGATTCACCCCTTGGTTGTGCAATGTTATTGGTAGTAGTAGTGGTGGTGGTGGTTGTGGTGGTGGTGGTGGTAGAGGTGTTGTTGATGGCTCCATCTATTCTCATCATTTGTCGAGCATCATTAACAACTTGAGAATCCGGGGAAATGGCGGAGAATCCCCCAGAGCTTCTTAGCGTTAAGAACTCATCTATTCTTTCTTTCATTTCACGCACAAGAACCTCCATTCGCTCTTCTGGTGTTTGCCCCCGGGGAACTTGGCGGCGAGTGTCGGTAGTAATTTGGACAGTTCTTTGTATCGGAGGGGGTCGTCGAGATTTGATAAACGAGTCTACTTTTTCTCGCCAGCAACGAGCAAGACCCGATGCTTGGTCTTGATGAAACCTCCGACATAGTACATGTGGAGCTAATTCTTTCAGTTGATCATAGATGGGATATCCGGCTCGGAGGTCTTCGGTTGCCTCGTCGAGAATATCCATCGCACATCTGCGGCCGTTCGCGTTTGTTCTAGCATGGCAGCGACGACCTCGTGAAGGAGCATACCCAGCACACCATGGCTCCTCTTCCGGCTGAAGGTTGATGATAGTAGAAAGGTGGGGCAGAGAGGAATAAGTGGTGGAAGACTGTCTCGAAGGCATTTCAACGATAACTGGTGAATGATTATGTCAAATTTAGTGTAAAGTAAATTTTTGAATTGAGATGTTGGCCTACACTACTCGTGACAATCTTCAGTTCATATACTGTATCACGATGACGGCTACAGAGGCACAAGGTTGGAAGAAACACTGCCACTGCCACAGTGGCGCAGACATGACCCCTACTAGTTCTATGCATCCTGTAATAAATAGCAAGCATATATAGATACAGGATCTTGGACTCCAGACCCTATAATAGACTAAGGGTTGGACGAAAAGCATGAGGAGGGCAAGTATGAGGGGCTGTGTGGAGAGGACGGCAACGGGAGCGGGAGCTTGAAATTGGACTTGGGTTTGATCCAACAGTCTCTGGCAGAGTCTGATAGGCTATAAATTAGCGACAATGCAAGTCGTTCATGCTAAGAATTAGCGTGGCTGGATCACGACTTCTATTGGCCACTAGAGTCCGAAGGGTGTGTGATTGAAGTGCAGCAAAAGCCAAGCCACCCAACAGGATGCACACGCAGACCAAAATAGTCCACACTATCATCCAAAATAGCGCTGCCTGGAACGGTATAGTTAGCTCAAGCCCTACTAGTAATTCATCTCAGCCTCTCGATGAATTGTCTGAAACAAGGTTGTGGCTGGAGCCCACTGGCCAACCATTGCCTATCCCTTCGTTCTAATTCAAAATTTACTAGTATATTATAGGAGTTTTGAGGTTGCGTATCATAGTTCAAAGATCCCTGGTCGAACCGTCCTCCGGGGCTAGCATCATAATCATCGCTGTCTGGTCGTTTCTGGAAAAAGACATGCGACGTGTCTCAAGGAATTCCAAATTACTGGAGGCCATGTTCGCTGTACTCTGGAAGCCATACCGAGATGGTCATTTAGTATCGACCATCTAGTAGTATTAGGCTGATGATTTTCATCGCTTCGAGCTTAGATTCGGTATCCAGGGTGTTCTTGAAACTATCGGAGTAATGGTAACAGTGAAAGTTAAAACTGGATGCCTAAAAAATGGGTTCTCACACGTATTAGAAAAGTAAAACGTCACTTGATGATTAAGAAAATTCCCCATTTATTCAAGGCGATCAAATTCTAAGTTGCAACTAGTAGTAGCCTATTTTGGGTGATGCTGTTCCAGGATTTGCTATTCATACGCCCGCAATGTGGATCATATATGCGACCCGATCTGGATAACGATACGAAAGCGAGCAGCTTTTTCCAATACATGCCTAACTTTCTAAGCCCTTTGAAAATTGTGTAAAACCTGGTTAATGATGCGAATACGATCTTAAAAATGAGAGAATTTGGTTACCTAGGATTTGCATTTATAAGAGTCGATTTTCCCTTTCTGTGCTGTGTGAACTACATAATTCAAGTTTCTTAACGTTGTCTTATTCCGCCCAAAAGCAAGCGAAACCCACCGTGCCAGCCAGGCAGAGAATAAATTCCCTCTGATCAAAAAGAAAAATTGCAAATAAAATGGAGCTTTCAATTCTCGGGCGACCGGTCACCAAACCCAGACTTCACATGATCATTGGCGGACTGGTTTTGCTTGTCTTCATTTTGACAATTTCACGCTTGGCCATCAAAGGAACACCATCAACCAGAGCGAATAGTTGGGGGATCGCAGTGGTAATAATCTCAAACACATTCCATTCCTATTACGGACGCAGCTCATTCGAATCTAATAGTGCCTCAAATCGGGAATATTTCTCGCCTATCAGATGCTGACAGCCCACGTTGAACGATTCAAGAAATGGGCAAGTACAAAAGCAAATATGATATTAAACATTGTCGACACCGTTTTCTGGCTTGCACTGTTTATCATCACAATCATGGCAACGATGGGAGCCACTAGTGAGGCTAGTCGAGCGTTGGGTGGTATCATAGCCACATTGGTTGCTATATTACTGTGAGTTAGAATTGCATTTCACTAACGTTTAATTCTATCTTCTATGGGAACTAATGCTGAAATTTCTTTCATTATAGTAGTCTCGATGGAATGCTTTCTTATATTTCTATTCTTGAGCGTCGCTATCACAAGCATCATTCATCGCCACCATCAGACATGGAAGGGAAATGAAAGGCTGGGGAAATGCTGAGAGCAATGACCAACTATACATATCATCAATGAGAGTGCAATTGATGCTTCAATGGATAACCAGCGGCATCGGGGAGCTTCTCGGGGCTATCCCGGTAGTTGTTGGTGATCAAGCTGCTGAATGAAGGCGACCACTCCACACGTGGAGTCAGAGGATCCAAACCCCAAAGCTCAGACACAAATGATAGAATAGATGTATGCGTATAATCATTTTTGCTTGCCTTGTGCTCAACATGACCCTTCTCAACCCAGGGAGAAATCAACATTGTTGGAACTCGAATGCCCAAGCGGTCGAAATTGAAAGTGTAATTACCAAGACCAGTACCATCCTTCGACGGGGCTTCAGACCAGGTCATATCATCACCTGGGGGAACGCCGGTTGGAGGGGGGACGTGGTCAGCAAAACCTCCGTGCTCATCCCAAGTGACAATGAGAAGAGTCTCGTTCCATTGAGGCGAGTTCCGAATAGCTTCATAGACACCCTTCATAAAGTTCTCGCCCATGTTGATAGGCGACTTGGGATGCATTGACATGAATTCACAACACTCCGGGTTGATCCATGTGAATTGAGGTAGCTTGCCTGCCTTGGCGTCCGAATAGAAGCGATCAATGGGGAAAACGTTGGTTTTGTCCTTTCCGTTTTCTTTGGTCCACTTGTAGAACATCGAATCAGGCGCGAAAGGCGGGTTCGAGGCCGTCGAGTTTTCGTAGTTCATCCAGGTAATATCATTTTCAGACAGCTGCTGAAAGATGGATTTTTGAGGAAGAGTCGAGTCATAGAAGGGATCTGTGTTGCCTCCCTGGCCGTGCGAAGTACCAGAAGTCAAATATGCGCGGTTGGGGTCAGTCGGTCCAGGAATCGAGGCGAACCAGCGGTCGAACAGGACAAAGTTCTCGGCCATCGCGTTGGTTACTGGCACTTGATCTGGAGTATAATAGTTGATGACTTCGGATGCTTCCAACGTGTCTCCTCCCAGACTGTAGTATGTGTCTTGCTCGGTCACAAAACCTTTCATCGTCGACTCATCATCGGAGCTGGGAAGATATTTTCCAAAGACTTGCATGTTTCCACCCCAAATTGTGTGGTCAGGGTCATCTTTGGCGATATTGTTGGCGGTCGGCTTGCCGCAGATCTGTTTGCCATCTGGCTGCGAGATGTTGGCTGGGTTACAGAAGGGGGTATCACGTCCGGCCAATCCATCAATATCGTCGTTGTATGTGAGCCCGCCGACAAGAGTATCAAATGATCGGTTTTCTTGCACCAGAACCACGACATTCTTGATGTTTTGCATGCCCGCTGAGAGCGGACGCGCAGCAGCCTCTAGGCCAAGCCCAAGGGTGAGAAGGGCAAGTGACAACGTCATGGTAGATGGGGGTTCAAAAGTGCGACAACAGTTTTGACACGCGAGATCCTTCTATTTATGATTGTTTGGAATGGACATTCTCCTGCGGGCGGGCTCGGACCCGGAACCCTGGCCTCTTGGAGGGGCTTGCTTGTTTCCGTTTGGCCATCTCCGCAAAAATCGCCGATCTCTCTCCTTCAATTGGTCTTGGAAGGTGCTAGTTCCTGATCGTCGTCGGTCCAGGGCTGCCTTGGAAAGTCCTGCCCCAGCCTTGTAACCTCAATTACCCAATTCCTGAACCGACATGCAACCTCCCCCACTTCAATCGCGTAGCTACTTCGGGCCGACCGTAACATCGCTTGAAAGATTGACTTTCTTTTCTCTGGAGTTAATCGGAATATGGTAATTCATTCCTCGTGAAACAAGGAGTGGAGAAAATAATGCTCATTATTTTCCGTGGCCCTGGGGGCCAATATCGCCCGGCCCCCATTCGGACTTGCCGGTGATCGACATTTGTTATGTACGTTGGATGGCCTATAATTGCAGCGTTCATGGGCGTATGCCAACCAAGATGCGCCCAGATGAGCAAGAAAAGAAATCTGATACTTGAAGGATGCATCGGCGGATGTTGTGATTTAGTAACACAATAAAGCACCGGCAAAGAGTAAACAAAGCAATGTCCTAGTGACTCGTGGACCTGAACAGCATTCTCAAGTTCTTAAAATGAAGTTGAAATAGTGTTTGAACTCGCAATGAAAGCACGCTCGGCGCCTAGGCTTGTTCGAAAAGAAAATCTAGAGGCAGTTCTAAATTTTGGATCGAGACTTCACGTAAAGACATTCGGCCGTTGCAAGAATCTGATCATCCTCATCACATACCCGTCCCTTGATTTTCCACTTCCGGTTCTCCTTGGTCTCCTCCAGTTTTGCGTACACAACAATTGCACCAGGGGTCGGAACCGGACGTAAGAAATTGGTATTCAAGTACGCCGTTACCGTCTTAGAGCCTGGCTCGAGAGCGTCGTCGTCGCCAGCTTTGTACTTGCTGCGAAGGACAAGGAGGAGGCCTGTGCATTCATCCAAAAGAGTTGTCACGATTCCTCCGTGGAGGACGCCAGGGTAGCCATTGAGGTTGCTACCCAGGATGAAAATCATGCGAACTTCGTCTATGCTCCCAGTCTCGCCGGACCCGGAGGTGAGTGTCGGCCGTCGATATTGGGAAAGAAATCCCGATAGTGTAGCATTTGATTTGAGGGTGACTGAAAAAAGACTATCCTCGGTTGAGGACTTGGTGTCTCTGTTGGTAGAAGGGACTGTCACGAAAGCCGTATCTTGCAGCAGTTTTGAAACCCAGGGAATCGAGTGATAACGAGAAGCATCGTCTATATCCATTTTCGCAGAAAGACGCAGATAATCAGTCAGTATGAGGTAAAACAAAGTTGAGGCACTGTGGTCATGGGATAACCTTTGGAATAACCACAACAACCTCGGAAGGGGCGGGGTCAGCTTACTCGGCTAGCTTTAAAGGGGCTGGTGCTGGTGCCTTGCGGGGAAATTCAAGTTGCTGACACCTCGCCTTGGGAGGTATGGACTGCTATATAGTAGCAAAAAAATCTCTTGGACGCATGGTTAAAGGGACTAGTATCTCCTACTCAATAATATTCAAGTTGAAAAATCATTGAAAGATTGTTCGAGTTTAGGTATCAAGGTACTAGTATAAATCCATAAATCTAGCCGAAACAAACATTCTTACTCAATTTGAACTGGCAGCATGACCCCACGAAAAACACAATCTCTCCCTCTAATTCCTTCACTTCAAGCAACCGCAGCTAATGGCTCTTTGCTGACTTGCTCGGTCGCTCCCTCTGACTTTTCATTCGTGATGATTGTCTCATTGGTCACTGAGGACTTCGCGGCTGGGTAGAATTCAACTTTCCCACCACCTTGGATAACCCCCTGTCGGTCCAGGAGGGTTCTGGCCCGTACATAAGGGTCAAGCGACCAGTAATTGTCACTGAGCTGCTTGATGACCTCATCCCGGCGACTCTGTGAAGTTTTGTCCTCTGGGTTGGAGATGAGACTGGCAGTGAGACTAAAGAGCTCATTACCAAGCTCCTCTCTTTCAGCAAGGATTGTACTCCGCGTCTCAGCATCAAGCAGCTTGTCATTTTCGTTGGCCTCCGGCTCAATATACTCATATTCCCAGTCCTCACTTCCTCCAAGTTCTTTGACTATCTGTCCCTCGGGGATGATTTTCTGTAGGTCCTGGGCGCCACTAATGAAGTGAACCTTCGCAGCCACTACCGGGTCCAAGATTCCCTGGATAAGCTTCCAGAACCCTGGATTGATGATGAGAAGTTAGTTCCGACGAAAATTAGGACAAGAAGTTGTGAACCTCACCAGAAAATATCCATGGTGCATTGTAAAAGATCATGGCTCCGAGAGACTCCGGGTAACTTTCTTGGAAAATCTCAATGATGAATTTGACCGGAGGGAAATCCTAGACAGTGGGAATTAGTGGTTGCGCTCATTGAGGAACTTTGACGTGCATGATGGCATACCCAGTTTGATAGGCTGAAGGAAGTGAGATCAAAGACAATGGTCTAAGTGATGGGAGAGTTAGCACGGGTCAATATGATCACAAGGAATCATCCATCAAGCAAATCTTACCATTGTGTCTACAGGATGAACCTGCACCAGTCGGACTGTTTCAATGCATTGGACAATATAGTCGTTGAGACCCTTCTTGGTTGCAGAGTTCGGATCGTGTGTTCGCACTCTGACCACACAGATTGGCCGACCGAATTTATCCTTACCATGGAAATAACCCTTGCCAGTGTGAAGTTGAAGCATGAAGCCTTCTCCATCTTTCTTCTCGGGCGAGTCTTCCTTTGCTCGCGACTTCTCCAGGTTATGCAATTCGCCTTTCATCAGAACTTCCTCATCGACCTTGTATTCGTTGACCCGCCAATCGAGCGCCGACACGAATTTGATCCATGCCTTAGGAACATTCCACTTCTCGGCGCGAAGAAAACGAAGAAGCAGTGCATCCGCATGGTCTTGCTTGAGTACAGTCAGGTAGGCCGACCGAAGACGATCCCCTGACAATTTCAACAAGAGCGAGTTGACTGCCTTGATTTCATTTGGACCAGCTTTCAACTTCTTGAGAGATGAGTGAAACTGCTGTGGAATAGCCGCCGTCTCGTTCTCAGTTGGTTGGGTTGGTGCTCGACCGAGAGAAAACAATCTTCGGCGTGGTTGAGCTGACCCTGAGCCGTTCGAGTGTGTTGACGCGCTTGAGTCTTTGGGGGCCGAAACATCAGCGCCCCAGGATTGCATCAAAATTTCCCAAAAGCTTTGCAGCTTCTCTTCCTGTGAAGATGTCAGACTGCCAATATAGCCAGAAGTCTCTGTGGTGGCCGCCATGATGAGTCGAATAGGGGAGAAGTAAAGCACCTCAAAACAAAAAGAACGTCATCCAAGCCCCAACTAGCGGGGGTTTTGAAAGGCTGAGATTTCTCTATCTATCACTTCCACATGAGATTGCTTTTGTTTTCCCACCCCCTTCTCCTCTTTCATGATCGCCGGCCTCGGCATAGCTAATGGAAGTTAAGTGCAGGAAGAGGGGTAGCTGCAGGTCCCTGGGTCAAATGGTGTTAACGCCAGTCTTAGTAGCTTGAAAAAAGCATAGCGATGAACCAGTAATATTGAGCATCAAAGGCGCTAGACCACAGCCTGAAATGCCATTACACAGCTTTTTTTTTTTAAATACCAAAACCCCGAGAGGAAATTCGAATGGCTGGCGCACTAAGGTCCGTGGCTGTGTGGGCCATGTTCACGAAGTCACACGAACTATCCCGGGGTCCAACCGGCAGTGGTAAGCGCCGATCACTGTGATGCAGCCTCTCAGGGCAATGCCGCATTTCCGCCTCGGACATGTGAGTGACTTGCACTCATGTTGTATGGCGTAGGGGAAACTCATAGGGCGAGATTTAAACAGATTGCGGTCTTGAACATAGGACCCCGCACTTTTAAGGTTGATGGTTTTGTGGGGAATTTCCTTTGGTCAGTGCAAATGTAGTTTATCTTAATTTTGACGAGAAATTTTGTCAGTGTTGGCTTAATTTCCATCTGAAGAGCATAACCCAGCCACTGAATCTCATGTTATTTACGTATTTGCCATTTTGTGAAGATTTGTGTTGGTTTTTTTTTTCACTCTATCAAAGATGATACGCTTTACCTTATTTGGTAATGCCAAAGGCGCGAAGATTAGTCATATCGCGGGCATCTTCACCTAGGCCAATACTAAGAATTTAGCGTCTTTCAATCCCCAAGCATCACGATATGGAAATTGCATGATTCGCCATAGATAAATGTCGTCTATGGAGATGGAGGATAACGTACCGCCTCGCGAAGAAGACTTTATCGACCATTTTCAATGGCCTCCACCGCGGGGGATTGAATCACCCTACTTCGAAACTGGAGCATCTGCATCAGAAGATGAGTAAGTAGTAATGGAGTAGCGGGAATTCCCGGTTTCATGGGAGCGCTAACGGGCTATATAGTTTCTTTGCGCTGCCTTGCATGAACTGGGATGTCTCAAATGATCAAGTGTCCCATCAGCCAGAACTTGAATATTCGCTCGGTGGTAACATAGCCAGCGGCGGGCTGAAAGACATCGAGTCGTTAAACGTCTCACCTGAAAAGACATTCGAAGAATGCACATTTTCAAATATTTCCCAACCATTTGACTTGTTGGAAGATAGTCTCGATCCGATATTTACCTTCTCTGCGACAAGTTCACTTGATTCCTTTGGCACGGACGACATCAACGGACCAGGAAAAGGACTACCAATACCAAGTAGTGGCTTGTCATTTTCATTTCCCGAAAACACAGATTGGGCCAGTGAAGATTTTCTAGAAATTGATAATGCTCATCCCGAAGAACCTCTCTCACTCAGTCCGATGGACCGGTGGAAGAATTCTCCGCCAGAAACAGAGCCGGCACATTTGACAGATATCATGACCTCTGTTGCCCAGTGTATCGGCACAGACGCTGCAGTGCTACAAGAGGCTACTGGAAAGTCAGCGGTTTCAAAGAAACGTTTTCCAGGATCTCGCCCACCTACCCCGTCAATTGCAGCATCCGAGTCAAGTGCCTCCAGCAGCTCAGCTTCATCCGCCCATAGCTTTGGCTCAAGCAACTCAGGATCGTTTGGACGATTTTATATTGGAGAGCCAAAGCGGCGCCGACACCGACGCCAGCGCAAGAAATCTCCGATATCTCAGATTCGTAATAGAAAGCCAGCGCACGAGCGTCCATTCCAGTGTACGTTCTGCACAGACACTTTCAAATCAAAACACGATTGGACAAGACATGAAAAAACACTGCACTTATCATTAGAGAGCTGGGTCTGTGCACCATTTGGGCCTGCATACCGAGATAAGACTTCCGATATCTTGCGATGTGTGTTTTGTGACGTTGAAGCCCCTACCGAGGAGCATATCCAGTCACACCGGTATATGGAGTGTCAAGAGAAACCAACTACTCTTCGAACATTCTATCGAAAGGATCATCTCCTTCAACATCTACGCCTAGTCCACGGCTCGCAAAATGCCGTCATTGGCATTGCCAAATGGAAATCAGAGGTCACTCAAATCAATTCAAGATGCGGGTTTTGCTCAGAAACTTTCACTCTCTGGGCAGACAGAAACGACCATCTTGCAGCACACTACCGTCAGGGAACTCAAATAAAGGAGTGGAAGGGATGTAGAGGTCTTGATCCTGCAGTGGTGCTCGCCGTCGATAATGCCATGCCTCCATATCTTATCGGCACAGAGTCAACTGGCATATACCCTTTCAGTGCTAGTCGCTGTAAAGGCCCTTCTCGGGAAGATGAGTCTCACGGGGTCCATGATACATTTCAAAGTGCAGAAACTACACAGCCAACTCCATTTGAGCAGTTGACAGAACACCTAATTCGATTTGTGCGTGAACAACAGCAGGCCGCATCGCCCATCACAGACGAGTCTATACAACGCGAAGCGCGTCTCTTCATTTATGGAGACGACGATCCCTGGAATCAAACTGCGGCTGATAGCCCGGACTGGTTGAATTTCTTCAAAGATGGAATGGGGTTGGGTCCAGCTTGCGTTATGAATGTGGACGCTGCCCACCATCCAAATCCCGTATTTCACCTTCCATGGGATATCAATGCGCAACAAGCAGTCGATGGGTGTACCTTGAACCCCATTATCTCAACTGGTTCATGGACTCCTTGGTCATGGCAAAGTCCAGAATGTCTTGCCGAATTTCGCAGGTTTAACCGTGATACTAGATCATCATCAATTGCCCTAGAAAATGGAGCATGTGCACTGCCATGATAGCAAGAATAATGAAAGTTATAGTACAAAATCAGTGGGAAATAATATCTCTAAAGTAGGCAACTTCAAGTTTGAATGTTCTTCTGGTAGAATAACGGGGCTTTTTGGCTTCGGGTCCAATAGTAATCTTCACGATAAGCCAATCTCCCCCACATCTCACCTCCCCACAACTAGTCAACTACTACTCACTACCCCACTAGCACTCTCCCCAACAGGCCATCGGCCAATTTCGAGGACTCCTCTGAGTCAGAGTATACATATACCCCTCACACGTGACGATCTGAAGCTGATAGAACCATCCGACGGGGGGTCCCCAATTCCCCGACCCCTCACCTTGTATTTCCTATAATCTCGGCAAATCACCTCACCTGCGAACACCATACAAGCAACCCTCAAGATGACGGAGAAGTACTCCAGTTCAGAAGAGGCCGCGCGAGCCACCAACCTCCTAGAAGCCCAAAACAAAGCCGTCATCCTCTTCGAAGAAATCGAAAAACAACTTCTCCGCCCCGGCATCAGCGAGAAGCAACTGAATAAAGAAATCTACGATCTAGGCGAAACCCTCGGCGTCCGCTCTCACTGGCACAAGCGCGTGATTCGCAGCGGACCAAACACCCTCAGCCCCTTCGCCGAGAACCCTCCCGACCGCATAATCGAAGAAGACGACATTCTCGTCGTAGACCTGGGTCCCGTCTTCGAGGCGTGGGAGGCTGATTTCGGCCGGACATACGTTCTCGGCAACGACCCGCATAAGATTCGGCTTCGGGATGCGCTGGAGCCGATTTGGCTGAAGGTGAAGGCGCTGTATTGGGAGAGGCCCGATATGACGGGCGAGGAGCTGTATGATATTGCGTGCAAGGAGGCTGAGCAGGCTGGGTTCCAGTTCGGTGCTGACCTTGCGGGACATATTGTTGGCTCTTTTCCTCATGAGCGCATTCCTCAGGATAAGATTAAGCTTTATGTTAAGAAGGGGAATTCGGAGAAGATCAGCTCGGTTGGGAAGGATGGTCATAAGCGTCATTGGATCTTGGAGATTCATCTTCATGATCCGGTGCATAAGTTTGGTGGCTTTTATGAGCAACTTATGACTATCGACTAAGAGCTATGATAAAAGACTGAATGGGTTGATGCAACTAGCTGGATGCCTCCGATCAAATGGCTATGGCGAGAAATCGCTCGATGTGTGGAATAAGAAAAGATGCAATTTTGAATCTTCACTCGTAGATCTGGAGACTTTATACGACTAAGAAATACTGGTATTTTCTGCACCGGGGCTCGAAACCGGAGTCTCGATGGAAATTGTGTTGAAGATGATAGTATTTGTCTATGCCTAAGTAAAGAGGCTAATTCGCCTCTGCAAGCTTAAATGTATGTATGGTCGTAGCCTGTCATTAAACGCAGAAACAAAAGAAAACAAAGAGCCAACAGAAAGGGGGGCTAGGGTCACGCTGAGACAAAAAAACTCCGGGTCTGCAAGATGTGGACCAAGAATGACCAAGGGGAAGAAAATAAAAACAGATGAAAGTATCCTAAAATCCCAGTTCCACAGCCCGCTGTGTAGAGCGGGCCTTCACAAATTCAAAGCCGTCCGTAACGCCTTGCCAAATACCAGGCACAAAGTTGCGCATCCAAGCACAGATAACCAAAAGCAGTAGGGGAATCTATAACGAATTAGTAAGATTTCAAGTGGAGGTAGATAAGGTGACTTACCCAAATAAAGTATAGGTTGCGGTCGCTACCCAATCCCTTCATACGTCGGGCTTGGTGCTCGCGCAAATGTTTCTGTTGCTCGCGAGAAATCACCTTGCTCCCAATTGTAATATCCTTGAGATCATCCTTGACGATTTGGACAGGTTCAGCTTGGGCAATTACTGTTGGAGCAGATGCAGAGGCAGAAGATGAGGCGGCGGCATTGCTCTGTGCCTCGAAATGCTGATCCAGGGCTGCCTCTGTGGCGGCCTGAAGAAGTGCAGACTTCTTTATTTCAGATGATTCGTGCTCCTTATTCTGCTGGTGCGGATATAGCTCATCGTACGAAGGCGGAAGATTCTGGGTCGGGGCAGCATTACCCTTCAGATAGTCCCACCAGCCATCTCCACGAGTAGCCGGGCGTTGGGGTACCAGGTTAGTGATGCGACGCATCATTTGATTGGCCTGATAATCGGGAAGAGCGGGCATGGGAGGTAGCGCTGGCATATTAGGGAAGGCGTTGGACACACTCTGTTGGAACTGATGGATTTGTGCAGTCAGATGGTTCTGCCAGGCGACAATGGCTGCAGGTGGAGAGAAGCCACGAGTATCAGGTGCCGCGGGTTGTTCACCAGTATCCACGACCGGAGGAATGGCGTCTTGATGCATGCTTGATCGACGGGATGAACTGAAGAATAATGGGGCTTCGGAATCATCGCTGTCCAGCTCTTCGGAATCATCCAGGTCATCAGAGTCATCAACAGCATGGCCAAGAGAGCCAGAAGCTGAAGAGGCTTCCCAGAGCGAGTTGAGGCTAGCTGAGCTACTGTGTCTGCGGCGAGAAGAAAGTGAACCGACGCTGCGAGACCGGTAGTGTCGGGACGGCAGCAAAGCAGCTTGGTGGGCAGGCAACGTTGTTGCGAGGTCCGCCGGCGTAAATCCACGCACACTGCGGGCATTGGCATTGGCCCCGATGAGTCGCAGTCGATGAACAATGTGAGCATGGCCATGTAGAGCAGCGAAGTGCATGGGAACATTTCCAGTGCTGTCCTGGACATCTGGATTAGCGCCACGGGCTAAAAGTCCCGCAACAAATCGAGTTAGACCCAAAGAAGCTGCAAAGTGCAGAAGAGTCTGGCCAGTGGTGCTGCGGGAGTTGTAGCGAGCTGATCGTGGGCTATCGTCCAAGTCGATGAATTCTAGGTAAGTCAACATCTTAGAATCAAGATCACTGAGCTTCCCTTGAGAATCCATTCCGGGGACCTGGCGTTGATGGCCACCGGAAGAACCGCCACCTTGCATGTCCTTCTGCATGTTGAAGAAAGCATTCGGGTCGCTTCCCATGATTTGCTGGGCAGTTTGGAACGCGTCCGCTTGGCTGCCCAACTTCTGGCCAAGGATGTTCAACGCCAGGCGGTACATTTGAAGTTCACGGTCGTCCACATATCGGAAGAATAATTGTTGCTTGGGCATTAATGGTTGCGCTTGTTGAACCTGCCCGAAAGTCGGGTGTTCATGCTTAAATACGACAGACACCAGCCCAGGTTGAAGAGCTGGGGGAGTCAAGCAATTCAAACATTTGTCGCCCCAGAATGTGGTAGTTGTTGCGAGCGTATCGCCAAAGACAACCTCCATTCCGGGATAAAAGCCACTTCCCAGCAGCGTAACTTCTGTGCCTCCAGTTATTGAGCCCTCTGCAGGCACAAGCTTGTGAATAACCGAGGGCAGTCGGCTTGGAGCTTGGGATATGGAAGGCCAAACTTGGGTTGTAGGCGCACCGCCAAGACCAAGTGCAAGGTTTGGATCCTGGAAACTGTTACGGCCAGAAGCACCGGGCGTCCCAGGACGACTAGGCTGTGCAGAGTTTGGTGCAGACACCAGAGATTGATGGGCAAGACTATCCAGACTTTGTCGTTGAGCCGGTGTGGGGTTAAAAAAGGGATTATTATCGCTATTTTGGTTTGGAGTGGGTGGCCCATTGCCGTACTGTCCAGACATGGACGTTGGGGTAACGAATGGCCGTTCCGTTGGCGAAGCATATCCCCGAGCTGCCGCGAGCTGAGCAGCGGCCATTGCTGAGCTAGATGACTGGGGTGTCTCCATGCGAGTCATGGTCAGCTCCGAAGGCAATCGCCCGGAGCTGCTGTGCTTCCGTCGTTTGGTCTGGGGTCCTGGGAAGTCTGTCGGCGAGGCCTGTCTTGAAAGACTGCGAGGTGTCTGCGAGCTCGAGGGTCCACCATTTGGTTGAGTGGTGGCGAACGAGTTGGTCGTGAGCTGATACTGTGAGCTAAATCGTTGCTGGAGGCCCTGTAGGTCGGTTGGTGACTGGGGAGTAGCAAATGCACCATTTGAAGGTTTGCCCTCGCCGTTCGATCCCGAGGAGAAGACTCCTACACCCGGCAGGCCATCAGGCAAAGCGGGCGAGGGTCCAGCAGGCGCGGGCGCTGAGGGTGCTTGGGTTTTGTGGTCATCGGTAATCATGATCGAGTTAGTTATCGCCTGGGCCACCACGTTGTTTTGATAATCCTTCACAGTGAACATGACCTGGAAACCCAGTTTCTCGTTCTGGTGTCGGCAGTAGCATGCGATGCGCATCGGGAGCTCCACTTGCATTGATCCAGGCGGGGCGGGAGGCATATCACCATAACCAGTTGAAGCGTTCTTTGGTGGTTCTGCCCATTCCTTGATTTCACTTGTGTTGAAAACGATGACCCTCTTTTCCTCATCCTTCTGGAATAGTTCGTCCTCCTCTGGCTTCCGTTGCTTCTTCCGAGAGGCACGTTTCCGTTCTCGTTGAATGCATCCCGTGCAGATTTTCACATCCCCACCGTCTAGAGGTCGCTCCTCGTCAGGACCATTTACCCCCGAATGATATCTGTCGCTTCTTGTGCGCGCAAAGGCTCGTTTTAACTTTTCTCGGTCTTGCATGGCGCTTGTGCAAACTAAACTCGTATATAGTTGAAGGGTGTCGGGAGTAGGTTCGGTGGAGGGAGGGGCGAGAAATTTGAGTTTCGAGATAGTGTGGGATGGAAGGCGCAGCTTCTTGACGCTGGCCGGCAGCGGAGAAAGGGTCAATCGGATCGGAATTTGCGTTTCGACGCGGGACTTGAGGGAAGTCGGGTGGACAGTGAGAACAGGCTGTGGTGAGTTTGCGGGATCGGTCTGGGCCGGGGACGAGGCAAAGTTGACAGGAAATGGGTAGGAGCTCGGCGAGCTGAATCTCATGTTTGGCGACATGGAATTCAATGGAGACCTGCCATTCATATTGATGCCACCAAAGCTTTCTTCCAAAATTGACGAGGGAGACTGGC